CCCCCCCCCCCCCCCCCCCAAATAGTTTGCGCAAGTAAATAGTGCTATTTCTCGTCTTGTGATCTCCTCTTGCTTCCATAATCATGCTCAGCCTACATGGTATCGCCCTCCTTGGATTTCCCCCTCTCATATATCCCATCCTTTTCACCTTATCGGTAATGGTATTACAAAAAAATATGTAGTTTTCCTCGAAAAAAGATATGAGAAAAGAAAAATAAATAAATAAAGAAGTCAATTCTTTTTGGTTGTTTCCAATCCTACTCATTTCTTACGAAGCCTCTTGTCGGCACCATAGTCACAGAGACCACGGACAAGCCTGATCCATTCGGCCTTGGGCATCTGGCCCGGTCTCTCGCCCACACGTCCGGTGAAGAACTTGATGAGATCCTGGATCGTGATACCCTCGGGGGGGATCCTGTCTAGAACCTCGGAGGGCTCAATGGCACCGTTGGCCTGGGAGTCGGGAGAGGTGCCTGCGTAGGTAGAACACGTTAGTGGATGAGTCAGGGTAGCAAGTTATCCGCCGAAATGGCAACTCACTCCTTGCAGTGGGGTTGGGCGTTCCGGTCCTCGAGGCAGACGGCGTGCCGCTGCTGCTGCCCTTGAGCTTGATCTTCTTCTTGGGCCCGGCGCCGTCAGACAATTCTCCGGCTGTGGCCTCGCCATCGCTGCCGGAACCAGCACCGCCGCTCTTGGCCTTGCGCTTGGCCACTGCAGCCTGCTGGAAGGATGGGGTGCCGGCACGGCTGCCCATGACCGACGATGATGCCTTGGTCTTCTTCTTGAACGTCGACTCGTTGCCGCTGGACTCGGACAGGGCGGGGGATCCGACTCGCTTGATGCCTTTACCCTTCTTGGAGGAGTCACCAAGTTTCTGCTTCTGGGGCGTGCTGCCCTTGGGACCCTTAGACTTGTCCTTGTCCTTGCCATCCTTGGAGTCGTTCTGGCCGTCCTCGCCTTCTTCCTTGTCTTTCTTGTCCTCCTCATTCTCGTCATCGCTGCCTGACGATTCGTCATCGGACTGGGCATGTTAGTGGTGATTCTATGGGGTACAGGTCATTTGCTCCATTTTTTTTCCGTGAGAGAAGAAGAGCGATGGTGTGGAATATTCCCTTCTCTGTTTGACGTACCGAACTGCTCCAGGGATTCTCCTGAGACGCATCGCTCTCATACACGTCTTCTCGGTCCCTCTTGATGAGAGCCTTCTTGGTAGACTCTCCGTACTTGCGACGCTCCAGCTCCTCCCTCAGCTCCTCATTGAGATCCTTCTCGACCTGCTGCTCGTCACCATCACCAAAGAGGTTGGCACCCAGCTGCTCGCGTCGGATCCTTTCCTTGGATTCCTTCTCGTCCTCGTCATTGTTACGCTCAAAGGTGACGGCCTCGTCGTCATCCTGGAACTCATCACCCGAGATGTCGATGTCATCGTGCTCCATCTTCTCGGCCCTGGAAGCGGCCTTGAAGGTAGAGCTCTCCGTCTTGATCATGCGACCGCCGCCGCCGAGCATGCGCCTGGTGGCTTCTAGTTCTGCTTGGCTGGCCTTTCTCTCGTCTGACTTCATCACCCAGCGGCCTACATCCATCTTACGGCTCATCAGATCCTCAGCCTCGTCGATACTGAGAACCTTGAAGGACGGCTTTGACGTGAACTTGTACCACTTCTCCAGGGGCACCATGCGGAAGACGGAACCGTCAATTTTGAAAGCAACATTATTTCCGGATAGCGCAGCCACGTAGTTACCTACCCAGACGTTCTTGCCGTCGGCATCCTCGAGGTGCCAGGGCAGAGCCTCCTCATAGCGCAGCTCAGACTCTTTCCGAGCAGCCTCGGACTTGTAGGTACGGTGGAACTGGGTCCTCTCCTCGCGCACCTTCTTCTTGGGCTTGGGGTTGGATTCCTTGGCCACGGGGGCAATCTTGGCCTGGTCGATGGCCTTTTGGGCCTCCTTCTCGGCCTTGAGCGCCTCCAGCCTCTCAATCTCCTGGGCGTCGACGGGCACCTTCTCCGGCTCTTCAACCTTGGGGGCGCGCGCGGCCGGGGGTTGGCGCGGGTCTCGCCTGTGCAGGGTGACGGGGCGTGCGAACTCGTCGTCGTCGGTCGGGTCGACGGCCTTGCTGTCCATCTTGGCCTGTGAGAACCTCATAATGTGAAAGCGCAGGCCGTCCATGAGCTCCCTCTTAGTCGTCATGATTGGGATATCATTGCAGCCCTCGGGCGCAGCCTCGGACCATCCGCCATTCTCCTTGCGGCGCTGCTCCAGGGCCTTTTGCCTCGACTCGGGGGTGGATTTTGGCTTGGAAGCTGCGGCAGGGTTGGGCCGGTTGTGGTTTCTGTGAGAGGCGAATATGGATGGCTTCGGACGGTTCGGACGCAGCACATTGTTCGGACGGGGCCTGGGAGGAGCTCCGATGGGTCGTCCCGCGGGGGGTGGAGGCTGGCCACTCATGATGGGTCCGGTTGGGCAGCGTTGCGCCGCGCTCGGTCAGGATTTATATGAATTAAGATGGCGTATCGGCGCACTGAGCATCAGTTGAATTGGTAAATGAGTGCATGTATGACTTGTCGACAAAAGCAATCGTACGTTGGGTGTTGAGCAGTAGACCCGGGCGTGAGTCTCGCGATGAACGCGACGTGACGAGAGTCGCGACGAAAGCGACCGAGGTGCGGACACGCAATGGTCCGCTCTCCCTTCGATATTCGTGCAGCGTTTCAATAAAGCAGCCAGAGAGTGTAATAGCAAGATGCAGTATTGGCGTATGCCGATGGACCTTCGGGGGGGAGGGGGAGAAGTTGGCGGTGATTGAGGATGTGAGGATGTAGTGGCGATGCAGCAGTGATATAGTGATGCATTCAATCAGTTGTCTTGGAGGCTGAAGGCTACGCGTACGGGCGATGGAGTATTACGAGGATTCTTAGTCAGAATTCTTTGGAGGGGGGGACTTTAGTGGGTCTTATTCATTACAGCGCTGTTAGTCCGCTAAAATCTTCAAGCACCCGTCGTGGTTCATCATGATTCATTATACGGAGTAGAGTGCATCACAATAGAAATTGAAATCATTGATCCAATTGTCTTGAAGATCATTCTGGTGATTTTAATGTTTTTCAATGAGGACGTTTTTGTGATTGTTGTCAAGTCACATCTAGAGATGAATCTACAAGCAACATGAAAATACGTGTTGGCCATCTAAAATCTTTGGGACAAAGAACAACTGATGTGGCACCAATGTCTTTCGGATAATTATAACGTTGACCTCAATCACCATCCATTCCCATGCATGATCCATGCGTGATCCATGGTGACAAACTCCACGATATAATCACACTCTACCTCAGGTTTGTATGCGCTCCGAAAGGCATTTACGGACTCCCGCCGAGCTTCGGGTCGTTTCTTGTTCCTTGGCCACACGGTAAAACGGAGGCTCTTCCTATCCTATGCCTTGTGATTTCCCGTCATCATGCGAGCTGCAATATTCTGTCGAAGTGAGAGATGACCATCTTGGTGAAGGAGGTGGGAATGATGGGCAATCTGGTAAGGAGGTCTGTGACGTATGTGAAGCTGCGGAATGATACTGATGAGAGAGAGAGAGGGAGGGAGGGAGAATGGGAGGTGAGAATTGATGAGAGGGGGGGGGTTATATATTACTCCGTACTGTGAGTGTAGAAGGCATATGCGGTTGGCAGGTGCCAGCATTAGCTGACTGACACCGGTATTGGCTATATGCATATCTTTCACTGGTGAACACTCTACAACAAGGATGATTGTTTTAACGTCTTTTTCTCGTCTATAGGGGACCTCCAAAGAAACAAAAAGAGGTTTCAGACTCCCCATGATTTCCCACTACTAATGATAGTAATCATTCTATCCTTCCCTATTGTCATTGCCTTTTGTGTTGGTGTTTACGGCGTGATATGTTATGCATCTCTCTGTAGAATACCTCCTGGAATAATATTGTTCCATACCGTTCGGCGCGTCATGTACGCTTATAGTATTACTAGTATACAATATAAAGTAATAATACATAACACGAGTAGAGTGATGCTATATAATACTCGTATCCAGGATTGTCGAAATATCATAGTAAAGAACACAAACAAAACAGCAATTCATCACGCTAGATAAGTCGATCATTCCCCGCTTCTCATGTTGACATGATAATTCCTACATGATAATTCACACCTCACGAGGTTTTTTTAACCTTTAAAACCTCTACCTTCAGCCTTGGGGCCCTTTACCCGATGGCTCATTGAATTGATCCACACTGGCACATTCCTGAAGCTATTAGTGGGGTTATTGGACTTGTTCTTGGTCTTGTTCCGTGGCTTGTTGGCCTCTTTTTCCAACATCTCACCATCCTCCTGCCATCCACTTCTCACTCTCTAATCTGTACTCTCAGCCTCATCTGCCTCCCCCGCCTTTATTCTGTCACCACCGATCTACCTACTACAGAACTCAGTCTGTGCATCTCCAGAAAAGAACAACAACAATAACAACACTTCACATCCCCACGCCATCAAATATCATACCCCTCCATTGGGATGCTTCACTTCATTGGTTCGACTCCGGAATAAATAAATTAAACGAACAAATACGACGTATCTCCATCTGCATTCCTTCCCCTCCAGTTCATCTCTTACTTTCACCTCAACCGGGGGCGTGTACGAACATTGCCGACATTAGAGAAGACACCATCACTCTCTCCCTTTTCTTCTCTGTTATAAGAAGGTAGCATCGTTCTGCTGCTGCAATCAACGCTCCCTCATATTCGACGGCACAACAACAAAGCCCTTGCAACAACGTACACATAACCATTGTCTCGTCGCCCATGGTCATCCTGTCGACTTCTTCACTCACTTCAGCCGGCATACGGTAACCGTTTCTTCTCACTCTTCCCCTTATAATGGATCCTTCAACTCCCCAGCCAACAGGGCTGGAAGCTCATTTACGTGGTCTCATCCTTACCAACGCCGACGCTAGCAGCAACATCAGCCATACGGCGCATGGTCAACAGCAACAGCCCATACCAGCACTAGCTACAGGCCCAGGCCCAGGCCCAGGCCCAGCCTCAGCATCGCCTTCGGAACATTCGGCTTCCGCTGCTGCTGGGTACCCTCCCAGTCCCAGGACAGGCAGGAAGCGCCTTAACCAGGCTCAGCGTCGCCAGATGAACGCCCAGCTCACCATACCCGTCGACCCTCGCCCGTCTTTTCAGCAGGCTGGCCGCGGCCAGCGCCACCATCCGCATCAGCAGTGGCAACCCGTTCCTCCTCCTGGGCCTCATCAGCGTGCCATGTCCGGCCCTTCCTACGGTCCGCCGCATGGCTTCGCCAGAGGTCGCGGAAACGGAAACGCTTTTCGCGGTCACCACCAGCATCACGCTTCGACCGTCGAAGTGCCTTCATACGCCAACGGTTTCGATGGCAGTCACAATCACCCATCCATGTCTCCCGCAGGTTGGCGTCAGGCCGCCCCGCAGCAGCAACAGCAGCAGTCTGCCCACTCTCACTCCCACTCTCAGCCTCACCACTACCAGAACCAACACCAGCATCAGCATCAGCATCGTCGCCCGTTCTTCAGGCCCGATGAGGTCGCTAATCAGTCTGCCCTGCTCGACCGTCTGAGCTTCCATATCGTTGCCGACTCTGAGATCCAGCATCCCGAAATTGTCGAAAAGGAGGCCTTCCGCGGGCGCATCGAGCAGCTCATCCGCCACGTCATTGCCAGTTACGAGCAGGAACAGCACGCCCAGGGCCGGCAGCAGCCATTTGAATTCTCCCCGCTGTCTGTCCAACTAAAGTGCTTCGGTAGCTTGTCGTCTGGGTTTGCCACCAAGGCCTCGGACATGGACCTGGCTCTCCTATCGCCCCAGTCACAAATTCAGCCGGACGCCAAGGCTTCGCCCATCCCCCGTCTCATCGAAAAGGCCCTGCTCGACGCCGGCATCGGCGCCCGTCTCCTCACTCGCACCAGAGTTCCCATCATCAAGCTGTGCGAGCTGCCCCCGGAGCCTTTGTACCGCAACCTCATTGCCAACCGCGACAAGTGGGAAAGGGGATTGGAGAATGAGGGCCACGAATATCACGACGACGATGAACACGAACATGACGACCACCACAACCACAGCCATAACGCTATTACCGCTGCTACCGCAGATGACCATCACGAAGACGCCGCGGCCACTGGCCTCGACAAGATCGATGAGAAAGAAGTTGCTGCCACCTCCTTTGAGGTCCCCTCCATCGACGGGGAGAACCAGGAGCCCCAGAAGCTGTACCTCCGCCAAGGACCGGGAAGCACCCTAGATTCGTACTACGGCACTGCCAAGCGAGTTCTCCGCAAGGCAGGCGGTCGAGATGTCCGAGGCTCGACGGCCATGTCATTCTCAGACCTGCAGTGGGACGTTCTTAACCGCGTGTGCCAGGCCTTTGTCCAAGGTCTGTCTAACATCGAGGTGCGCGAACGCCTCCAGTCGTTCCCCTCCCTCGCATTCAAGTCCGCTTACAACATGCCCGACAACCACTCCCTCATGACCACCTTCACCCAGATCGAGGGCGAGCACCTCGTGTATCACTGGAATGTCTGGATGGCCGAGCAGGGCAGTGCCATCATCCAAAATGACGCTGAGGGAGTCCATGCCGTCGAGGCCTGGCACGCTGCCCAGCGCAAGCGCGACTACGGTGTAGACCCTGTGCTGTTCAACAAGGAACTTCACACCCTCCTTGAGCGTATGAGAAGGGTCCTGTCTTTCCAGATCGTCTCGCTGGAGCAGGGAAACGAGGAGGCCCCTGCGCAGTACCACGCTCGCGCCGCCAGGGTCCTGGAGAACCTGCGTTCCAGCAACCAGCTACGCCTGGCCAACGGGCCTGAATCCACCGTAGTGAAGCAGTACATTGCTGGGATCCGTCCCAGGGAGATCAAGTCAGCCGTGTCGGAGTATTTCGAAGCAATGATGGCGGCGGGAACTGTCATCCTGGGCCTGGACGACGTAGCCCAGAGGCACAAGAGCCTTCAGCTCGCCAGGGAGTTCACACGGGCTCTAGAAAAGGGCCTATACGACCAGTCTCAGGTCGAAGACATAAAGGAATACGTACGGCTCCTGCAGTCCTCACTTGTCAGGATACCCGGTCCCGGTGCCGCCGGCTGTCTTGTAGTACCGGTGACGCAGAAGTCTGCCGCCCTGGTATCTAGGATCAGGTCCCTGCAAGACCCTCACCTGCTGGCTCCCAACCAGTCCCGGTACAAGGATCATCTAGAGTTCCCCAAGACCGGAGCGGGCGTGCAGTGCGACATAAACTTCTCGGCTCACCTGGCCCTGCAGAATACGGCTCTTCTACGATGCTACTCGCATACCGACCCGCGCGTCAGGCCCATGGTGCTCTTCGTCAAACACTGGGCCAAGGTACGGGGTATCAACTCAGGGTACCGCGGCACCCTCAGCAGTTACGGCTATGTCCTCATGGTCTTGCACTACCTCGTCAACGTAGCTCAGCCTTTCGTCTGCCCCAATCTGCAGCAGCTAGCCCCCCCTCCCACGCCCACGGAAGACCACAACAACGGCACCACCTACCAGGGATACAATGTGCATTTCTGGAGGAACGAAGAGGAGATCCTCCACCTCGCGTCCATGAACCAGCTCAACCGCAACACCGAGTCCATCGGCAGCCTCCTGCGCGGCTTCTTCGAGTATTACGCCCAGACTGGTCTCATGAGCAGCGGCCACGGTAAAGGCTTCGACTGGGGCAGGGATGTCCTAAGTCTGCGTACCCTAGGCGGCCTCTTGTCCAAGCAGGAAAAGGGCTGGACGGGCGCCAAGACGGTATATGAGGTCAACGAGAGCCTCGATAGTGGCACCGCAAACAGTGCCGCCGCTGCCACCACCAACACATCCAGCAACCCTCCTGCCGTTGCTGCCAAAGCCCCCGCTAACACCGGCGCTAAGACCGACGACGTCAAAGAGGTCCGTCTGCGCTACCTTTTCGCCATAGAGGACCCGTTCGAGACGGACCACAACGTCGCCAGGACCGTGACACACAATGGAATCGTGTCCATCCGGGACGAGCTGCGTCGCGCGTGGCGTATCATCAAAGCTTCCGGTGGCGGTGAGACGGCTGAGAATCTCCTCGAGGATGTCGGTGAGACTTCCAAGGCTGACGGGGCGTCCCTGGCCCATCTAATGGATGATATTCACGGCTCCCATATATTTGATGACCTTGTATGAAAAGAAAGAAAAGGGCCAACAAGAATGGAAACACAATTGTGCATTACGAAATATGGAAAGGGAAAAGGGGGTTCGGTATTGAATGTAGTATAGAATAACGTGGGAGGACCGGGACTTGTACAATAAAACGTTTACATATAGGCTTGTCGGAATAGACGGGTTTGACGTTCATACTCATCTACCCGTACAGCGCATTTCATCGTCAGTTGTATTGGTTTCGTACTGCATCCCTTTTTCATTCATTCGTCAGGAAGATGATTGAACCTGTTGCCCCCATACTGCTGCTGTCGCCGTTGATACTGCTGCTGTTTCGTCCGTTTCTCTCGTGGTCCCAATTGCCCGCGCCTCCTCTTCCTCTTACCATCAGATGGCGGCGTCTTCGCATCGGGCTCGGGCACTTTGAGAAATCGGCGCACTGCATCCTTCATCTCGGATCCCGGAAGCCAATTGAAAAACTCTACCACCTCGTGTACCTCTGGAAACTCTGTCAAGGGTGGCAGAACTTTCAGCTGGCGCTTAAGATCTCCGGCTTCCTTACTCCACGAGCAGTGCTGAGGCCCCGGTACAAGTTGTAGGACCTGCCAGAGTATCCTGAGAGAGTAGTTGAACGCTTGTAGCTGGGCGGTTAAATGGACCATGTCCCAGGCTAGTTTTGTTTGTGAGTGCTGCTGCTGTTTTTGTAGCTGCTGCACGACCACACGGGTGACTGGTGATTTCCCGTCGCCGTCTCCACAGATGTACAGATAATTCATCAACCCAAATCCTGTCATCTCTATTTTTCCTCTGCTCTCAATTTTGATCAAGTTAAGACGCCTGATAAGCTCGGTGATGGTGTGAGGTATCTCAGCAAAGAGCAGTAGGGGGGCCGGCTTGCCCTGTTGCTGGTGAGTCTGCACACGTCTATACTCGTTCACCATTGAAGTAGTGCTCTGGTTACAAAACTTCAAAATCGTATAAGCCAACTGACGGATCGAGATGCTAGATTCCCAGGCACTGGCGCGCATAGGGCTCTCCACCAGGACGGGGAGATATATATTGGCCACTGGTTCATCAAACACGGGGCCCATCTGGATAGACACCTCAGAAACTCGCGGATCCATTGACTCTAATTCAGGGCCGTAGCTCTCAATCTGGTCAAAAATCTCGTTCTGATACTGCTGGCAGAATATCTTGTAGTCATCGGATCGCGTCGTCATTGGCTGGCTGCACGCAAGCGCCAGCTCCGGGACTGTTGAGTGAGGCGAGAGTGACAGCTCGTAGGCGAACCGACGAATCCCGTCGCTGAAATTCCGGCACATGACTTCCGGATCGAAGATGGGAGCCTTCCATTTACCCTGAGACAAGTAGATGTCGCGGAAGAAAACAACGCGGCCGCCCGCCAGGTCGTGGACCAGTAGGTCAGAGTCTGACGTCAGAACGACGCCTTTTTTTGCTCGGGCCAGGTGCCTGGCGCAAAAGGTGTCTGCCTCGCCGGGAACTATTCTCAACACCTTGCTGTACTGATGGCTCGCTTTTAAGGCGTCGATGATGGCTGGCACAAGAAACGGCGGTGGGAGTAGTTTTCTTGTATCTGATGTTTGAAACGCAAACAAGTCTACGGCTGCCGTCTCCCGGGTCGTTTGTAAATGACGCTCTGGGCAGCCATCCGGGTAGGCTGCATGGAATTGGTTGAGCTGGCTGGTTGCCTTGACCATTCTCTCCATACGGACATCAATTTTGGACTTGGGTAGATAGCCGTCAAAGTAGATGCCGTCTCTAACCACAAATGCGTTAGTATAAATACTTGGAAGCACTTGGATACTTGGATGTCGTCCCCCCCCTCAAACAACACTCACATAAAGCTGTGCATCGATAGCTCGCTCAGCCACCGCACCGCCGTGCAGCCCAGGACAGCATAGCTCGGCTGCGTTATCCCATTACGCCTACATATCTCAAGAATGTGGTACGCAAAGGCTGGCCCGTCTATGACAATAGCTTCGTCTTTGAGAAAGCCCTGTTGAGCAAAAGGCTGCAGGGTAGTAATGAGGTGCGGAATGCCCATGTTGCGTGTGTGTGGTGTGCGTGTTGAGAGTTAGTGACAGGGTCCGAGGCTTAGCTGCAGGCATGCATGGTGCCGATCAGTCGGGGGCTGTTTTTTTTTTTTTTTTTTTTTTTTTTCAAGACCACATGGCCGCTGACTACTTCGTAGGACGTTCGATAAAACTGATGATGTCGTTATAGTATCGCTGTATGCTGAGAGAATAATAATCATAAACGACTCAATTGGCGAGGCAGACATGTGGGATTGGGTCCCGCTGGAGGTTTTTAGTCATAGGGAAGGAACTCCATTGACTAATATTACAAGGAAAGAGCGACCCCCCCCCTCCCCCGCAGAAATTTACAACCCCATCAAAAGTTTGACTATTACAGTGTGGCCCACTGTATTACTCACGTGGGAGGCAGGGTTACCGTGCACAAATGACATTGTGGACACTGTGACAAAACAGTCTTCCGTCTTTTCTCCTTTCCTTTTTTTTTTTAATCCTCAAGACATTTTCTTTTGTTTCCTCCACAACATCCAACCATCCCCCCTCCCCATTCTGGTGGCAATCTTCGGATAACAAAAAGTCTTTTCTTTACCTCATCATCTGTTGGCCCTTGGCCACTGGCCGGACACTGTCGCCATGCGCAATACACTCATCTTCGCTGGCAACTCGTGCCCGGCTCTCACGGGTCAAATCTGTGGGAATCTGGGCATGCAGCCCGCCGAGGCCGATCTGACACAATTCTCCAATGTGAGCCACCCACAGCTCCATCATAGTTGAGCTATGCTAGTGCCTCAGCCCTCTCGTCCTGACATTTTTGACCCCCTTGTCGTTTGGTTTTCTTGTCCAAGGAAGACTAACCAGTTTCCTCAAGGGCGAGACAAGCGTCAGGGTCTTGAACAGCGTCCGCGAAAAGGATGTCTTCATCGTTCAGTCGGGGAGCTCAAGCATCAATGACTCCATAATGGAGCTTCTTATCCTCATCAATGCTTGTAAAGGTGGTTCCGCTAACAAGGTTACCGGTATGTATTGTCAATACACCTGTACACTCCTTTCGCTCTTACCAGAATTGTACTGACTTGATTCCCTCCTTCAGCCGTTCTCCCCTACTTCCCCTACAACAGGCAGTCCAAGAAGAAGTCCCACCGTGGTGCCATTGCCGCCCGTCTACTTGCCAACCTACTCATGGTTGCTGGCGTTAAGCATGTCATTACCGTCGACCTTCACGCTTCGCAAATGCAAGGGTTCTTCAGGTGTCCCGTCGACAACCTCCACGCTGAGCCCATAATTGCTAAGTGGATTCGACGCAACGTCCCTGGCTGGCGTGAGGCTGTTGTTGTCTCCAAGAACGCCGGAGGTACCAAGAGGGTCACCTCTCTCGCCGATGCTCTCAAGCTCAACTTTGGCATGGTCACTACCGATAGGAAGAGGGGTAACAATGCCAACATGACTAGCAGTATGATCATGCGCCAACTCGACAGTGCCGATCTGCAGCCTGCTCTCGAGAATCTCCGCTTGAGTCAGTTGGGCAGGGAGACGGAGCCACGCGAAGCAAGCCACTTGGAATCTACCCGTGTCGCCAGGACTTCAGTCGCCAACGAGGAGGGTTCCCCCACCCGCGGTAGTGGTGGTAGCAAGGGCCACCTGTCGGCTCACAATGGCTACACCACGCCGCCTCGCCGACCGTCCCATTCGTCCGCGACTGCAGACTTAGAGTTCGATGACCGTCGTGCTAAGGAGGTCACCCACGGCCGCCTAGTCGATGGACATATTGTCGATGAGGACTTTGTTTCACCCGAGCAGACGTCTACGGCCGGTAACAGCGTCAACGGCGAAGACCCCATGGCCATGTCTCACCACTCGACCATGTTCTTGCAGTCTCTCGGTGGCTCAGGCGATGCTGAGGCTAACGTCTCAGACGATGAGGAGCATGCTTTTGAGAACCCTAAGGTGGAGCACATGATCACTCTGGTCGGCGATGTCAAAAACAGAATCGTCTTTATTGTTGATGACATGATCGACAAGGCTGGCTCGTGGATTGCTGCCGCCGAGACCGTCGTCAAGAGGGGAGGTGCAAAGAAGGTGTACTGCATCGCTACGCACGGCGTCTTTGGAGGCGACTCGCTCGCCCAGCTCGAGGCCTGCGATTGCATCGACACCATTGTCGTTACCAACAGCTTCCCCATCTCCGAGGAGAGCGCGAGGGGAATCAACAAGCTGGTCGTCCTGGACCTGTCCTTCATGTTGTCAGAGGCCATCCGCCGCAACCACTTTGGCGAGTCTCTCTCGCCTCTCTTCCAACATTATGGGGACTAAGTGGATTTACGCCGAACCCTTCTGCTGTTCTTATACCATTTATTCCTCCGAAACCCCCTCTTACTCTGGAGTGGTCTCACGTAAGGAGACAACAGCGCATGTTTGCTTTTGCTTTTTTTTTTCTTTTTTTTTTCTTTTTTTTCTCCCAATTTCCAGCGTGGCGTCTTGGAATGAGCTTTCTGGTGCTTGGCCATACGGTTTCCCTGTTTGTACAGCAGGATGGTGAGGATTGCAACAGCAGAGCTTCTGAAATGACTCTCGCAACGTGTTGCACAAAACAACACCGCAGTCTTGACTGGCAGTATGAATATCATGAACGGCGTTTGATTTTTTTTCTTGTTTGCCCCCCTGCCTATGACTTTGTGCTTCTCTCCTCCCCAGCGGTGCCGTCACACTTAAGTGACGGCCAGGGTCCGATTCAACTCAGAATGGATCCTGAACGGAACGTTGGTATATCAAACTTAGGGACCAGAAGGCTCTCGACTCTGTTCCTTTGTGGACGCTGCCTCGGCAGGTGGGTTGGGGGCAAGATAACAGCCCGATACATATCGTAATCATTTGATTCCAGTGGATAGTTCATTAGCTATTGAACGTTTCAACATTACACGCCACTATACGTATGAGTCGTGTTGCTGGCAGAGAACAAGTGTAGTAATTACTTTCTTGTGAAACCTGTCAACGATGCCACATGGAGACACGCATCGGGGGCGGGGGGAGTCAGTTTCTCAATACAATGTATAGATTTGATACGTTTCATTCTAAATCTTTTAGGTCTTGCGATGCAGGACGGTGGCCGATGCCTGTGTCATGTGTGTTAGTATCTAGCAAATGGTACCTGCTAACTCTTTGCTGGTTGACTTACCTGGTGGTTGGGAAATACAAGCGAGTCGGCAATGACTAGATTCTCGCGGCGCGAGGCGTTAAAAACAATGATCTCGGCAATGTCGTCAGGCGTTAGCGGCTCGCAGCCACTGTTCATGAAAGAGTTAGCTTGGACTAAATTTCTGATGGTGAGACGAGGTAAGTGAGGACTTACGCGTAGACAGCGTCAGCCTTAGCCTTGTCCCCGTAGAAGCGGACGACGGAGAAGTTCTGACATCTGTATTAGCATGTTGCTTCCAACCTGCGGCAAAGCAGCGTAGCGCTTACAGTCTCGACCTGGCCAGGGTCCACGGTCATGACGCGGATGCGGGTAGCAATGAGTTCCTTGCGAAGACTCTCGGTGAAGCTGCGGACGGCAGCCTTAGTGGCACAGTAAATGGAACCGCCGACGTAGGGCTCGCGGCCTGATAAATTACCACCCAGTTAGTACATGACGCACAAATCATTCTGGGCCATGATATGGTCTTTTGAGGGGAAGAAATCTTTGGCGTACCGGCAATGGAGCCAATATTGATAATGTCACCATGGCCGCCGTCGGCACGCTTCAGGAAAATCGGGAGAACGGCTTGCGTCATGTTGATGAGGCCGGTGACGTTGGTCTGGAACATGACGTTCACATCCTCCTCCCTGATCTCGGGAGCCCTGGCAACACCCTTGACAAGACCGCTAAGGAGAAAGGCCCAGTTAGCATGGAACTAGTATCAAAGACATAGACAAGGCTAGGACTAACGCATTGTTGACGAGTACGTTAATATCGCGCCACTCCTCAGGAAGGTTTCCCACAAAGCCTCGCACAGCGTCGGCGTCCCTCACGTCAAGCTGAACGGGAAGGACCTTGACGCCATCACCTACTTCAGCCTTGATCTCAGCGGCAAGCTCGCGAAGGGCGTCATCGCGGCGGGCCGTGAGAATGAGACGCAGATTCTCGGGGCTGGTGCGAGCAAACTCAAGGGCAGTCGAGCGTCCGATTCCGGAAGAGGCTCCTGTGATAACAACAGTCTTGCCAGCAAGACGCTTTCCCGCTGCAGTAACCATGTTTCTGGTGAGAGTCCCTGGTTGGCGGAACAATGTGGAAGATTCAAGAGGATTTTGGCAGGGACTGCGACGAACAAGAGATGTCAAGGTCTGAGCTAAGAGGCGCATGTATAAATACAGCCGGGCAGCTATGTTTTGAATGAGAAGGCTTGAGAAGAATAAGCAAATGGGCGAACGGCGAGTGATGAATGATAAAAGGCCAAAGCTGTATGTGGGGTAAGGTGAGTGGACCAGGTGTTGCTAGTAGCTGCGTGGATGGCTTTTTTTTTTCTTTCCCCTTCCTTTGATTGAATGGACGGAGATGTCCAGCGGAGGCTTCAGATACAGTGTAGCGAAAGAGCTCACGGTATTATGGTACCTACTGTGGAAGCAATCACGTCATCGGGGCTACGAGGAAGGAGCGTTTTTGTCGGGCGGTTTACGGACGTGAGGGGCAGGAGCGGGCGAACGGGTGGCGGGCAGGTACGGAAAACCCCCCGACTTCGGGAAGGAGCTGGTAAGTGCGTAACCAACTGATAACGTTGTTAGTCAAGATTTGTCCCACGTACCTGTACATGATGCGTATAAATACAAGCATATACGATTGGCAAACCTCACGAATACATGTGTTGATAATATTGTAGACTCGTTTAAAACGACAAGGAATTGTGATTACCTGGGATTTATTTGGGCTAACATACTCTTGAGCATTGCTGGTTACGACAGGCCTTCCCCGCTGTCACTTCTCCTTCCGACTCAGAGCTCATCCTTTGCGTCTTTCCTAGCAGCCACGGGCACTCCTACCTTGAATATATGGGAATTAATGAAGTGCCATATTTGCGTGCACCTGGGTTCAACGACACTGGCGACCAATTTGACGAGGTCGTGCTTCGCCATGGACCATATAAGAGGGGATAATGGCACAATCGAACCCCGGTTCATGGGCACTGTGATAGTTCCAAGCTGAACTTCTATCAAGGCTACCAAAGTCGATATGTTTGCTTCTTGCTGCGTCCTCTCCCACGATTCTCACCTTGGCAGGTCCTAGGGGCGTGTGGCCCTTTCGACAGCTGTAGATGCACCAACCAACAAGGGCGTTCCTTCCCTGACATATATGGCCTGGTATATTATGCCAAACTCCCAGAATCTGTCCCATCTCCCCTCTCTCCTCTCTTCTACCTTCTTCTCCTTTCTCGACTCTTTAAACCTCCCCCGAAGCCCAGCATCTTTACCCCAAGTCCTCGATTATTCCTGTCGGCAGGGCTGTCTGTGCACCATTTCGCCTAGTTGCCTCGATACCTACTTGGCCTCCCTTATAAATCGCCAACATGACGAGACTTCTTCTGTTATCGACAATGGGCCTTTTGGCCCTGTCTCTCCCCCATCCTGAGAATCCAGGATACCAGGCTGAGACTCCCACGACTCAGGTGCACAAGCTCGGCATCGACAACGGTGGCCACCCGTATACCCCTCCTTACATCACCCCCACGGAACACAAACCGCACCACCAGGAGACTCATCAAACTGAAGGCAAGACAAAGCACAAGAAGCCAAAGCACGAACACAAGAAATCAAAGTCGGACCATAAGCATGGCCATAAGCATGATCACAAGCCTGACCACAAGCCTGACCACAAGCTTGATCACAAGCCTGATCACAAGAAAGAGTACTCGCCTGATGAGAAAGATGAGTACTCAATGGAGCACCAGTCGGAGCATAAGTCGCCTTCCTACAAGTCAGAACATCCTCATGAATATGATTATGGACAACAGGACGAGCAAGACTACAATAGCTCTAGTGGTCATGGGCATCCTTACCATCATGGCCCCTACACCAAGGCCCCAGGATACAGCTCATCTTCCCCCACTAAGACAACCAAACAATATGCCCCTTCTTCTCCAACTAGCATCCCTCACTACAAGAATCCCCACAATCACCATCTAGAGCATCCTGAGGACGGCTATGACCAAGAGTACCCACCGCACAAGACTCCTCACAAACCGGCTCACACACCGGAGCACAAGCAACCTTACCAGCCATATCCCCCGGCACACACGCTGGCACACAAGCCATGCTGTCAGGTTACATCAACTGTCGTCCATTGGGCACACCCGACACCGGACCATCACCACAAGGAGTCTTGTTCGTGGGGACACGACAAATCTTCCTATGGAAAGTCAGAAAAGGGAGAGGAGTGCGAGAGCTCCAAAAAGGAAAAGGGCAGCAAGTCTTACGGCAATGAAGAGAGCGGAGAAGAATGTTCCAAAAAGGATAAGGGGAGCAAGAAGAAGGGTAGCAAGAAGGGTAGCAAGAAGGAGAAGGGAGGCAGGAAGGGCAAGAAGAAGGAGAAGGCCGAGAAGAGCAGTAAGAAGAGTGGAAAGGAAGAAACGAGTGAAAAGTGCGAGCAACCCAAGTCCTTGTGCGATACTGGCAAGCATGAGCAGAAGCACTCCTACTCTCACGAGGCACCCCCCCACTGCCCAGGAGGATGTGAAGTTCTCACTGTCACAAGGACCATCGAGGGTGAAGCTTGTGAGACTGGCCAATCCAAGGGCCACAAGGATTCGGAGTCGAAGGACAGCTACTACTGAGCTCCCCTGTGCTCCCTCGACAAAGAAAGGGGTTAAATGGCAAGTTTACACTGAAACAGAAAACTCGAGAGATTCATGGACTGACAATCTGAGAAGACGACAATGGACTCTTGATAGACGGTTGTGTAGAGGTGGATCCTGTGAGAGGAAAGATGGGACGGTTGGGATCGACCCAAGGGCCAGGTTACAAGAGACAAACAAGCTAAGAATTGACAAGAGACGACACAGCTGTTTTTTCAACACACAAGACTCGAAAATGGAGTAGACACAGCACCCTAGAAATAGCAGCATTACCAAATATCAAAATTGAACAAGCAAATTATGAAATTATTCTTGACATTGATGAGTGACTCGTGCAACGACAATGGAGGCTTTGAGGACGTTTGACCGGCCAAACCAATCAAACAATCTCCCAGCGAGCTTGAAACCACCAATGGAGACACCATATTGACTAAGCGCTCTGTCTTGGTCGTCGAGGAAGCCAACAACACCAGGAAAGACGTGAGGTGATATGTCACGGATGATGATGGAGTCCTCGTCGTAGCCGCACTTGACCAGCTGGGCAGTGTACTCGGCCTTGGTGAGAAAGGTGCGGATGGGGCAGCCCATCATAAGGCCGACGGCCCTGACGATGATGGTGTCGCGCCAGGAGGCCGACTCGTTGAGGACAAGGTCAAAGGCCATGAAGTTTGCAGCGAGCTTGTTGGCAGCGTACTGGAGGATGGGTTTCCTGGAAGGGGAGAAGTGGTAGAGGCAGTCGAGGGCGAGGAACCAGCGGTCGGAGAAGGCGGGGAAATTATCTTTATTCCCACCGACATTGGAATCAGGATCAGTATGACTGTCATCGGCGTTCACCATGGACTGGACGGCTCTCTTGACTTTTTGGTTCCAGGCATCCGGCAAAGCAGCGTTGGCACAGAAGAGGGTAAAGGAGTCTGCAGGAGGCACCTGTGCCATAACAGGGGCCCCACTGCTACCATCATCATCAACAGCAACTTCTCTTCTCTCGTGCCTCCGCAGTTGAGAGGAGGGGGGCAGTGTCTCCCGGTATATTCTACGCTGGGCAGTGTCGACCTGATACCGATTCATGGTGAGGCCGACATAGCGAAAGCGGGACCAGCGGGTAGCAGCGCGGGTGAGTCTGACGAGCTCCCATGTCTGATCGCCACAGCCGAAGCCGACGTCCAGTATGGCGAGGGATCTACGCTTTAAGTCTGGCGTGTCCTCTGCATCATCAGGTCCGATAAGACCGGCTGTATCAAGGATCTGTCGTAAGAGCATGGCACATGCATCTTCAAATACGGTGATGGTTTTTCCATCGGGGGTTGTCCTGGCCAGGTCAGTTGTTTATCGGTGACGGGAATGATGCAAGCACGAGGGGAGATGGAGAGGGAAGGGGCATAGGCACCAATATCCTAGATTCATCCACATTGATGAGAGGGGCATCTTGGCATTGAGCTTCCAGTGGCCTAGGCCATACACGTCGGTTCTGCGTAGGGCCAAGATTCCAGCAATGGACACCGTGAACACGGCGACGATGAAGCCGCCCATGAAGGCGAGGCCGATATCTCGTGAGGATGATGAGCTCATGGCTTGTGTGATTGAGCCCCTGTCCGCAGTTGAAGTTGATGCCGAGGAAGATTGATTTGGAGGTGAGAGGGCTGTTAATACTGGGTGTATGCGGTGGGGCGGTTTTCCCCGCGGCGCCCGCGTGTCAATTTTTACTCAGACAACAGTGAAACCAGGTACTTGAATATGAAAATCGTGAGAACTACGTGGAATTGAGAGATAAAAAGAAGATGATTTTCTTTAGTTTTAGATAATTTACTAACTGTATTATTTCTGTAGTATTATGGGATTACGTTGGCTCTTAATAGTGGAGAGGAAAAGTGGTAATAATAGTGTGAGGACGAAGTAGCTAAGAATTAGAATAAAAGTAGGAGGAGTAGTTTACACGATGAGATCTTGCACACTTTTTTTTTTGGTGAATGTAACACCGGATTGTTTATTCAACGAAAAATGAAAATGAAAAGTGAAAGTAATAGAAGTCGTACATCTCTTAATATGCCTATTACGCTAAACAAGCACCATCCTTCAAACTCTTTGTACAAACACCAAGATTGACACCTGCTTCTCACAGTGCCCAGGGTATCTCGACACCAAAATCACGGGCAACCTTCATGGCGGATACGACACATCCCTCTAGAAGAACCATGCCATCCCAGCACCATGCACCGGCTATCCACACATTATCGTCACCATTCGTCCAGTCACAGTCATCATCCAAGAGCTTTTCATTTGTATCGTCGTCCGGGTACGCTCGCCCCATCATCTTCTCCACCGCAGCCCTGCTCTGGGGTGTCCGCAGCGTCCTGGTGAACTTGGCGTACCGGATGGCATTTTTGGGCGGCCCAGTTGAGTCGATGGGACATGTGCTTACAATGACACCGCTTGGCATAGTATGTAGGGCTTCGGTCTGAGAGCCCTTGTTGGAGAACCTTGTCTTGAGCATGATGGTCTGGGCTCGCGAGCCATCTTTGCTGTGGTGCATGCATCCTGCTGACACGCCATCCTCGCTAGATTTGTGTACAACCGAGTATCCGTTTTCCTTGGTCATTGGGAGAACAGAACTCTCGACTTGGACCGTGGGCATCTTGTGCGCAATGGCTGCAAGTGGTGCAAATATACGAGAGGCGACATCAGGCGATACAGCCAGGACCACGCGGTCAAACAACTCCTGCTCCTCCTCCGTCGACCCATTAGACTTCCACCGTACAAGAACGCCACCAAGATTTGGCGCGGGTGCAACTCGGGACACGCGCGACCCTAGACGTGTGCCGTCTAGGCCATTGCTTAGTTTGGCCTGGATTTGACTGACGCCTCCGCACACTGCATAGTGCTGATGGCCGTGGGACAGCCTCTTGTAGTTGACAATGTCGCTGGCTGGAAAAACTTGAGCATCTCAGCGTGGGTGCACGTGGACACGCTACTCATGAGCGGTAACAGGTAGTGCGAGATGTACCGGCGTGGCATCCATATACGCTCCAGGTACTCAGCGAACGATTCACCGCCCCCCGGCCCGGTGGTATTGGGCACAATGATGAAGCAGGCGACGGAGAACCAGAGTTGGCAGATGATGAGGTACATAATCTCGATAATGTGCAAGAGGACGCTACGCTGACTAGGCCACGGTGGTGGCAATTGGTGCAGATTCGACGCGTGCACAAAGTAGCTCCGCTGTTGACCGCCTTCAGAGTCGCCGTCGGTGGACGTGGGAATGCCCTTGGCCGCCAGTGGGATAGCCTCCGAGAAGATGAATAGGAAGCGGATGGGATGCAAGGGCACGTTGAGATGGCGATACATGCGCATCAGGTTGGCGTAGTAGCCGCCGGCGCTGGCACGCATGGGCAAGTCGACACGTTCCACGTCGCCCGTCTTTTCATTCTTGACGGTGATAGAGGCCGAATCGAACGAGAGGCTTTCCGTCTATCCGTGGTGAGTAAGTACCACTCATAACGTCATCTTTTCATCTTCGTCGCCGTCAAGCTTGCTTACCTGATCCAGCAGTGTCACGTCGTACCGTCGGTGCTTATCATTCTTCAACAGGTACGCTGTTGTCAGGCCAGCCAATCCAGTACCTACAACGGCCACCCGGACAGGTTGTTTGTCGTCCATATTCGGGGCGCGGGTCTGATGAGAAGAGCTCAAAGAAAGGGGATATTATATCGTGAAATATGAGAGTAGCTTGGACGCTCAGAGACGCTGAACATGCATTATTCGCAGGGGGCGCAGTTAGAGAAAAGAAACGGACGGGTTTTTCTTGGTGACCTAGGCCAAGTGTGGATGCCTGAGCGAAAGAAGGTGAAGGACAAACTCGAATCAAACTCGAATCAATCAGAAAGGGCTAACATCAGCGAGACTACTCGTATGTCTCCACTACAACCCAGCCGTGTCTGAGAGATGAATAATGGGCTCATTATTATTATTATTTTGTTGGGAGGATCAACCAGCGACACCCAGTACCGAGGGTCGCGGACGCAGATGCGAGGCGAGGCCCACAATCTTGGCGTGGCGGAGACATATTACACATGCGCGTATCAAGGGGAAGGCACGATCCGTCCCTGTAAACCGTCACGGCAATCGCCAATCTGCCACGGGCGAATCATTACCATCATGATTACTAAGAGGTGAAGCAGGGTGACCGGTTCTGATTATTGTTGGCCATGCTTGTAATAGTTCTGAGTCGCTGTTACAAGGATTATTTCTTTTAGCATCTACTCGTATAATTAACAACCATTTTTGTGTGAGATGATTTGGGAAACTCAGGACAGATTGCCAGGATCGCTCAGGCACAGGGTCCAATAAGACGAAACCCCACTCAAACGTCGGAGAGGGACAAAGATTTAGTCCTACGTGGGGCTATACTTCTATATTGCAGGCTGCTCTTCAAAGGGCGTAGGAGAATATATCGATCTTATTAGATCTTATTAAAAAGCTACCAGTATGAAGAACAAGATTAGAACGAGAGCTTGCAATAAAGTGGCGTAGTGGTAAGAATAAGAGCAAGTGAGAATGAAGCTACCATATAAGAATGAACAGGGATATATGCACATTAAGAACCCCACTAAAAAGTAAAGCAGCACGTAAGCGAAACCACTCCTAAAGACAGGTCAAGAGTAAAAAGGTAACAAACAGCGAGGATAATCATCCTTCGGTGCAGCGCTTCAACAATCGCTCGCTCCTACGACGTATCGGGAATGGCGGGCGGTTTTCAGCCGCGGATGAGGCGTCAAGATGGGAGGCATCCATAATGCTATGTATCGCGTCGCGTATAGATTGAAGCCTCTCAACTCGGCCCCAGTAGACAATGTTCTTAATCGATCTTCAAAGTCGGAGGTAATCGTCTGGCTTCCGTATGATGGAACGGTCTACCCAGCAGGTCCAGCACTTATTCTCGTGGTCCCTCCACGTATTGCATAGACAAGCCCTCACATTATCGATGGCCAACGACCAGGTAGAATTATCTACCGGTTGGAAGGAAGGGTGGCTTGATGTGTGTCAGTAGACGCCCTCAAGTAACTGCTCGTTGAGTCGTTCCGATATCCGGGAGCAAGTTGCAGCACCGCCAGGACATTGGTTGGTGGCAACGTGCAAGCTGCTGCCTGATGCTCTGCTATCTCCTTCAACTTCAATAATGAAGAACGGATATAGCATCTCAGAGGTGGTTGACCTGCCATCGTTACCGGGGCCTTGGCTAGCGAGCTATCCGTACTGTGCTCGGGAGAAAGCATCCTTGGTCCGGCTGTACCCGTAGATTATATCGGGAACCGGGGTGCTGATCCCGAATTCCGTGTTCCTCTTTCATGGGACGTATGCTCTTGTAAGCGGGACGCTCTCGGCCCTTAGTAGTGGTTGGATGCCCTGGCCCCTCTCCCTTGGGAGAAAGTGCTCTTGGACAAGATTCTTAACCTGATGCTCCATAGCGCCAAACATAACAGCCACAAGATTCTCATCCTCAACGATGGAGGAGACGGATAGCTCTGCCGAGCCTCTGTCTTGTATCATGCGGGCAACTAGGCTTAAAGGTCCTGGCGGCAGCGGGTCTTCGGACCCGAAGCGAGAATATATATATCGCGGAGAAGAAGGTTGCAGGTCCCGGTAGTGGGGGTCTTGAACAAGAGTACTAGTCAATATTTTGGACTCGGGCTGTGACGGTGCTCTAGAGCCGTGAGAGAAGGATGGCTCTGATGTGTACTCTGTCACGGATTTGATTTCGGGGGAGATGATGGCTGGCTTGGGACAGGAAGAGGGCAGGGCGGATAGTAGAAGGGCTTCCCAGGAACAGCATGGCAGAAGCGAGGAGGAGCCACCCGATGACCAGCTGTATCCTTGTCTGAACCTTCCACCGAATATAGCCAACTATTGAGAAGGTGGAGGTCATAAGGTTTAAGATATCGGGATGTGTGAGGCCTTTTGGGCATGGATTATAGTTCTGTTTTACCGTCAACTCCAACCCGACGACGGGACTGCTGGAAGAAGTCATCCAACGCCTGCTTTTCATGTGGGCCCTCAATGGGACTCCCGTGTCGGATCATGATGGGACTTGGGTCATTCGGCTTGCTTGACAACGGTCCCTGGAAGCCTAGGTGATGGCGATTTCGATGACGACCTTGTCGGCTGCGTCAAGTCAGGAGCATACACATATATATATGTACGCACCGTCTAGGACAAGAATATGAAATCAGGGCCATATCTGAGGCGGTAATGTTTTCTCACGAAAAAAAAGGATCTAGAAGTATTTTCTTCGGGGGATAGTACTCGGTTAAATGCATATACAACTAGATGCAAAAAGCACCAAGTTACTACTTTGTTCAATGTTCTCCGGAAAAGCCGAATCTTTCGTGGCTCAGAAGTATCTGACTCATTCTCTCATTGTTATAATAGGCACTGACGCCAAAGAGTCTAAATTTGCCGCTCACGACCTTTACAATCGTGTGCTTGGTTCGGCTAGGACCGACTGTTCCCAACATGAACGGGTTGTGTAGATGCGTGGGATTTGTCTTTGTGCAAATGATTGGGATATGACGAAAGACAAGACGAAATGTCCAGATAAATCTAAACGGGAGCAGGTGCTTTAGGGAGGTAGGATACGGTGATGTCGTCGAAGAATACCGTGAACAGAGGCCTTTGATACTAATGCCAAATGAGTAGTCCTATTCGTTCCACCATGAAAAGAATTTCCCTAAATTTCCAGGTTGCTGTAACAAAATTATATGTAAAGAGATAGCACCGGAATACGACTCGGTATAACTCTATAACACGCTTAGGAATCTGCCATTTCTTGTAGGGACGCTTAGAAATTGAGGCTGACTGCGATTCTATTCGTGTCAGACAACGAGTTTGCTTGAGAGAAGGGTAGTAAAGTAAGTGACGAAGTCTGCTAAGCGACGGCATTGCAGCGAATGTACAATGGGAAAGGAAGTTGTATCGATCGTTGACCCCCTTTCTCGTGGAATGAGAAAGGCGGTTACTTATATGACCTCTTCCGTCCCGATGGACCCACTTTTAGTGAGATCACTCCAATGGCTCTGACATCACGAGGCATTGTACGAATCAGCTGGTGTTATTGGAATCGCCCCCTCTGCGTCAGCGTCTGCTGCACAGCTGATCTGGCTATCACCATTGCCTCTTCCTATTCCTCCCCCTCTTCCCCGGGTGTGTGTATGAGCACTTGCGCTCCCCATAGCCGCTTCTGCAGCCTGTGTGATGATCTCGGCTTGTGAAAGCTTATTCACACCGTTGATAGGGTGCTGCCGCGTGGTCTAATTGGTGATTGCAGCGCCATTTTCTGGATAGAAGTTCTAGAGAAAAGAGGAGGCTTTCAAATAAATCAAAGAGTGGTGATGATGTCGACGGAGGAATAGCGCCAGAGTCCCCCATCCATAGCGTTGTGTTAACTCCGTTGACGTGAAATGTATAAGGTGCAATATAAGGTGTTTTCTCCACGATGTAAAAGGGAGGGCATCTCTTAGATATTTAGATATACATTTAGCCAGCCAATCATAGCGCTAACACCTTTGGAAGTGAGATGGGAATTTTCTATAGTGGTACAGATAAGGATTTGTTGTGGTACGAATAGTGTCATAGAAAAACTACATATAGCTTATGTAAGCAGGACTCGACTATAAAACCGTCGAGTCCATCGCTACAACTGTAATAAGACAAGTACTTGACACCACACAACACCTCACCTACCTTACTCCTCCCTCCATAGAAGAATAGCCATGGGTCAGGGAGTTCCTAAGTACCTATACCCAACCGAGGTCTCTTGAGAAGACCTGAAAGGAACACACACACACAATACACACACACCAAGCTGATGCCTCCATAATCGAATTACGTGACACTCCTAGACTTCTGCTTTGAAACTAGAGCCAAGATCCGGATGACTAAGACTCCATGCCTCGGAAGAGCCTCTCGCCAACTCCGAATCCCCCACCAAATGTTTGCGGGACCCTTTGAGTCCAATGCTCTTTCCCTGTTCCCCCGCCTCTCCGGCATTATCTACTTGTCCACAGCCGGGCGATTGTGACGCACAACTTGTTTTGTCACCAACGTTTTGTCAGCATCCTCTTCTTCACCATCGCGATTACGCCTTCTTGTCGTTATCTGCTCATTTTCTTTTTCATTTTTTTTTTTTCATTTTCCTTCCGTTGCTTCTATCATCGTTCGGTCTGGAAGAAAAACACAAAAAAAAACAATGGGAACTTCGGCGTCCCGCACTGTTGCCCCGCCGCCGCCGTCGGACAACAGCCTCCGCAGTGCTGAGCACGCGACAAGCAATACCAACTCCAACAGTCCCTCTACTTCAAATTTTACAATGCAGACTCCTTCTTCCGAGTCGACCAAGACGTCGGAGTCGGCACCGACCGTCATTCATGGATACACATTCCCACAGGATAAACTGAAGCGTCGGCTGCAGAAGCCCGGCCAGACGCCGCTGGTGCTGGTGGCCTGTGGCAGCTTCTCGCCTATCACCATCCTGCACTTGCAGCTGTTCGAGCTGGCCGAGCGTTACGTAGAGCGCAGTGACAAGTTTGAGATTGTCGGGTGTTACGTTAGCCCGTGTAGTGATACGTATGGCAAAAGTTCTCTGGTCGCATCGAGCCATCGCATAAATATGTGTGTTTCTATTCCCACCCTCTCCTACTCTACTTCTTGTATCTCTCTTTCTTCGTCTCCCTCTGCTTGTGTGTGTTTGCTAATGTCGGCTTTTATGCCGTTGCAAAGGTGCAAATTAGCCATTGAGGAAAATGGAAGCAACATCATGATTGACGAGTGGGAAGCCGTGCGCAAAGACAGCGACGGTAGCCCGGTCTACACGCCGACATCGGACGTGCTGCGGAGACTAGATGACCAGCTCAATAATGTCCTGGGAGGTATTGAGACGGCTGACGGATCGTCAACCGTAAAAGCCAAGGTTATGCTACTCATGGGGGCTGACCTGGCCCAGACCATGTCCGATCCCAATATCTGGGCCCCGGCCGATATCGACGTCCTTCTCGGATACTACGGTGGATTCATCGTCGAGAGACCAGACCAGTGCGATATAAACAAGGCCATAGAGCCCCTCCGGAAGCATCAGCCCCCCTACAACATCTTCGTCGTGCCCTCGTTCCCCAACGATGTCTCCTCTACAAAGATTCGCGCTCAGCTGCGCAACGGCGAAAGAGCGCTCGACCTGCCCGAGTCCGTTTTTGACTACATCCAAAAGCATGGCTTGTATCGGGATTCGTAGCCTTCGTCGGGTACTATAGGCCCAAGCGCATGACCAGGCAATAATGTCTCGTGTGCCGTCGGCATACGAGACATTATTGCCTGACCAATTTCATAACTAGGCTTATGAGCTCTCTCTTTTTCTTTAAAGTCTCTGTCTTTTCCTGTTCTCTTCGTTCTTCTTTTCCTTTCTTTTGTTTGTTACAAGCATGCTTTGTGAGAAGCAGCCTTTTCTTTGTCAAAGACTTACCTTTATATACCAACCCCTTCTGTCCCGTTCCAACCACTCGGTATATCGCATATAACCGGGAGACGGGAGCATATACTACTACTACATGTACAATCAATACCGCCCAGCAGGCGTTTAATAGGGTTTCCTGCGTTTTCTTCCTCTCCCCCCTCTTTCTCTGGCAATCCCGACTAGATATATGCTCTAACCAAGCCAGCTGCATTGCTATATAAATTCTATGATACCAATTTGGATATACATATGCCCTTTTATCTCTCTCCTTGAAGCCATACTCACATTACAGTACTTTTACATGACAGTACTTTTAATACGGTTTAAACAGGTCGGTGCAATTTTCTTGATGTCCGGATCGCAGTTGCAGTTGCACCCCAGCTCCTTCTCCGGACCTGCACTTCTAGATCGACCCTTAAAATCGGGTACCAGCTCGCCACGCGCTCTAGACTCGTCGGTTGGACCGTGCGTGCAGTACTGAAAGGGTTTGTGGACGTAGCCAAAGTCGGAAAAGTGGTGGACCTGTTCAGGGCGGAGCAGGAGGGCCGCGGCGAGGCTGTGGACAGGTGCGTCACCCCAGCGCTCGTAGTAGAAGCCACCGTCCTCGTCCAGGAAGCGGAACATGTCGCGATACTCCTTGGAGCGGAAGAAGTCGAGGTCGGCAATCTCAAAGTTGGACCAGAAGTGGCACATGTTCCACAGGTCGCCGTAAGGGTCACGGTTACGGATCCACCACGTCAGTCGGCGGATGGGCCATGGGAGGTACGATGGGTCGATCAAGGCTGTCCACAGCGACGTCGTCGGGATGTTGTGCGCCTCCTTGTAACGCGTCAGCTTGCGGAACAGCGTAGGCACCGTCTTGCCCAGCTCCCACAGAGCAATGGTATAGCCGTATCGCTTGTCATTCCGCTCCATCTCCACAAACGGGTCGTACGTTATGGCGCAGGTAAACTGTACGTCGGAGTCGACTCGCCAGTACCACTTGTAGTCGCGCAGTGCCGGGTGGTCATAGAAGAAGCTGTGAGCCATGACACACTCAGTTAGCCGCCAAGTCCTTCTTCTCGCCTATGTGCTTCTGCTTACCCCGAATTGAACCGGCACATGTGATGATAGCTCTGGCTACCGGCATAGCTGATGCGCCTGCTCTTCATGTTGGCCATGCTCTGTTTGGCCTTGTCTCGGTCGATCCAGTCCGGGTACCCCCACATGTCGGGGGGGATCGTCTCAAAGTTAGCCGTCGCGCCGCCGCCGCCCGCCTCAACGGCGTGGCCGACCCTCGTCTTGAACTCGGCGGTCCACTCCTTGTCGTTTAGGAAGACCCAGGGGTAGCCAAAGTGGCGGTTGAATTGCTCCTGGACGTTGCGGACGCTGCCCACAGCATCATTGACGTCGACGTTGCGCGCCAGCATCACCAGCGCCGCATTCGCGCGCGCCGACGTGTTGAGCACGGGCTCCTGGCACCCTACATAAAAGGGCGGGTCGAGGTTTGTCGATGGCCGCGGCACATCGAAGCGCCGCACGTGCACCAACACCTCGACCAGGAGGAGCAGCGCCACCACTGCCAGGAGCTTCCAGCTGCGCCTGAGGGTGCGGGCGGCGCGTCGGATTCTCAATGAGGCCGCCATCCGTCGGGCCGGTCGCTCATTGTGTAATATCGGTAGGTCGTCTCGTTTCGAGCTCGCTACCCATGGCCGTCGATGGACCATGGCACAATTATATTTTCTTCTTTCAAACTATTGTCTTCTCTCGATGGGAATCATCGCCGGTTGATGAGACCCTAGTGTCTGATGGGGCGGGGCTTGGCGGAGTGGAGGTGTGGGTGCCCCTGAAGGTGTGAGCTGCTGACTATTCTATATTAGCACTGTGAAGAGACGTGGTGATCTCTTTATATGGCACAGTGCCCATCTTCTTTCCTGGCTTTGACATGTCGTCCCTCTTCGCGCCTGATTTCTATCTTGCAGTAGTCCATCTAGGTGCCTACAATTAACATCGCCAAGCATCGCCAAGTATCTAACGCTGGTCTGGCTGTCATGTCCTACGTCACATACCCTGGGCGATATGGATGATGGGCCCATGAGTAGCCAAGAGGCCTAAGCATCACCACGCGATGTTGGGTTAGTCACGATTAAATCCCTTCTTTATTCATGTATTGTCTTTTGTTGATCTTTATAGATTGTGATCACGTCCGTATGTCTAAGACTTGCGGTGCATGATAGTAGCGGCTGCTTGATGGTTGGGGAGGAGGAGCGTATCTGCAACAACAACGTTTTCTCTACGGCCGGCAGCGAAGATGATAGACTCGGCAATATCCTCGGGGGTCAAGGGCTCACATCCGCTGAGAGTATCAATGTCAGAGTCAGTCCCGGGAGAGGTGAGAAATGATTGCTAGGACAGAAAGGAGAAGGGGGGGGGGGGAGGACATACGCATATACAGCATCAGCCTTGCTCTTGTCGCCGTAGAACCGGACAACGGAGAACTCCGTCTCGACCTGGCCCGGGTCAATGCCAATGACTCTGACCCTCTTGGAGACGAGCTCCTTTCGTAGGCTCTCGGTGAAGGAGCGCACGGCAGCCTTTGTCGCGCAGTAAATGCCACCACCGACGTAGGGTTCACGGCCCGCGATGGAGCCAATGTTGATGATGTCCCCGGCGCCTTCGCCGTTTCTACGCTTCAGCATCATGGGCAGGATTTCCTGCGTCATATTGATGAGGCCCGTGACGTTTGTCTCAAACATGACGTTGATTTCCTCTTCTGCGATCTCTGGTGCCCTGGCCACGCCCTTCACTAAGCCTCTGTAGAATTTGATGTAAGCCTGTGTTCTAGTCATCTTCGGGTGGAGAATCCGCATATGCCTACGCATTGTTCACCAGTACGTCAATGTCCCTGAACTCATTTGGTAGTTGGCTGACAAAGGAACGGATCTGGCCAGCATTTCTGACATCGAGCTGTACAGGCAACACCCTGACTCCGTTGCCGACTTCCTTGACGATTTCTTCTGCGATCTGCTTCAGATTGTCGATTCGGCGGGCCGTTAGGATAATCCTGAGGTCCTTGGAGCTTGTGCGGGCAAATTCAAAAGCTGTGGCCCTTCCGATGCCCGATGAAGCACCGGTTATGAGAATGGTCTTGTTTTGGAGGCGTTGAGACGCCATGGTATGTGGCCGTGTTATGAGGAGAACTGATGACTGTGTAATTGTGACAGTAGCAAAAAGGAATGTTTATTACTGCCAGGGAGGCCGGACCGATGACTATATTTACTGATATAATACATGTGCTTCGATCCAAGGGCCCCTGCACTATGACGAACGCTTACAGCTGTATTACTGTCCGGGTCCCGAGGTTGCATATCCGTCCCCGTCGTTAAGAGTGGCCCATTGATCTATTTTCCGTGTGTGTGCTTACCCGTCTCTTAGCCTAGTTGCCCGTTACCTGAGCTTTTCCGTGTAGATTGGTGAGATGGGAAAACTGCGAGCCGTCCCTAAGGCAGTGCAACTCAGCAGAAAGGAATTTTCCATTCAAGATATTCACGCTTAGTTTACAGCATACTAGAGAACAAATATCTGTGCTTGTAGTTGTTTCTGTTTCCACCTCTTGTTTCAGGGCTGAAATAGGTCGTCCCTGAGAAACGAGTCGAGATTTCCCAACCCAGAGGACACCATTGAAGCAAACTGGCCCCATCCATAGGTATCAGTAAATACATAGTTTGGCATCCCATTAAAATCAACCATGTTTGCCCCGGATGAGTCAGTGTAGTTGGTCACGAGATTAGGACTATCGTCTGTCGCCACTGATGTCGCTGCACTTGTCTGGCGTACAGCTTCAACTCGGAGTTCCTCTAGAACAAACCCATACCGTTCCAGTAGCGATCCCTTCTCCGCTACGGACGAGATATGGGACTGGCATTGGATGGCGGCTGCCAGGTAGCTACTATACACCTCTGGCGGTGAGTCCTTTTTCTGTATGACGTATATGTAGAGTACAATGGTGGCAGTGAATGCAAAGTAAGCCGTGATCTTGAAAGCAGTTAGTTGATTTCGTCATATTTCAACAAGAAAGACATACCCAGAATGCACGAAACATCTTCTGGTTTTGCGTAATGCGATCAACTGTATGTACCGTCTTCATGGCAGCCATCAAGCACTGCTGAACACTCTCCTCCGTCTGCGGGTCGTTGACATCCTGGCCGCTTCCTGGTTGAGGATTTCTCAAGAGGCGGGTGAGGTTGTGCAATACAAACGGTCGGTGGGTGAGAATGATGCAATGCCAGTAGGTAAGGTTGAGGACGTTCTGTTGCCGCTGAAATATAGGAACTATGATAGATGGCGATGTTTTGAAGAAGAATCTGACATCGAGGAATTGGGAGAAATCGACTTGCCAGTCGCTCAGATCCTTCGATATCCTTTCCGTCAAGATTACTCGGCGAGAGGTCGATATAGGTCTGATGGAGTATAGATCGCGGACAATCTTGCTGATAATGCGGGCAAGTCTGCACGTCTCTCGTATTAGCCAGATGAAATATACCAAAGAGAAGAGGGTAGATTTACTGAATGTGGGCAAGGGAAGCAACCATCGTCGACGGATTTCTTCCCCGAATAGACGCGGCGATTCTATCTACAGTGATTTGATCATCGTCGACTTGCGCTGGGAGTGGCGTATCAATATCATCGTCATGGAATGACCTCGGCCTGCCCAGAGCAACACTCAAATAGGCGTCGAGTGTATAGGCACACCAGAATGTTCTCCGGCGGCATTCAATCTCAATCATAGTCACACCACCTGTCCCATCGAAGCGCCTGTTGCGATTGAGCCCGATGGCGAGTGCCAGGTTTCTCACAGTACCAAATTGGCTCCAGCACTGGTTTATGCGGGATTGGGCAAGAAGATAGTAGCACTGAGTCAATCGAGCCTGGACACTACTCAAGCGCACTGAGCCTCTCTCCTTTGTAAGTTGATGTTCGGCTGCGAGATAGTACCGAGTACTTTCATGCTGTGCGTCAGTGCTGATTCTCTATCCGTCTATCCAGGACATCAATACATTGCTCACCTCATGTCTTCCGGACCCAACCGGTCAACTTCGGGCATGTAGACCCTGGCGTGAGCAAAGACCATGAAGAGGAGTGCAATTTTGGCCGGAGCGCTATGTGCATCTCGCATGACGCCAAGGGTATCGTAGAACTCGACGAACCATTCCTGAAGGGTAGGTCGATGCAAGAATCGGTATGTTGGCATGGCGAAGTCAAAGTACCGGTCTATCAGGCGCTGTGCGTCATCCCGGGGGAGCATCATACAGAACGACGGATCGAATTCCGGGAGCTGCAGAGGAGCATCGCCGAAAGTGAAGATCGTGCTGGCTGAAGAGAAGGAGATGACCTGGTGTAGACGCTTCTGCACTCGGATCAAGAAGGCCGTCCCCGAGGCTGGACCGACATAGTGGCCTTGAGGATCAATCGAAGATGGTTCAGGGGATGCTCGTGATGACGACACCAGGTGCAGATAGTCTGAATTTGCGGCCGTCAACCGTGTTGGTGTGATGCGGCGGTTTTGCAAGTCAGTGGCCAGGACATCTTGGTCAATCGGGGCATCTTCAACCAGAACTTCCGGCACAGGGGTATCATCCGTCCCTCCATGAACTGATGAGGGCACGATGGTATGATGCCGGCCTCTGGTGTAAGAAGAATTGAAAGTGCAACTCGCTTTCCCTCGAGCACAAAAGTCGCACGGAGCTTGGCCGTTGCACTTGATCTTGCGTCTAAGAGATGAGTCGTCAACGGTTAGCTAAACCACAGAATGTACGGGATGCTTTTTCTGTTACTTTTTGCACCTGTCACAAGCTCTTGTTACTCTGATCCTCTCATTGGTGTTTCTTTTCCGCTTTTTGAGCGAGTGCAATTTGAGCGTTTGCATGCTGTCGCCATCGGCAGACGCTGGCGATTGATGACCTGTGGAAGGCATTGAGTATCACGTACGAAGTTTGTGCGTTACTGTCTGTAATTGCGGCATTTCGTGTATGGGCGGATGATTGTTGGGTCAAGTTCAATGAGTTCCTAGATCCCGACCGACGTGGATATCCGTCATCATTATATCCGTCGGAAACATTAGCCGTCAATCGGATGATCATTGTGATCCTTGGCAGTCGCTTTTCCGCCTCGTAACATCAACCCGAGCGGGGAGCCCTGGCCATAGACTGACTGCCTCCGCATTCGGAGAAGTATCACCCTGGGATTCAAGTACAATATTTATGTCGGTCTTTCCTTTCTGTCGAAACTGGTGAATCTACGTTGAAATCAGATTCTCTAGCGGACTGGTTGAACACCGAATCACCATGTCTCATCCTGTGCCTCCCGCAGCTGGCGTCTGGGCCCCAGCAATCACATTCTTCGACCAAGAAACGGATGCTCTTGACACTGAGTCTCAAGCCAGGTACTACACATATCTATCCAACACCGGACTTGCAGGGCTGGTGATACTCGGTACCAACGCCGAGACCTTTCTTCTTACACGGGAGGAGCGCAAAACACTTCTCCAAACTGCCCGGAAAGCATGCGGACCATCATTTCCCATCATAGCCGGTGTAAGCGGTCACTCAACCAAGCAAGTGTTGGAATACATCTCTGATGCCGTGGATTCCGGCGCAAACTACGTGCTGGTTCTACCCCCTGCCTATTTTGGCAAACAGACAACGCCAGCCGTCATTGACAGGTTCTTCGACGACATCGCCAAGGCATGCCCTATACCCATCGTCATTTACAACTTCCCCGTCGTATGCAACGGAATCGATCTCGACTCAGCAACTATTGCCAGACTAGGTCGAAAGCATAAGAACATTGTCGGAGTGAAGCTTACCTGCGGAGCCGTGGCCAAGATTACTCGACTGGCTGCCGAGTTTCCAGAGGACGAGTGGACGACATACGGTGGCCAGTCAGACTTTCTCATCGGTGGCCTGGCCGCAGGCTCCAAGGGTACCATAGCGGGATTCGCCAATGTCTTCCCCAAGACCATTGTGCACATCTACAACTTGTACCAGCAGGGCAAGATTAGGGAGGCAATGGACCTACACAAAAAGGCTGCATTGGCTGAGCAGCCTTGCAAAACTGGAATTTCGTTCGTCAAGTATGCAGCGGCCTTGAATACGGCCAAAGCAGCGGGAATCGAGGGCGCCGTGGATAAGTTGAAGCCTAGGAGGCCTTATCTTGAGCCCAGTGAAACGGAGAAAATGAATATTGAGCTCCAAATTTCCGAGATGGCCAATATAGAGGCATCATTGTAATTAGGAAAAATGAATTCAACGGGTCTTGTTTCCCCTTCCCTTTGGAAGTGTGTCCAGCCCTAAACCTGTATCTACAGTACCCTCAACCCTTACACGTATAACCCCAACCCCAAACCCATGGATTGGTTGTTGAACGTACCAGCCCCGCTCGTTGCCCATCAAGAGTATGATGGAAGGCTGCATGGATGGTCGCACTTCAAATGCGAGAGGTTTAATAACGGCATTAGACCTGTCGTACAAAATAGATATAGAGGGAAACAGCAGGAGTTGAGACTGCGTATTGGGAGTCCCTCCGGAAAAGGACTTCCGACCGTTCATCCTATGTACGGATAAGCAATGCGCACACCTATATTACATGCGTCCCACCTTCTCCGTGTCTGTCCCACAGTTTACTTACTGGCTTATCCTGGATGTATCGTCCGCATGGCACGGATAATAGTCTACAGTCCATACCACAGGATAAATGACCAGTATTTCGGCTGCAAAAACCAGTTTGTAATATGGTAGTATCTCAGGCCTTATCCGCATATGGTTGAATAAAAGGATAGTCGGGAGTCCAAAAGAAGTTTCTCCTGGATTTTGCATCTTAGTTGATTCGCCTTCAAGAGTCAGCTGCATATATTAACTATCATCTTGATATCTACTTCGGAATTCACGATCATGTCTCATCGCGACGTTATCCGAGAGATAATCATCACGCCCGTGGCATTCCATGATATGCCCCTTTTGAACAGTGTCGGCGTGCACGAACCTTTTGCCCTGCGCAGCATCGTTGAGGTCATCACAGACGATACTTACGGCCTGGGCGAATCATATGGTGACTCGACTCACCTGTCTCGTCTACAATCAGCAGCAGATCGTATCAAGGGCATCACAGTGTATGACACCAATGCTATCTACCAAGCATGCGTCGACTCTCTGCTGGGAACCACAACCACCGGCGGCGATGGAATGGGGGGCATGGTGACCACTGCGAGTGTCGCTGACAAAGTCTTCTCTCCATTCGAGGTCGCAAGTCTCGATATCCAGGGCAAGTTGGCAGGTGTTCCTGTGAGTGCCCTGCTGGGCGGGAGAGTAAGGAGCAATGTCCAATACTCGGCATACCTCTTCTACAAATGGGCCGGGCATCCGGGCTCTCCCGACGACGAGTACGGTGCTGCTCTTGACCCAGCTGGGCTCGTGAAGCAAGCCCGTAAAATCATTGATAAGTACGGCTTCAAAGCCATCAAGCTCAAGGGTGGTGTCTTCCCACCTGCCCAGGAGGTTGAGGCCGTCAAGGAACTCCACGCCTCATTCCCTGGCGTGCCTCTGAGGCTAGACCCCAATGCTGCATGGAATGTTGAAACATCGAAATGGGTTGCCAAGGAACTCACGGGGATTGTCGAGTACCTGGAGGACCCAGCCCCCGAGATTGACGGCATGGCAGCGGTAGCGAAGGAGGCACCCATGCCCTTGGCCACCAACATGGCTGTGGTCGCCTTCAGTCAACTCCCCTCGTCCATTCGACAAGACGCTGTTCAGGTGGTTCTCTCCGACCATCACTTCTGGGGTGGCCTTCGCAAGTCCCAGATTCTGGGGTCGATATGTTCTACCTGGGGCATGCGTTTATCCATGCACTCCAATAGTCATCTGGGAATTTCACTCGCCGCCATGACTCATCTGGCGGCAGCAACGCCCAATCTTGACTATGCCTGCGATACGCACTGGCCTTGGAAACGCGATGACGAGGATGTTGTTCTTGATGGCGCTATCAAGTGGGTCGACGGCGGTGTCGTCGTGCCTACAACCCCCGGGTTGGGAGTAGAACTAGATAGGGAGCGGTTGGCGCGTCTTCACAGGCAGTACATCGACTGCGGGCTGCGCAAGCGAGATGATACGACTTATATGAGGAGGTTTCAACCAGATTTCTCGCCTGATATTCCCAGGTGGTGAGCCCAATATAGTAAGCGGATATTATAGGTCAACGCTTGTAACTATCGCTTCGACATCGTCACATTAAAAATGAGTACTGTTTCCCATCGTCACTACTCTGGATTACAAGGTCCGGTTCAAGTAGACGCTGGAGGTACTGGAAATCATCCGACTGTCATTTTAAATAAGTGTCATATAGTAAAGGGCTAATGTCGAACTCCTGGTGCCTCTCGATGTCCTTGCAGTGTCTTGGCGTTCACATGGTCTCGTGTATATGCAACCAGCCATCATTATCTGCGTGAGACGGCCGCATCTATGCCACTCTTGTCGCTCCATGCTACATGTCATTGGTAACACAACGGGATACTCCATGCGATTTGGGGAAGAATCCGAGGTAGAGCGCGCGGGTTGCCTCGGATATGACTCGGATATCCCCAGCCCTAGCTGCTCTACGGATATGCTATGCCCAGACATGACTACCCACAGCATCCGAACCCTGTTACCCATTACCCAATGAGCCTCAGAACCCGGGAAATCGGCCACAACGATTGACATTTCCGTGCTTCTGTCTTCTCTGATTGAAACATGGGAACGCGGGGGTGGAGTAACTTGCTCTCAACAATGCGGGGAAGTCAGGGGTCAATACGACTTGTCGAGACTCTTGAGCCCAGTGTATGTGTATATGCATTGTCTCTAGAAATGCTGTTGTATATTAATGCCATCAGTCCAGCCGTCGGCTTTCCTTTTGTTGACAGTTCCTACTTGAAGTTCAACGGAGCTTTCTCGACACCAACTTCAACAAGGTCACTACATATATTCTCTTACAAATCTCACGGACTTCTCCTTGCCTGTGAATGAAACCGTCGGCAACATGGCAAAGCCAGTCGCAGGCCACCGTGGTAACTCGACGAGGACGATCGTCGTCAGCCTAGCCATCAGCCTTGCTGGGTACGTCAAGCAGTATACAATCAGACTCACGAGGCTAATTACCATCTCTTCCTCCAACTAGGTTTCTGTATGGCATCGATACAGGAATAATTGCCTCGACTATTGCTCAGAAGACCTTCAAAACTTACATGTATGGTTCGAGTGCAGAGGATGCTTCTGTCAGAGCCGGTATCGTATCTGGCTATTATGCTGGCTACGTTTTCGGTAGCGGCGGCTCGGCTTACACCATGGATAAGTTGTCTCGCCGCTGGAGTTTACTCCTCGGTTCGTGTGCAAGTGTTCTTGGTGCTATACTACAGACTGCCGCTCAAAACCCGGCAATGATGATTGTTGGTCGTGCTTTTTCCGGGTTCTCAACCGGCATGGTTTACCCAACGGCACCCGTTTACCTTGCTGAGCTGTCCCGTATGTATAATTTCTTTATTTTACTCCGTCATACTTACGATTTACGTTTCTAATAACCTTTAGCTCCGGAGAACCGCGGATTCCTCGTCGGCCTTAAAGGGTACGTATTTCCGTTCTTTAGTCTTTCCTACCTGAACAACACTGACAAGAATTTTTCAGATTGATGAACACACTCGGATTCTTTGCAGCCGGGTGGATAGGCTACGCTGGCTCATTTGCCGTTGGTGAACTTCAATGGAGAATCCCCTTGGCCACCCAGATACCGCCTGCTCTATTGTTGGGTGTCTTTACCATATTTCTGCCCTACTCCCCACGATGGTGTAAGTGCCCATTCTCAGCATATCAAGGCTCGTGGACGTGCTCCATCTGACCAATTACAGTGGCTATGAAGGAGAGATATGACGAGGCCAAAGCCGTTATGTACTCTCTCCAGGCTCACCGTGGTTCAGAAGTCATAGAAGCGGAATTTGCCGAAATGTGCAGCCAAATCAGGCTGGAAGCCAACAAGAAGAAGAAGTCCCGGTATACGACTCTCTTTACTCGCCAATATCTGCGCCGTAATCTTCTAGCTTGCCTAATCGTCAATATGACCAAGCTTTCCGGGTCGAATATCATCCAGAACTACCAGTCCGTCATGTATAACTCTCTCGGCTACGAGGGCCGGACCGTACTCCTCATTGGAGGCCTATACGGTTTCATGGCAATCATTGGACAGGTTATCAACGTTTTCTTCGTGGCTGACCATTGGACTCGACGAACTACTGTCGTAACTGGAAACTATATGCTTGCCTTGCTTCTTGCCATATTGGCCGCATTGTCGAAATACTATGGTGAAGGATCCGACAATCCGGCTGGCGCACGTGCTGGCGTCGCGTTTATCTTCATGTTTTCCTTCGCCTACTCCTTCTACTTCAACAGTGTCAACTGGGTCCTAGTGGCAGAAATCTTTCCTCTCGACCTCCGTGGGGCCGGCGTTGGCTTTGCCGTCTTCACCCAATCTATCACGGCAATCTGGCTGTCGTTTGCGGCATCCATCGCCTTTGATTCCATTGCTTGGAAGTTCTACTTCGTCTTCATCGCTTGTAATGTCTTCGCCGGAACAATTTACTACTTCTTCCTTCCTGAGACACGACTTCTGTCTCTAGAGGAGGTCGCGGCCAAGTTTGGCGACGAGGTTGTCGTTCCTCCAACAGCTAAGGAGTTGGGGCTGGAGACATCAGCGCAGAGCCCCGCCGACCCTGACAAGATCGACATATCACCGGACCATGTTGAGGTCTCGCGGAAGTGATATCTTAGCAATTATACTTCGTTATTCTCTACATGATGTAGCAGGATTATTAGGGTGAACGTAGGCATGAATCGGATATGTATTACAGCAGGGAGGTGCAGTTGGCCCCAGCCATTTCTAACTGATTACAAAGTAAATACAAGACTAATCGTGCTTTCAGCGTGTAGGTATGCAGAGGCAAACTCCAGGATAGCACGAGATACACTGTTTGCAATCCTTTAACGAGGTGTAGTTTTGTTTGTCTCATACTGAGTCAAGATCAAGAGTCTGAGGGTCGAGAAGGGGATTGACACTAATACTACCCCTGAGGCCTAAAGAGGGCGTATAAATAGCCGACTTTTCCTTCCTTCCCCATCACAAGAACAGCACGATATTCGCCAAGTGCCTAGATAGGGGGGGTAGGAAACATGGGACTAGTATGGGATCTGCCTGAACAACATCAGGAATCTCCGGATATGTCTAAGACGAAGGCGAGAGTGTCATACCTTGGGGTTTAGATCCTGAAAGAATCCCCATGACGTTTATATTCGTTATACCACTGCTACCCAAAAGCTTGATGCCTATTTGCACTTAGCACTGCACAATTTTTACAAATACTACCAGATAGAGGAGCGAAATAATGATCGACCCATCGGGAGGCTCTCAGGCCTAAGCCTATACCTAACCAGGGTTCGGATACTGGAGGGACCCCCATTAGCCCAGATGGCGCCATCGACCCGAGCCGTGATACTTCAGACATTGAAGACACTGGTGACGAGTTTAGGTGCCTCTAGCAGTCGTGCTTGGATAACAACAACGTGTACGTCTGACCACGCACTAATAATGGCTTGACGATCATGCTTTACGGCTACTACTTTGAGATGGATGTCAGGGTTCACTGCGCCGGTCACTGCCATGACTGGGAACACGTCGTTATCTGGGTAAAGGGCGATACTGCCCGGTAATTTCGTCTTTTTCACCATTATACTTGGTATTCTTTACTAAAGCCAGCCCAGATACGACGTCGCCTGCGCCCACCGGGGCTACGATGTCCGTTCCATAGACGATGTTCTTCAGGATGACGACCGTTCCAACACTGTCTACCCCAAGGAGGCGCCAGCACCCATGCCATGCGCTTTGCCGAGGAATACAACGACGCTGTCGAGAACCACCTTTCACAGGGGCCTTGTCGACTATTCTAGCTCCCCTGCCGATTACATCCGTAATGTCATGCTGAAAAATGGCTGAGGTGTTGGCAAGATTGACTTTTCCGATGTCCACATTGCCGATGCCCTAGGGAAGGTCAAAGGTGACAACGACATCATCCTCGATACCGGGAACGGTGATAACGATACCACGGTTAGCCCTTGGGCCAAACCGAAACACCTACATACATACATTATGCCAGTATCAATTACACGACATATGCGTTCTGTATTTGGCGTGATATGTCGATGCTTAGCCTGTCGCAGGCATACAGGATTTTGACACTCGTTGAAGGCATCGTATGCGCCACTGTAGGCAGATGGAGCAATGTAAGATGCAGTGTAGTTTCCTGAATTGCTCATATATATGCACTATTTTTGATTGATAGACAGAATCAACGCGATGTCTTTGCGACTGTAGTCACGTTAATTGACGATGACGTCAAAATGTTTTTAGTGCGTAACTACAAAGGCATTGGTTGTATTATTATGTCATCGTAAGGGGAAGTAGTAATAACAGGAATAATAGTGTGAGAAAATGCAGTACAAACATTTATAGAGCTCAACTTTGTCACATAGTGAAAGATACTCAAATGGGTAGAAACCAAACTGAGTGCAGAACAGTAGAAATACAGCAGATGACCAATTATGCGCATTTTCACAGCCATATGTTGATACTACTTACATCACCGGCTGGTTTTACCTCCGCTCTTCCACCGCAAATGAAAGCTTACTAAGAAATCATTATTTCCTCCTTCCACCTCTCAGATAAAAGCAACCGTCTTGAGACAAGCAGACCAAGCTCACATCCCGAAAGTTGATTGAGGAGGTAGAAGAGGAAAATTCCTGCAAAAAATCAGGCTCTCCCTCGGAAGAGCAGCACGCGCAAGCTACGTGGCACGGCGCCGAAGGGCTTAGCAGTGAAGAAGCTCACCCGAGCCCCTCTCCCGCTATTTGACGACAGCTCTCAAACGATCACGACCCCACCACAACCTCACCTCTGGCTCGTGCCCTGCCGCGACGATTGTTTCCATCGTCCGTGAAGTCGCAAATGTCTGAAGCCATGGCGCAGATGCCTCCTGCTCTTTACGGCCCGACGGAGAAGGAGAGGAAGTATGATCGCCAGCTGAGGCTTTGGGCCGCCTCTGGTCAATCGGCTCTTGAGTCGGCCAACATACTCCTCGTCAACACGGGTTGCGGTACGGTCGGTGTTGAGGCACTGAAGAATCTCGTCTTACCAGGTTAGGAACCTCCCGTCCTTGATCCCCCACGTGCATGATGGAGTAGAGACTGACCGACATCGCAGGAATTGGCAGTTTCACCATTGCCGACGAGTCTTCCGTGACTGATGAAGACCTCGGCGTCAACTTCTTTGTCGATGAGAAGTCCCTGGGAAAATCAAGAGCAAAGTGCTGCACTGAGCTCCTCGTCGAGCTTAATCCCGAGGTCCAAGGCCAGTGGTGGCCAAGTGAGGAGGTAAGCAAGACACTTCAGGAAGCTCTGGACACGCGCGTCTATTCCAGGTATGCATATGCTGACCAAACTAACGATTGGTAGGACAATTCCACCTTTGAGCAGCTCCTGCAGACATCAGAGCTCTTCTCTTTGATTCTGGTGACGATGCCGATAGATGCGTCTCGCTTCCAGCTCCTCGAGAGTTATGCGTCCAAGCACAACGTCCCCCTTGTTGTCGTCCACTCGTCGGGATTCTACTCTTACTTCAGACTCGTCCTGCCTAGCGCATTCCCAATTGTTGACACGCACCCGGACGAAACAGCCACTGCAGACCTGAGGCTACTTTCTCCATGGCCCGAGCTGACAAAGTTTGCTAAGGACATGGCGAAGGATATTGACAGCCTGGACGACCATGAGCACGGCCATCTGCCGCTCGTTGTCATCCTCCTGCACTATCTCGAATGGTGGAAGGATAGCCACGATGGCGCGTACCCAGTGGCTTACCACGATAAGACTGCATTCAGAGACATCGTGTCCAAAAGCATGAGGCGTGACAACCCCGAGGGCGGCGAGGAGAATTTTGAAGAGGCAGTGGCTGCCGTCATGAAGCATGTTGTGGAACCTTTGGTTCCCAGCACTCTCAAGCAACTATTTGATTATCAAGATCAAGACACGGTAAGTTCCTGATGCCCTACTGTCGTCAGGTTTGTTCGCACAGCTAACCCTCCCCCCCTAAAAAGGAGTCTACCAAGTCGAGTTTCTGGATCATTACGGGGGCCGTCAAGAAATTCTACGAGGCCCATGGAGTGCTACCTCTCCCTGGTAGCCTTCCAGATATGAAGGCTCAGTCGCACGTCTACATACAGTTACAGAACATATACAAGAACAAGGCTCGTCAAGATGCTAGCGAAGTTCTAAGCACAGTCCGCAACACTCCGGGAGGCGCCGATGTTGACCCCCAGGAGGTCGAGCTGTTCTGCACTAACGCCCGCTTCATCAAGCTGATCAACAGTCCCAATGACAAAGCTAGGACTTTGGCGCAGATCACGGAGCAAGAGCTGGGAAACGATGAGATTGCTTCTATTTCTGGCCCCGAAATGCCCCTCTCCCTAGTCCCCATATATCTCGCCCTGTCGGCGACGGCGCACGCCGATGAAGCTCCTACTGCCGAGGCCATCATGGTATCCATCACGCAGCGTGTCCCCGAGGCTGCCAACAAGGAGCGCATAGTCAAGGCCGCCCAGGAAGTCTCCAGAACCTTTGGAAATGAACTGCACAATGTGTCAGCTGCGATAGGTGGCATGGTCGCCCAGGAAATGATCAAGATCATTACCAAGCAGTACATTCCCATAGACAACACGTGCATCTACGACGGTATCGTCAGCCGCTGCCAGGTCCTCAGGCTATAAGTGGATAGTATATACACGTACATACAAAGAAATACTCAAAGGGACACGTTACAATAAAGACCTATGTCTTGGTGTTGGTTTTGTCTTCTCTTCTTTATCGTCCCCTACGATAACACAGGTGCATCAGCTCCTTCTTTGGGAAGAGCCTTTGCGTTTGTGATGATCGATATGTTGTATTGATCTAGGATGACTCTCATCGTGATAGTTATATGTGAGAATGTTTGCTATGTCATCCTGAGGCAACAACCTCGGTCCCGGATTACCCCTTCTTCCGGCTGCATTTGGCTGTTTGATGCAAACACATACAAACACTTGGACACAATGCTCGTATTATCATCCTGGTGTTTTTTTTTCTCCCCCCACGATATGCTGCTATATTACGCATTGATCACAGTGGGCTGGTAAGCCGTCACTAGTATCGTGAACTAGTTACTAGAGTGTGCATCCCTCCCAACTTTGGCTCATTGTTGAGCGGCACAAGAACCGGCCAACATGATAGTCCATGGTTCCTCCGAGATGCTGCCCATATACACGGAAATTATTCCTAATATGACTGCATTATCGACATGACCCCTGCGGTCACCCTCTAATTCGTACCCCGCCGATCCCGCCGGGTTTTCGAGTCAACTCTCCAGAGGCTGGACAGGTAAGTGTACGCCACCGGCTATGATGGGCAGAGAGCCAAAGGATACTACAGTTCCCGACATTGCTAATTTTCCTAATGTCTTGGCTCTACAATCCACCGAGAAGTCATACGAGTGAGTATCCCGACACAATATACCACCCTCGCCGACCCTGACAAATACAGCATGCGCTGGGATTGGAAAAAGAGCAGAGACAATATTCGCCATGACCGATGTTGATTGAGGCAACGGACATGGAAAAGGTGATGTTAGATGGGAGAAAAATAGTACAATTGGATATTACAATTCGAATATCTAAGATGCCTACAAGGAGCAGCTACCAAGATTGGTCAGGGTGAATGACACAAAATTAGCGACCTCGATTAACCGCTCCTTCCCAGCTAGATTCCTACATCATATAGACAAACACGAGATTGGGAAGGAGCCGTGGCCATTGCCATTGGCGCCAAACGCGCAAAAAGATGGAATCTGAAGGAAGGCCCAGCTTGGTAGGAAGTATCGACACAAATCATTAATGACACAACAAAGGAAATACATTGAATTCGACCTTTCCTTCCCTTGGGTGGCATTCACACGAGATCATCTGTATGACCCATGACTTTTCCAACCTTGACAACCCCCAGAAGATTTTCCAGTCAAACACACTAGACAAGATGGAGCATGTGCTAGCGTGCAACAATCTGAAATGTCGGAGTCAATTGACCCACCAGGCTCTTGTCACAACTTGCAGGTATGTTGGGGAAACTCACCCGCACAAAAAAAAAAAAAAAAAGCTGCACGCAGAGATCACTTACATTGATGTCGCCGTCAAAAGCCATATATTTTGCCTCGAATGTGCTCACTAGCTAGGCATCACCTGTGGGGAAAAGGGCAAGCGTCCGAGCTGCCCGGCGTGCAGATCTGAGCTCCCGACTCCTCAGGATGCCACTATCACAAACCTGAAGCCCACCGAGGAATACAAGACCAGTGTCCTCAGTGGACTCAGTCCAAATATCATCATGGAGTGCGCGGGCCGCGCTCTAAGCTTCTGGGCATATCAGACAACGCAGGACATATATTATCATCAACATCTATACCAGACTTTGGCGGACAAATATTCCGATCTCCATGTGCATTTGGAAAAGACGATGAATGATTCAAATGCACAAATTGAGAGACTCCAGGAGAAAGTGAACGGTTCGTACTAGTTGTTCCCCCCACAGTTGGGCGTAGATGTGTGCTGACGATTCAGAGAAGCAATGGCCGCTGAGCAGGAAAACGTGCGTCGAAGGAACGAGGATATCTCACAAGCTTACAGAGAAAAGTCCAAGAGGCTGTTGCAGGTCCAAGAGCTATATGACAAGGTCAAGTGCAAGGCCGAAATGTTTCACATCGAACATGCAGCATCCGAAGCTGTCGCCTCGACTGTCCATAACACCACTCATCAAGCAAACGACTGCTACATTGGTTCTGAGCATGACCGCAGCCTTCTGATCAAGAACGATGATATACCCGTTTACAAAAAAGCTCACTTTAGCTCTGCAGGTGGCATGGGCTCGCATCGTGTAAGCCACATACGCCACGATGGAAAGGAGCACGGGTTAGGGGCAGGGAATCCTCACCAAGAAAGTACGTGGAGTCATCGGGGCTTTGTTTTTGTCTATTCTAGGGGGAGGAATTGCTAACTTCGTTCAAAGCCTCATCAACACCATCTGGCGGTAGGACAACAAAGAGAATAGGATCTACGACATTGATGGAAGGTTACAATCTTGACAGGTATGCGGGGCCGGCCGTACATGGGCGAAACTCGGGTCAAAACGACCAGCTGAACAACGCTACGAACTTCGTGGGCAATCAAACTGCTCTACCTGGTATCTGATGTCATCCGATCTTAAGGTGAGCCATCCGCCAAGCGTTACAGGCCTTGGACGCCGTCAAGGCGATGTTGAAGCCTATCGCGGCACAAGACGGGAAGAGGGCTACGACCACCCTTGACAGTGATTCAAGTATAGCTCCCTTCCCTCTCCACCTTGTTGTTTTTCTTTTTTTTTCTTTTTCGGGTCTTTGTTCTGTCTTATTGTTACTGTTGTTTTCACTCGTGCTTTGTGTTTTTTGGCCGCCTTTTCTGCCACCAGGTAGAGAAAAAGAGATGCTGATGAAAAAGACTGGTCTTTGTCATGAATCGGGATGGGCCAGACCGACAAGTCCTTTCTCCAAGAAAGAAAGGGAGTATCTTCCGGTATGCTATATAGCGTTGGTAGTAATGTGACCTCCCTTCCTTGACGTCAAGTGAGACAAAAAGGTTAACAAGCAAGAGCACCTTAATAGCCGGCTTTGCCCGGTACCCATCTTGTCGGAAATGAAATAAAACCAGCCAGTGTTGATCAATTATTCAATTATCTCTGGAATTCAATACAGACGCAGCCTCATTGTTCGTGCATCGGTCTGGGGGGGGCTGGTTATTAAAGGGCAGCCAACCCACATGCACTGCGATCCATCTCGAAAGCAATCAAGCATACAAATCGAATACGAACCGGAACAGGACGAAAAAAATAAAGAGAGAAGAAGAAGAAAACAAAACACTACGGGCCCGGAAAATATGAGTCCAGGGAGGTGGTCAAAGGGGCGAGCATCGAGAAATATACACGAACTCCTCGCGGCAGCAGGATTGCATCCAGTCGACCTTCCCACGACAGACCCTGAATCACTCAAACCTGCACTAGACATCGTCACCAGCAACTCGAGCAAAGAATCCCGCAGCGACTCACAAGAAGCAACGAACGCCCCAAGGCTGAGGCCACGGGTGCAGTCAGCAATAGAGAGGCGAGACCTCAGCAAAAGGAGTGGCATATACTACGCGTACAACAAGGGTGGCAGTCTAGGCAGTCTGAACGGGACGCCATCGGTCATGCAGTTTGAAACAGGGAGGCATGAGGACGATAACCTGATGAAGCTGGTGGCGGAGCTGCCCCATCCCCCACCAACAGGAACAACAGCAAACATAGAAACGATGGGGAGGATGAAACAGATCCTGGATCCAAAAAAGCTCGGCCGCCATCACGAGGCTCTTGAATCACACCCCTTACGGTTCGACAAGGAATTAGATAAAGAAACGTCCCGGTACGACGACGATGACGACAAACACCACGACGAGAAGCAACATCCGCCTCAGCAGCAACAGCACACAACAGCCACTCTGCCCAGAAGCACGGGCAGTGGTGCACTATTACCACTAGCTCAGACAACACATGAACAGCAGGCACAGATGCAGGTTTCGGATACAGACTCAGGGACAAGCAACACCAGAATATCAACATCTCCGTCATTCGGGTCATCGGTCATCAGAGAAGGGAATTACTACCTGGCAGTGTCAGAGAAGCAAGGCGTGCAAGTCCTGTCATCGCAAGACAGCGGCAGTGGTGGTGGTGGTGATGGTGGCGCAGACGTGCCCCGCCGCTGGAAGATGCGTCGTCACTTGCATACGAAACAAGGAAAGGAGCTGGCCCGGATGACCAAGGCATATGTCGGGAGGAGAGCTTCGCCGCTCAGGGCACTGATTGCGGGCACGACAACGGCCACGGGAAAGGAGGGAGATCAATGAAAGATGGCCGTGCTTATTCCTTTCCGTGACGACGTTTGTGTTATATATGGTATGATTTACGAGCGATAAATATTACTGCTGGGTTCATGACGTTGAGGGGGGGGGATGGGAGATAAGGAACAGGGAGGGATGATGCGAGCCTAGGGGGGAATACGGAGTCGCATTATCAAACGAAGACCAAAGACGCAACAGGTGACAAGTAAATTTAACAGGACACATATACTTACTACGAGATACTGTCAGGCCACTAGGCTAGCAATACACTAGACTGGCAATGCCACTATCGAACATTATGAAGGGACTACATTAAGGATCATATTGGTGTGGTGGTGTCCCCTTGGATTCAAAAGCAAATCTTTGTGTAACAGAAACATATGTAGCATGGACCAAAAAACAGGCAACATATAAAAGAATACCTATGCCAACGCAGTATTACTACGACATAGGCACTCCATATTCGATATTACTGCGCGTCCCACATGTCGATAGAATTGAATAAATGCAGCGTCAGTGGCAGCATTGAGGCGTGCCTCCCCCCCCCCCCCTTTGGGACACTGACACGAGCAGCTGGATAGTTTTGACCGTAAATGGTTTAGTGTGACGTAAGTATTACGGGTCTGGTGGGTCTGGTATCCAAGAGGCTGATAGGATTGGCGGCTTCTCGCTCCCATTCGTGTAATCCAATCAGATTGCGCATATTGATCGCCCTTGTTGGATGTTTTATCTACCATTACGAGAGAAAGTAACACAAAATGAGCCGCTCTTTCCCTCTGTAACACCACAGAGTAGTATTCGTACAGGTAGGTACTCCGTACTTTGCTTCCTGGCTCTCTATTTTTGTATTATGTTCTTACCATTATTTCTGGCTCACTCTCCAGCATGCCGCATTCGGTGCGAAACATCCCATCGCCACCCCCATCTCCATCCAAGCATTCCCGTACCCTCACTTTCATTTTGACCATTCTTGGACATTTACATTTTTCCTGAATTCTTTCCCTCTCTTTCGCCTTCTTCGCTACTCTCTTATCAATATCAAAAGATTTTATCTTCCTTCTAGTGCCAACTTTCTTATTATTCTTCCCCCCTGGATTCAATCTACTACGCCGTGCGACGACAACCCTCGGCATCAGCCACGTCTCCAACGTCCCCCATTTAACTTTTAACATTCTTTGCTCTCCTGCCATCTCAGCTCCAGACTGTCGACTCCTGAACCCAAAAAAAAAGGTCCATCTAACGGCTCGCTCCGTCCTCACGATCGCCCTCTTCCTACGTCTCGCCCACGAGCAAAGAAGGACACATCGTCCGTCGAACTCACGATACTCCTCGCATCGATCGAGAAAACGATAACGGACGCCTTTCCGTCAACGGCTTCGCACAGAGACAAGCGCTCCACGGGCGGTGCGCGCGAGCAAATGGGCAAAAACTGTACGTCTCTGACCTGGAAATCGCTCCCCCTTCGCCCCTTCTACGCCGTCATTCTCATGACTCCTGCCAACATGCGACTGCCTCCCCTCCCTTCCCTGTTCGATCCAATGACGCTGACCGTCGGCAATGAATGCAGCACAATATGGCGTCATCCTCGACGCCGGTTCCTCGGGAACCCGCGTATACGTCTACAAATGGAAGAACCCGGCGCGAGCGGGAAAGGATGCCCTGCCCGACGAACTTCGTAGTCTGCCGAAGCTGAAGCTCAAAGAGAGCAAGAAGATCCACCCGGGCATCTCGACCTTTGCCGACGATCCGAAAGCCGTCGGCAAAAAGCACCTCAAGCAGCTTATCAAGGTGGCCACCAACGAGATCCCCGACTACAAGATTGCCGAGACACCAATTTTCCTCCTGGCGACGGCCGGCGTCCGCATGCTCCCCAAGTTCGAGCAGACGCGACTGCTGGGAGATATCTGCTCCTGGCTACAGACTGAAACGGACTTTGACCTCCCTGACTGTAAGCAGCACGTCCAGGTCATCCCTGGCGAGACAGAGGGCCTCTACGGCTGGATCGCGGCCAACTATATGCTCGGAGGCTTTGACCACCCCCAGACAGAGGGTACCGGTGCTGGGCAGAGCCACCCCCATACCTACGGCTTTCTCGACATGGGTGGCGCGTCGGCCCAAATCGCATTCGCCCCCAACGCGACCGAGGCCGAGAAGCACGCCGATGACCTCAAGTTGGTTCGCATGCGCCACCTCGACGGAACATCGGCGGAATACAAGGTCTTCACCACCACCTGGCTCGGGTTTGGAGCAAACCAGGCCAGGGAGCGCTACCTTGAACACCTACTCGAGCAATACGGCGACGAAGCCTCCGAGATCCCCGACCCTTGCATGCCCCGAGGCCTGCAGACAACGACAGACGGAACCGCCACAGACTCGGTCAAGAGTCCTGAGCCCCCGCTGCTAACAGGCACAGGTCAGTTTGATGAGTGCCTACGTTTGACGTACCCGCTGCTTAAGAAAGATGCGCCCTGCGAGGACGACCCGTGCCTGATCAACGGACAGCATGTGCCGGCCATCGACTTCAACGTCAACCGCTTCGTCGGCGTGTCGGAATACTGGCACACGACGCACAGCGTGTTCGGAGACAAGGACCAAGCGTACGACTTCGCAACGTACCAGGAGAAGGTCAACGAGTTTTGCAGCCGCGAGTGGGTTGACATTGCCAGCGAGGTGACGAAGACGAAGCGCAAGACATCGGAGGAGAAGGTGGAGAATGCGCGCGAGGCGTGCTTCAAGGCATCGTGGCTCATCAACATGCTCTACGACGGCATCGGCATCCCCAGAGTGGGTATCGAAGCACCTAGCTCCAACCTCACGCAGGAAGAAGACGACGTGATGGGACCCGGCAGCCACTTCCAGCCAGTGGACAAGATTGACGGTGTCGAGCTCAGCTGGACACTGGGCAAGATGCTCCTCTACGCGGCCGGCCAGGTTCCCGGCGAAAGCATGGCCCTGCCTGTTGGGTTCGGAACCAACGTCCCGTCGGGGACGCCAGACGACTTTGAGACGCCAGGCTCGATACCCCTCTTCCCCGTGACAGACGACGACACGGCCAACGATGAGGACGAAGGCTATCTCGCATATCATTCGAGTCGCTCCTCAGGCGCCATCGTCCTGGTGCTCGTCATCCTTTTCGTTGCCGGCTGGTTCCTCCGCCGCCCGGAGTACAGGAGGCGACTGATGAGCTTTGGACGCCGTCGCAAGTCGCGGTCCAACCGTAAATCCACGGGGCCGCTTGCCATTGCGGCAAGCAAGCTGTTTGGCGGTGGCCCGCACAACTACGAGCGGGTCATGGAGGAAGGCGACGCGGCTGAGTTTGAACTCGGCGCCGTCTCCGATGATGGCCCACAGTCGGACAGCAGCGAGAGCTCGCGTAAGGGCCAGTCATCTGGTCTGACGACGCCCAAGCTGAATGCCGAGCGGTTCGCCGACGATCTTCGGCCGCCGTCCTGCCTGGACAGGAACGGGCTGGCGGTGCGGACCGAGAGCCGCGAGCGACTGCACGGGGTGGGTCACCGAAGCAGAACAGGCAGTCCTCAGCGACAAAGAGTTCGCTAGGTTTGATGACTCGGACATAAAGGACCACTGGACGAATGTCGTATTTGTGTACAATGCGGTACATACAATGCGAATGTCCTCTCTTCCGTCCTCTTCTCTCGGGACAGTACTTGTATCCCCCTTTTTTGAGGCTGTATATCTCCTGCCTGTTTTTTTTTCTCTGGGAGGCGAGATATGCTTCTGAGGCGTTTTCGGTTCATAAAATAGACGAGGCCTATGTGGTCCGACGACAAATACGGGTTGTTTCTGGCAAGCTGGAGTTTCTCATGCTTAAGGGTGTGTCTCTACCATCCAATACGGTGGTATTTTGATATCTACAATTCTTGTTCGTGTAGTATACCGCATGTTGCTTTCATATTTGACTTTGATTAGTGGCTGGCAGAAATATCATGATAACATTGCTCTGTTTTCAAAAGGAAAAAAAATCAAGGTTAAAATAACCAACGTCCATCTCTAAATGATCATTACAGGTTTGTTTCCCTGGCAAATGGGTATATATATATATATACCCTTTTCTTCTCTGATGCTCTCTTTCCCACCTCGAGTAAGAAAGGATCAGTCACTCTGCTTCTCCAGAAAGCTAGGATCATTGCGGACTTTCGACTCGAACTTCCTCCACCAGTCCTCGAAGGCCTTGAGCGGAACGACCTCTATGCCACCGGGACCAGCAGTACCGCTGAAGCTAGCGAGGAAGTTGAAGGCATTTTGGATGATGCGCTGGGCAAGGATGCCGGTGGGAGGGGTATCGGCACCACCAGGATTCGAGGAGGGCGTCCCCGTCAGGGGTTTGGTAGCAGCAAGCTGCTGAAGCTGCTGGGCAACCTGAGCCTCCGGCTCGACCTCGATACCGATGACCAAACCACCACCGCCGGAGTTGTCGCCGCTGCCGCTGCCAATCTTGAACATTGCACTCTCCTTCCCCGGACCTATGCCGCCCAGGAAACGGAAATTCGGGTTCCCGGAGGCCACACCCTCAGCGGTGGCTAGGTAGATGGCCGCCGCGGTCTGGGGGGGTAGAGTCACGTTGGGAAGGAGGAAGACGGTGATGTGGCTGAAAGGTTTTGTGATGGGGAGGGCGTACAGAAAGGATGTCGGTGATGGGGCTGAGGCGGGGGAGGTGATTAAAGGGTGGCCGGTTGGAACGAGGCCAAAGGACATTTTGGGCGGATTGGGTCTATACCGGGTTCTCCCTCTCTCTCCCTTCTCTCTCCGAATTTTCTCTAGCTCTCTCTGAATGGGTTGTTTTTGTTTGCTGTGAATGTGATGATGAGTTGATTATTGTCGTGATAGTATTTTCAGTCAGGGTTAGAGATGGTTAGAGAGGGTTAAGAGGGGTAGTATCAGATTCAATAGTAGATGAGATTAAGTGATACGTCGTCGTACGATAGAGTACACGTATAAAGGTGGATTTTAGGATTGATGAGATGACGAGGAGATGAACGTCTTAACATGAAAAAAAATTATTGAAAAATAAAAAACTAGGTCATGACACACGAGACAAGAAAAACAAATAAAAAATAAAAAATAAAAATAAAAAAAAAAGCACGTAGAACGGCATAGAATGAAATTTCAGTGGGTGGGTCGATGAAGCTAGGTATTACAGAACTAGTCAACAGAACTAGTCATAAACTAATAGAGTAAGTACGCGTGTCTAGGGTAGAGAAAATTACTTGGATAGTATCACTTGGGCTCAAGTATTGCCACAGCTATCCCCCCACCCTCCCCCTACTAGGGGAAGCGATAGCCATAGAGTGACAACACCGTGCTGCACTGTGGTGCACTGTGGCCGTAGACTTGTGTGCTTTCTCTACCTATTTCTTATAGGGTCAATTTTAAAGTGCAAGTTCAGATACGGACAAAACACGTTAATAGAAGAACAGGTTAGGAACATCAGCCGCCTCATTTCTATGCTCGTTTCTTTTCACATTATAGAATGACTTTAGTCATACCACATCCTTGTCTCATCGCAAGATATTAGATGGCTTAAAGTGTATCAGGAACCCATCGGCTTAATTACAATACGTGATGAAATATCACTAGACTGCCCAACGTGAGACGACAACATGGAGGACCCAATAACGATTAATAAAAACCGAGCTTTCCATCCGATATTATGTTTGCCTTGCGTCATTCCGTGACGGATGAGCCAGATATACCCCTTTCTATAGTTTCTCCTCATTCTGCGGCCATGACCTGCCGACCCTTTGCCTCTTCCGATACCGACTCATGTCCCAGATGCCATTGAATATCGCGTTCTTTGTAAGCGTCCACTGAGATTGGTCGCCATACATGCTGGCCCGCGAAGGACGCCTAATAGACGACCCCTTTCTTATGAAGCTTTAAGTCGCTTTCATGTTGACACCTCACAGTTGCTGATTCCTCTTCTGGCAAGATTAGACCGTAAAGGGAAAACGCCTATGGTCTGGTAGATGAATACTTGGAGCATTTATACACAGATCATCCGAATACCGGATACTTTACATCCAACCCCTGCCACCGGGCTTGCAATGATGAGTATCCCTTTTTTTGAAACTGGACCTATAGGTCTTGAACCTTCATTGTGCAGTCGTCCTCCTCCATGAGGGACTGGTACATGTGTGCTGAGATTGAGGAGTCCGAGGCCCCTGCTTCTCCTGGGGCACGTATCGGCTGTCTTCCTCTTCTTCGAATCCTGCCTGGGTGGCGGGGGGATCCATAGCGGTCTCGTAAATGAGTGCGGCAGTCTTGGCATGTCAAGGACGAGTCGGCATGAAATTGTTACGGCCCATTATGCGACCTTTACGTGTACCCCACATTTTCTTACTCATCACCACCACACTCACTTACACCCGACATCACTTCCCCAGCGATCATTCATTTTTCCAATGATCACAGCGCGATCATTGCGATCATTTGCGATCACCACGAATTGTTTAGATGTGATCATTGTCAGCCACAATGATCACCCAGTATATAGTCAACCCAATCCTCTAGCTAGAACACTCTTTTCACCCCAGCTATCAATACAATAGTCAACGCTTCTATTGAACCAGKTCCCAATATAAGCACCTGCGACTGTGACTGCCTCATTGCTCAGTTTGACGCCCTGACGGCCTCGCCAACATAAAACGACATCATCTCTGTCTACCCTGTAGCTCAGAGCTGACCCAACGTCATAGAAATCCCTTTGATGTGACGCTCTGACGTCTCCACTCCATGCTGTAGCCGTGGGAGTCGGAGAAGAGGGGACCCAGCGCGGAATGGGACGGCGTCGTGAAGAGTAGGACCCCTCACACCTCGGTGTTGAAGATAGCCCTAGGTTGTCTCGCGGGAGCCATGCCGACGATGGGAATAACAGCAACTACGGCAACTCGTATAACTCGAGGACGGCTTGCACCCCCACGGAGTCTGATCTAATCCAACACCCAGCACTAGGTATTGTGTTTGCGGCTTGCTACTCTCCGTTTTCTTTTTTTTCCAACCATAGCCACGGCTACTTAACTAATATCTATCACGTAAGAGTTGACAAACGATCAGAGATGTTCTCTGACCAAGTGGCCAGAGCAGGTCAGTAGCGGAGCATCTGGATCCATAGTACGGTATCGTATACATGTGGTGACTGTCAGTACGTTATTCATCCCGTGTCCAGTATGCAGGATTTCAGCACTTATTCCCGGATATTTACGCACTAAAAGCATGTATAAAAATAGCCCAACTCTACTCCGTCTATATTTGGTGAATTATATTATCCGGTCGACATTTCTGAGAGCAAGATGGGACACGTAAAACATGAACATATCACTACAGTTGTGAAGAGAGAGCTCCTAACCAAGTGCTAGGAATACGGCATCTTATACATTAATCTATCAATTATAGTGAGTGGTATGGTCGCTTCTCGAGCTGTCGAGCTGTGCCATGTCCGAAACTAGCTGCCTGCTGTGCTTCTTGATGTAGTTCCTCGCGAGGTTGATTTTTGCATGCTCTAGTAACGCGATGTAGGAGGGACAACAAGGAATTGATGAAGAGAGAAAAGAGAGAAAAAGTTCAAGCAAGGTAGAGTCGCATTGGCCACGCACGTAACCACACAGTTACACGTTCACCATAGCTCTTGTTATCTCGCAGCGGGGATAGAAGCCGGTTCCTACTGATGAACGGCATCATCTCGGTCAAGCTGAGCATGGAGCGTCCGAACTGACATTTCAACAAGTTGCGTAGGGACGCGTTTGTGATAGAATGATAAGACGGCGTAGAGAGTCATGGTATATGTAGGCTTGCCATGATTCCGTCTGTCGTGTGCGTAATGGCAGGCCAACGATGGCCGTCATACCACGCCACACTTCCCGTTGTTCGTTGAGGTATTTTTATAATTGGTGGACCGGTAATTCAAGAAACAGGAAAGCATGTCGTGGGAGGACCGTTGACGTTTCCAGAATAGAAGAGATACATGAGGTATGGAAGTTGCGTACATATACAATGGCCCGGTAGCAGAAACCAAACGTTGGGCAGTGCAGTGCACGTGACCAGAAATTGGTGAAATGAAACGGGATCCCGATTGCGACACACGAACTACTCGTACAGGCAGGCACATCATTCCCTTATTTGGCCTTACCGAGCAACTCGATTGACTACCCGTCGTCACTTGTCATTGCTGCATTCCTCTCTTATAAGTCGCTTCATCACGCTTTTGATATCTTGAATCTAGGTCTATTAATACAGCTCATTTCTTCTCATCTTTGATACTGCGACTTTTATTCTCCTTCAACATCTTCTTCTTCTATCATATTCCCCTCCCCCCACTCTTCTTCTTATAACAAACACATTTCTGCCTCTCAACTTCCGTCACATCATGGGCAAGAGGTACATTGACACGATTGGGGACGCGGATGTGTAGGTCATCAACCTCTCTCTCTCTCTCTCTCTCTCTCTCTCTCTCTCTCCGGGACCGCCTCTGACCATATATCCAGCTTTCCTTATACCGAAGAGGCCAAGGCTGACCTGTGGACTGTCCTATGGGAAGACGACAAGGGCACGTACCCCATCGGATACATGCTCGACCGTGTGTTCCGCGAGCTGATCAAGGTGCCGCACTTCATCATCGGCGATGTGGACTTTAACGCCGATGACCGGACTGTGAAGCTCCTCCGGGGGGTCGACACGGAGCCCGAGCGCACGGCGAAGCTGGCCCAGCTGTGGGACCACCTGCGCAAGAACGACACCTTCAAGCTTCTGCGCGGGTGGCGCAACGAGCTGTGGCCCGTGTACGGCCGCGACGGCTCCCTCCTGTTCAGCATGGAGAGGGTGGCCATTAGCATCATAGGGGCGATGCAATACGGCGTGCACATGACGGCGTACGTGCGGGACGAGACAGCCCCCTTTGGCATCAAGGTCTGGGTGCCCCGCCGCGCGGCCAATAAGTCCACCTTCCCCGGCATGCTGGACAACACCGTCGCGGGCGGGCTGAGTACGGGTGAGATGCCCCTCGACTGTATCGTGCGCGAGGCAGAGGAAGAGGCCAGTCTGCCCGCCGACCTGGTGCGGTCGGGCGCTAAGCTCGTCAACGTCGTCACATACACATATGTCACCACCGAGGAGTATATGGGAGACGGCGGCTTCGTGCACCCAGAGTGCCAGTGGCTGTACGACCTAGAGCTACCCGAGGGTATCGTCCCCCATCCCAATGATGGCGAGGTCCAGGAGTTCAAGCTGTACGACGTCGACCAGGTGGCTGCCCAGCTGGCGAATGGGGAGTACAAGCACGACTGCGGGCTTATAATCATCGACTTCTTCATCAGACATGGCATCCTTACCGAGGCGAATGAGCCGGATCTGAAGGAGATTCAGCGCAGGATCCATCGTGAGATGCCCTTTCCTGGTCCTCGCTGGGACAAGTATCTTATCAAAGTATAGACTCTCTCCATCTCTCTGCGTCTCTTGTTCGTATTTTGACATCACCTATTGCTTCTTTTATTCCGGAAATTGTTAGTCTCACTGATAGCTTTCCGTTGTTTATAATAATAAACGTTAGATTGCAACTATAGCATTAGCCCCTTCCTTGGAAAGAGCCTTTGCCGCTATTGATGATTGTTGTGATATTATCTATCTAGGTTATAACCTAACACGTGGAGGTGATGTTATCTAGTGTTTGCTCTTAGATGTGTGCCCAAGGCCGCACATCCGGCGCTAGGATAACCTCTATCCCGGTAGCATTTGGCCGTTGCTATAAAAAATAGAGGTATCGAATTCCTGAACAGAAAAAGATGCCCGTGTGCAAAACACGAAAACGCCGTGGTCGTTAATATGGGAAAATAATGACTTTTTTCTTCTTAATTCGTATATCGCGGACTCTTGAATCATTTCTTGATCAAAAGGTATAGATTGTCCACCCGCAGGGGCGTCAGCTTGCCTACAGGACCCTCGAGGGACATGAGGAGACCGCCAAATGAGATGTATGCGTTTCTGTTTTTTTCATCATCAGTATTCCAGAAGGAGGAGGTGGTGGTGATGATGACGTTCCCAGCGACGTGAGGGGGAGATCAACGACAAGAGGGCTTGAAGAAACATACATTGTGCTTCCATCATACGTCTCCTCAAACCTGTAGAGTTTGCCGTAGCAGACATAATCGTAAAGATCGGCAATGGTGGCCGGGGCGTCACCACCCTTGCCGACGTCGCGCCAACCCTTATCGTCGTCCTGGGAGCCGTCGAGGGAGAGCGTGGTAGCTAGGACGACGTGCATCGTCTCTCCGGGGGAGCAGGGGAAGAGCTCGATGTTAATGTCGAGCGTCATGGCCGTCTGATCGTCGGTCGACTTGCACTGGATGCGGGCGACACGGTCGTACTTGGATTGGTCGTAGTCGTTGACGACAAAGGCCTCCTCGAAGAGGATGGCATCGCCGCCCTGGCCGGACATTTTTCTTTTGAGAGATGGATATGAGATAGAGGATAGTATATATCGGTCGGGTCGGTTGGGTCAAGGATTGGAGAGGGACTTGAGGTTGGAGGTCAGTCTCTAGAGCAGGTCTCCGTCGAAAAAGAGAAAAAAGTTAGGACTAATCGGGGCGCTGCGATAAAAACGGAAACCCCACCATCAGTCATCCCACCTCACAGAGTTCTTCATAATACTATCCTCCAAGGTGAATAGCGCAGTGTTTCCTTTGTCATTTTTAAAAGCCTCCTATCCTTGATTATCTTCAAATATTCATTCGTCTCACACTTTCATTTCCAGAAAAGAAATTCCTCCCAGGTCCAAAGCTCCTTCCCCCCCCCCCCCCCCCCCCCCCCCCCCCCCCCTCAAAAAAATGTCATTTCGCAAACGCAACGTCATAGTCAGCTCCTCTTCCTCAAACTCTAGCCCACCAGCCCTCAGACAACAAGAACAGACACCGCCCCTCGGGGTCAGACCCTCTCCTCTAGATGGGAGACTTACCACATCAACGGGCACTCAGTCCCTGGACCAACTGCTGGCAGGACACAACGGGTTTCCCCTGGGTACATCACTGCTCATCCAAGAGGCTGGCACAACAGACTTTGGCGGTACCCTGCTTCGTTACTTTGCTGGCGAGGGACTCGTTCAGGGTCACAATGTCCATCTTCTCGGCTATGGCGACGTCTGGCGCAGGGAGCTTCCTGGTATGGGCAGTGGGGACAAGAAGTCGTCTTCAAGTCGGAGGGAATCTTTACCGGCTGCCGATGACAAGATGAAGATTGCCTGGAGATATGAGACGTTGGGCAACGCATATTCGAGGAACAATACATCTGTCGGTATGCCATGCCAAACGATTCCTCCTCCTCTCCACCTCTAGGCCATCACGAGTTCCCTAATCTATATCTCTCTAACACACGTCACAGAGCCCAAAGCATGTGGTAAAGAGGGGGCCATCTTCTGTCACTCCTTTGACTTGACTAAACGACTAGAAAACTCGCATATAAAGGGCAAGCTCTTTACCTCTCCCATGGCCGACTCACTGTCCTCGCAGCCAGACCAGGCCATCTTTTTCAAAAAGTTTCTGTCCGACGTCGCAGCCCGCATCAAGAACAGCCCGACAAGCTCTGTGCACCGCATCGTCGTACCCAGTCTCCTCTCCCCTACGCTATACAGCTCGGGCTCCTGCCGCCCCTACCACATACTTCAGTTCCTTCATGGCCTGCGCGCCCTGCTACGTCGCTACCCGGGCCAAATCGTCGCCATGGCCACCCTCCCCATCTCACTGTTCCCGCGGTCGGCGGGCCTCACGCGCTGGATGGAGCTTCTCTTTGACGGCTGCCTAGAGCTCATCCCCCTGCAGCAACAGAGCCAGATAGCCCTCGAGCCAGGAAAGGAGGACAAGTCGCAGGGTCTACTTAGGGTTCACAGCCTACCCGTTTTCCATGAGAAGGGCGGCGGGCTCGAAGGATCGTGGTCGAGAAAGGATCTGTCCTTTAAGCTAAGTGCTTCCAGTGGGCTGGTCATTACACCTTACAGCTTGCCTCCTGTGGGAGAAGAGGAGGAAGCTGCCAAGGCGGCGGCAAAGTCCAATGACTCTAAGAAGGAATCTTTGGATTTCTAGCAACGTTACCTCACGTTTATTTTTCCCACTGGAAATACACACTTCGATACCATCACAAACCTCCTTTTTTTTGCATTTATTTCTAAACATTCCAAGGTTCATCAAAGGAAAAGAGAGGAAAATAAAAGAGGAAAAAGAGAGGCAGATAAGAGAGGCAGATCGTCTGATGCATCAGAAAGAAGTTTGGTCTGCCAGGCCAGGTCCAGGAGGCTGGAGACCCCCCCCACACGTCTCTCGCCTTATTAACTCTCCAGGGCGCTGCCCTCACTATAACGGCCAAGGGGGGTTAAAAAGACAATAAAACGAGAGGGAAAAAAAGTTCAAAGCACTAAGAAATTTTTTCCTCCTTCAACCCTACTGCTTTCTTTTGCATCTCTTCTTCACAATGCCGCATTTTGTCGCATTGGACAGGAGCATTGTTCTTTGCTCGCTATCCGTCCACACATGATAACAGGCAAGTCATTATTTATTTTTCGTCAACTTTTTTTAGTTTTTGTTTCTGCCTCTCTGTGTGTACATCACATACGGACAGCATGATTATCAACCTGAATCTGTCAATCCACTGAACTTCTGTGACGACACAATCAACAATTACGAAGACGACTTATGATCCTGTCCTATCAATCTTACTCTTGTCTATTTCTCATTTACCGTTGTATAGAGCCCTTGGAGCTAACCATGATGTGAACAAAAAAAAAAGATCAGGCACGATGACTACAGATTCATCCAACCCCCAACTCATCCGCATCTCCCTCATTGCCGGCCGCTACCTCGTATTTAACCAGGAAGCCGTCGCCCGCCTCCGTCGAGAATGGAACACTTGCGGTAACCTGGTAGGCACTGTGCCCCAGCAGCCCACGCAAAACATGTTTCTGGGTCTGCCCATTGAGCTCCGCCCCGAGGAGGTCGACTCCCTCGTCCACCGGGGCGCAGCCCGTGTCGTAGACGATGTCGCAGCCCACCAGGCAGCCCTGACGAGTTCGCCCGGGTCTGGTGACCGCACCGCCTACATCGAGTCCCTCCGTCGCAAGAAGCAGACTGCCCAGAGGCTGCTGGCTGAGAGGACTGCCCAAAAGGCTGCCGAGGCGGCCGACAGGCTCGGTCGGAAGGCCCATGGAAACAGCAAGTCCAGGGCCAACGACGCTGGTAGTGATGATGCTGTGCAAGCGGGTGGTGCTCTCTTAGGCATTACCCCCACAACGAGTGACGAGCTCGTCTGCCATGATAACGTCTTTGCCGTCACCCAGACACCCGAGGGTCCGCTGGTCCGCTTCCTCCAGAACTCGGGTTACTACATGACACCCGGTCTGCGCTTCGGCGCCCGCTACAGCGTATACCCTGGCGACCCCCTGCGCTTCCACGCCCACTTCATGGCCAACCAGTACGGCTGGGACGAGGAGGTCCCCATCCTCGACATCGTCCAGGGCGGTAGGCTGGCCACTGCTGTGAAGAAGGCCTTCGTCATTGGTGGCCAGGAGCCATCTTCCCAGGAATTTGGCTCTCAGGACACTGCTACAAGGACCTTTAGTATAGAATGGGCCAGCATGTAAAAATGCATATGCCGTAGATTCTCTATCATGACCCTCTATACTGTTTTTACATAAAAAGTCCCTGTCAAGCACGGGCAACCAATACAAAGAGGTATACTATATGGATTAACAAAGCGACCTAATTGAAATGGCGAACAACTGCCAAATACTTATATATGCTATGAACTTATGAAGGGGACTACGCAAATGGAAAAGAGTCAGTCGCCAAACGCCAAGAGGAAATATCGAAGGTAAAAGAAGGTAGAAGTCATCCACCGAAAAATAAAGTGAAAAATAAAGTGAAAAATGAAGACGGAAATGAAAAACCAGAACAAAAATTCAAAGCGGTAATTGTACACCAAACGCAACACAACGCACGTCAACATGATGATAAGTAATAATGAGATAAACAAGAAACCCATGAACAAGAATGATATAAAAAGAGAGAGAGAAATAAGACATGTTCAAGGAACATATATGCGACTGAAACTCATAACCTCCCTCCTGCAGCAGACGCACTTGTCGAAATTGTTCATAGCTAGCGACACGCGACAGTCATCACACAGGCTGAGGCAGCGGCACGGCCAGACGATGATGGCCCGCGGCGCGCATTGGCACACGACGCAGTGTGGGCCGTCGCTCCCGTACGACGTCTCCTCCTCGCCTCTGCCGTTGAGGTTGCTGCCCGCCTTGGCCGCCTCGTTCCGTCGGCTTAGGAGGAGCTGCTCCAGGACGCGCTCCTCCTCTTCCTCGCTCATCTTGCCGTTGGGTCGGCCTAGGGAGCCACCACGGCCGCCGCTGCCACTATGACCGGTAGTGTTGTTGTCGTCGGGAAGGGAGACGGACTGCGTTCCCGCATTGGTGAGGATGCGCGTGCGCTGAAGCTGCTCCATGCGCTTGAAGCGGGAACGCGTCACTATCCGGTCGCTCTGGAAGTGGGCTGCCAGGGCACGAGAGTTGGCCCGCTCCTCGGCGTTCTTGGGCTGCAGGAGCCGGGCAAGATCACCCATAGACAGCGGGCTGTCCATCTGAGCGGCCTCGGCGAAGGAGGTGCGCGGCGAGCGCCGCGTCGGGGTCCTCTGGCCTTCGTCCTCCGACATCCATCCTGCCTCGCTGGGGGTGGGGTTATCTGTTGTCATCGTCGTCGTTGAAATCATGCTCGTTGCGTCCCAGTTGTCGTCATCCACCGTCGAGGGTTCGTAGTCACCGCTCGTGTCCTTTGATCCCCACCACCCGCCATGAAGCCAGTAGCTGTACAGGTTTGCATCCAGGCTCTCTTCGGGCTGGTCCTCCGCCGTACGTCGGATCTCGGCCTCAATGTCCATGACGTCCATCGTGTCAGGGTTACTGCTACCCGACGCCGCCGCAACGGGTCGCTCAGACTCCTTGCTGGACGCCGAGTCCCCATCACGCTCTTCCTTGTTTCGACGGGCGAGTCGCAGAAGCCATTCTGGTTGAGCCCGGATACGGGCAACGCTCAGGACCCAGAGGATGACAATGGCCCCCAGTCGTGCAAACAACCTCAAGATGTTGACGAACAGCTCCACCGCCATAACCCATCTGGCGCTCCTCTCCGTCGCTCCGACACCGACACGCATCCCACGCTCGGTTCGCGCGTTTGGGACAGCCTGGGCCGCACGCTCTCGTGAGAAACCATTGTTGACGCTCAGTCTGTTCTCCTTGACAGGGACGAGACCAATAGCACCAATCTGGTCGAAGCTAGATGTGGCAGGCCCGATGCTGGACCAGCTCTTTTGCAAGTCCTCAACCTCTTTGAGACGGGCCTCCTCCAGCCAGGTATGCCGCTTCAAGCTTACACCGCGATCCTCATTGAGGTACACAGCCTCACTGGCCATGGTGACGGCGGCGAATCCAGCCCTTAGTAGAGCAGTGTAGATATCCATCTCCCGCGCGATGCGGATCTCAGACAGTGTCACATTGGCTTGCATATTGTGGTGCGCCTGGACGAGTCGCTGGCGGAAAGTTAGCCCCTGACGCTCCTCCTCGGGAGAGGGTGACAGGGCCGACAATCCCAGGCCTATGGCGTAGATGAAGAGGCAGATCAGGATCCCCATAAGAACGAGAGCGTGTGGGATGAGGCCAATGATGCAGACTGTGGGGTATCTCAGTAGTCCCTGGGAGGTCGCATCGTCCATGTCAAATGTTGCGGCGCTCCACAACAATGTTGACATGAAGCAAAAGGCCCAGAAGCCGGTGTTGACTAGACGGTACCTGGCCTGCAGATCAAAGACACCGAGAACATGACTCGATATGTGCGTCAGAGACGACAACAGAGCAACGAACAATACCTCTGGCGGGGTATTGACGCGTCGCATAATCATTGACTTTGTGATGGAGACGGTGGTCCCTGTCATGGAAGTGGTTACGCCAAGGGAAGTCTTGGTAGGTTTACTCCATGCCAGCTGGTTACTAACTGCAGCGTCAGCCTCGGCGAATGCCAGCGACTGCTCGAAGAGGGTCATGGCTGTCTCGTAGGCATGAGCACGGCCCTGGACAGCACAAGACAGCGTCTCTAGGAAGTGGCTGAGGCAGAAAGTCGCGAAGAGGGGCCACAGGCGCGAGAGAGACCCACGGAGGTGCTGTGTCGATACATCATCCGGCGAGGGTACCATGTTAACCGCGAGGCAAGACTGTTCATCGGTTGATTGGAGCAGAGTGCCGGCGAGAGAGTTGAAAAATTTGTTCTGGTGCAAGAACATGAGATCAGACGACTTGGTGCTGTCCCCCCACCGCATCATGGCAAAGTCCGGTGACGTCTGACATTGGAGAGACTGCAGCAGCCGGACAGACTGCATGGTGATGAGGACGATGGGCAGGAACCGCAATAGTAGCCGGACGGTCCAACGGAGGCGAAGGCGCCGTCGGGTAGCAGCGTATATATGTGTTCGGTTGAGGACGACAGCCATGCCAATACAGGCCAGAGCCCACTTGCTGGTGGCGTAGGTGAAGACGCTACCAAAGCCGCGAGTGCCATCGATGGTGATACCGGAAGCTCTCGCAGCCGTATCCGGTGACGCTCCCAGGGCGCCCACAGTCTCTCCCTCCGATGAGTCAACGAAGTTGTAGAGGTTCGATTCGGCAGCTACAGCATTATTGAGGCCGGCAGCTGCAGCCGCGACTGGCCCCTGTCCGTCGCTTCCGTCTGCATTCAGCAAGTCATGATGGGAGACGAAGGAGCCCAGCTTCCTAGCCATACGGGGGGCTGCCGAGACGATGTCTTCGAAAGAAGGTGCATAACGAGTAACGTTGACAGTCCATGAGGTTAGGTTGTACCATGCTGTGCCATTCTGGAGGCCCTGGAGGGCCGGAGAGGCGGAAGCGGTGTCGGTAGTCATAATAAATGACGTGACGGCTGGAGAGCCCAGCCTCGGTGTATTATACCCGTTCCTCCCCTAGTGAGTTGCTATCCTCCTCTGTTCTCTTGGAATATCCTAGTATCCGTGTGAGAATATAGTTCTTTATTCCAATGATCGGTTCGATTCGGTCGATAGAAGTCGGTAAGGTAGACTCTATTCAATTGTTGTGCACGAGTGCATGATGCGAGTCGAGTTGGACACCTACGCGAAATGGCAAGGTATGAATTCAAGCAAGAGGCGTCAAACAACGTCGGCCTTGGAAAAGCGGCAGTAGGACCTTGGGGGAGTCAAGGCAACAAGTTGTTCGTTTGAAAATTCACTCCCCTGTACAGAAACAGGTGGGTGAGCTTGTTGGAGTCGGTCGTTGTTGGACGAAGGTTAATCGGGGTGATTGCTTCTCCCGTGACATCCTGTAATCCGCTAGCACGCGAGTAAGAGGTGAAGGAACGCCCCCGCCCCACCAAATCGCATGCGTGATGTGATCCGTTAAATCACCGACGAAAACCGAGGCACTTCCTATCATTGCCTGGGACTAACACCGTTATAGTTCGTCATCCGTATAACTTTATTCTGTTTTTTTATTGTGAGAATTGTACGGAAAACATAATAAAGCTATATGGAGTAAAGCGATAACGGTGTTACGCCCAGGCGATGACGTTCACCTACCCTATACTGACGCTTGTGTGGTACCCAAATTGAATGACTAAGCAGTTAGGGGCTGCTGCCACACTCTTATATCTAAATAGCCTTATAGATAGATTTTCTTCCTTTGCCTTCTTTAAGCAACTAGAAACACCTATATCGACCTAGGATATATATTTAAATATAAACTACTACATCAGCGTATACGGGTCATCGTGTGTTGTCGCCCATTGGAAGCACACTTGCTGTAATTCGGCCGGCAGTTTGATCAAGTCACTACTCCGTAGATCCCGTTCTGCCAAAGACACAATCGAATCATTGGGCATTGTGGGTATTGTATATTTTCTCTCTAGGGCGTGTCTGTGTTTCAAGAAGTAATGTCCGAGGACATTGTATGCATCCACTTCCTCTGTCCTAATTTCCGCTAGTAGTTTCGTCAAATACGATGTATATGAGAACCTCCATCAAGATTAGGTAGCTGATCTCTCCCAAGAGATAGAAGAGGAATAGAATAGGTAGTCAAAAAAAATACTCCAGAACTTCTCCGCGCGAGACAGAGTATTAACCAAAGCCGTCACATTGGCTGCATATTGAGGAGTTTTTGCAGCTTGAGTGTCCCATTTTCCGCTCCACGCCGCGCAGAGAAGTGCCGGGGAGCGAGATAGTTGGGTTGATGTGTGTTCATGACACAGGAGGAGGTCAGTCGGACTAAGCTGTCGTGGCCCTGAGTGAGTCGACCCTTGCAGGGAGACTTGGCCATAGTCTTTTTATGTAGCTGGAACCATTGTTCCGAGAGTTTGATTCCAGTCGCCAGTATCGGAGAATGTGTACACTACGTGTGTAAACACTGACCAAGAGCTCAAATTCCCATCATGGACTCGTTGAGAGAGGCCGCAATTGCCTTGTTGGACCTTTTGCTAGCGTGAATGGCTCTTGCAACCAGGTCGCGGTAGAGAACGGCGTCAGTCGATGGGATGTTGCCCTTGAGCCAGATGTTGGTGATTTCATCTCGCACGGGCAGGTAGGCCACACAACAGGCGGCGAGAAGGGCCTCATGCTCAAGAGGTGCAGGGTCCAGCACAATCTCCATCTCCCCCTCCGTCTTTCCAGCGACCAGCGCGGCGACTCCCCCAGAGACCAGGTCGACAGCGTCTATGCCGGCGTCGGCCAGAGCTGCTGCGGCGACAGTGATGCAGGACGCAAGAGTGTTCATCATGTCCCACTCCTCGCTGCCCTTGTCGACTGCCGTCTTCCGGGCCTCTTCACCCTCGATGATGGTGACGACCACATCCACGCCACTCTTTGGCCACCGGTCCGCGATCAAGGCGCCTCTAAGGGCAGTCTCCAAGTGGGTGCTGAGGTCTCGCTCGCTGGAGTCGCGCAGGTAGCCTCTGCGATGCCTCGTAGCAAACGGCGCATACTTGACGTGAGTCGTCAAGACCATGTGTGGCGAGAAGGGTGCTGAGCGTGGGAGAGACCTGGGACCATGCACGGTGCAGGTAAGCTTGGTACCGCTGCCCTGTGAGCCATCGCGAGCCTCGACCTCGAGGTAAGCCGAGCCAGATGCAGATGGTGTCACTCCGGTTTTCAGATCTGAGGGGGGAAACGTTAGTTTTGTGGCGTCCAGGCAGATGTCATCAAGTGGTGATACTCACACGTAGCCCGGGTATGGTTGGGTGGCCTGGACCGCGGTAGGCATTGAGAAGGACCATCATCGTAGAGAGGTGGGACGGTAACACCTCCGGGGCCGTTTATGCGTCTCCTATCAGCCATTTTATGTATGATGCAAAAGGGTTCTGCGTGTGAGTCGCTGCTCTTCCTTTTTCACTTTCAACCTCAACCAACCTTTCCAAGAGGTGAGAGCTCTGCATGAGGACCCTCTAAAAGTTGGATCCCAGTTATATGCATATATCGTTGTGCACAACAATACCATCACTGATAATTACATAACGGAGGACCCACCGCCTTTTTTGTCGAACTCTGGCGTTAGAAAATTCTGCACTATTTATTCTCTTTGCTCACTATCTTCTTGCTTTTTTTCTTTGCCCAACAACATTCGCAATTTCACGATGTTGGCGGCGCTGGATGCCAGTATTTTGTGATGATATCGGTGGAATGCTTTACACATTGGATATTCACTAACGAGCTCTGTCTCCTAAAACTTCTTCATCATGGTATGTTTGTCCCCCTGTCCACAGTCGGATTTGAATTCCCCAGCACGTCCTCAAGAGCCCCCTCATTATGATGAACTCATACACACTGTTCCCGCGACACCTGAGCGATCTTGAACAACATGCACTACCATCTGACCAATAGCATTTGGCCCTTTTCCTTCCACCATCAATATCTCTGGCATCGATGTATCGGTTGGCTAACTCGACTCAATAGTAGTTATATTCTGGTACTCAGGCTTGTTTGCCTGGTAAAAAATTGCCGACATGGCTTGTCGTGGTATTAACCGCATCATGGGTCACATTGGTAAGGACACTTTACTTTTTATTTTATTTTTTCGCAATTTGCTTTCCCGCCTTGTCGATGATGAGAACTCTTTTCCAGTTCTGCTACTGAAGTCTCTGTGACGACTCCGATTATTACCATACCAAGATCTCTGATACACGTCTTTACATCTCTTATTGCAAACTCTCAATACGATTTGTGTGGCACTTTGCTAACCATACTCGTTCAGCCATGGTGTGCCCCACGACGATAATTCCCCGATCAACACTTGCAATACTATCAATAGGTACGTCGTATATGCTTCACTTGGCATGTCGATCCCCTGGCCTCAATGATGAAAACAAGTTATATCCATTCAACGACCTCCTCCGGGCCAAGTCATTCTTTCGCACCTTAGCAAGTCCTTATGGGCGCGCGATGATGGGTTGTAGAGTTGCCTCATTAGTGTTATTTGACTCCAGTGCTTTGACGTCTGGGTATCCCGTTTTGGGGTGCTTGGCTGATAGGCCGGCCTGGGCGACTGAGTAAAAACGGCTTGTCTGAGCCATATTTTACCGGGCACCTGTGTAAATTGCAGACCAATGATACATGATGCTAATTTCAGTATCTACAGGGATGATGGGCCGTACGAGTATCGCCACCCTTTTAAAGGACATGACAGGCCACTCAATTCAATCTCGAGAATTATAATGCTAGCATGGAACTTTTCACTGTACATGTATACGAGTAGTTGGTAGGTGCCGACAGGACTTCTGTCTCATCGTCTTGAGGTAAGGGTTGTTATCAGTTGATGTTCGAGTAGGCTGTGTCAGCGCCAGTTGTGATGTAGATGTCTTGCCACTTCATTGGGCCATTGTAGATTCATTCAATCGCCTTGGTCAAGAAGGAGAGCGGGAAAAACAAAGTTCAAAAGCATTAACGGAATAATTGCATGATTCAATCAACCCACTTATACGTCTAGTAAAACGCATCCATTGAGCCCCCATTAAGTAGGAAAGCTGTTGGGTGTTTTCCAAGCTGTCAAAGGACAAAAATCAGGATCTCAATTTGAGTAATGAAAAGCAATGAGAGGCCGTTTATGGAAAGCCCAGTGGACACAAAAGACCCAAGGACCCCTCTCAGAAGATTGAAAGATCTACCTACAGTTTCAGTCTTCGGTCCTGCATAGCCTAATTACTCGTGCGCCAGCAGCGCCGCACAAGCGCAATGTGTCACTACTATGAAATGGCCAATCATCGGATAATTATATTAGCAGGGACGTCCCCTGGAAATCTTACCTAAGGCAGCCGCGTCTCTCTCTCCGGAACAGCTTGCATTCTGCCATCCAAGCCTTCCTGTAGTCGCCCCCTTCGTCTCACGACAGGTGTTCCCTGTCGATTGCGCAAGTAATAAGAAGTGCCCCGTGTGGTCCATCTATACTGTTACGATATATCTGCCGGCAACCAGATTCCGTCGCCTTCCAATTCATCATCTTCTGTCTGCCCCGGATCGACGATTCACCACAAGGCCATCGAGGGGCAGAGTACCTTTGGGGGTATACAACTTTTTGGATACCATCTTATGTCACTCTTTTGGTCTTCAAGATGATGCCCAGGCATCAGGCAAGCAGCTTTGCCAATGGGCACCCCAGGGAAAAGACGTTTGACTTCTCCCCTCATAGGTACGTTGCTAGCCTTTCTCTATCTCTCTTCTGTCTACGCTTCCCCAACTGTGTGCGCGCACGACTGCAAGGACTCGTCATTGACTTGGCCGACCAAAAAAAAATAGATTTCAACCTCGCGGTTCTGCTTCAGTATCTCGAAATCGCCAGAAGCTCTTCTTCCGAGTGGGAGCCGCCCTTTTCATAATCATCATTCTCTCCATTTGGTTGTGGCCGAGTGGCTCCATCGCCTCCATCTTCTCCCTCGGACTCCTTTCCTCGGCCGGCGATCTCGAGCTCGAAACAGTACGGTACTATGATTTGACCAATGTCCAAGGAACCGCCAGAGGCTGGGAGCGAGAGGAGCGTATCCTTCTCTGCGTGCCCCTGCGCGACGCCGAAGCGCACCTGGGCATGTTCTTCTCACACATGCGCAACCTTACCTATCCGCATAACTTGATCGACCTCGCATTCCTTGTGTCTGACTCCAAGGACAAGACGCTCGAGACTCTCTCCGAAAACCTCGAGGAGATGCAACGCGACCCAGATCCGAAGCAGCCCTATGGCGAAATTTCAATTATCGAGAAAGACTTTGGTCAGCAAGTCAACCAGGACGTCGAAAGTCGTCACGGCTTTGCAGCCCAGGCTACACGAAGAAAGCTGATGGCGCAGGCCCGTAACTGGCTCCTTAGCGCTGCACTGCGCCCCTACCATTCGTGGGTGTACTGGCGAGATGTGGACGTGGAAACTGCGCCCTTTACCATTCTCGAGGACCTCATGCGACACAACAAAGATGTCATTGTGCCAAGTATGTATAATCCCCCCCCCGGGTATACGTGTGCCGGGTGGCGACGTGGTACTGCAGAAGGTTGATGCTAACAATTTAAACAGATGTTTGGCGTCCACTCCCAGACTGGCTAGGTGGAGAGCAGCCGTATGATCTCAACTCTTGGCAAGAATCGGAGACGGCTCTTGCTCTGGCAGACACTCTGGATGAGGATGCTGTCATTGTCGAGGGCTACGCCGAGTACGCTACTTGGCGACCTCACCTGGCATACCTCCGAGACCCGTACGGTGACCCGGACATGGAGATGGAGATTGACGGCGTCGGCGGTGTCAGTATTCTAGCCAAGGCCAAGGTGTTCCGCAGCGGCGTCCACTTTCCGGCTTTTAGCTTCGAGAAGCACGCTGAGACCGAAGGGTTCGGAAAGGTTCGTCTCATCCCACCAACATTCATATGTACGAATAGACCCGGAATGAGCGCTGACATGCAGAATAGATGGCAAGGCGTATGGATTACTCGGTTGTTGGACTGCCTCACTACACCATTTGGCACTTGTATGAGCCCAGTGTTGACGATATCCGCCATATGGAGGTGAGTACCGGATCGACGGCATCTTTTTGGAGGCCAACCGCTAATGGCATACACAGGAGATGGAGCAGGAACGCATTGCGCGCGAGAAGGAGGAAAAGAAGATGCAGAAGATAAAGGATGAGTTTTACGACGGCGATTCCCAGTGGCAGAAGGACAAGCAGGACATGCAAGAGTTGTCTGCCCAGCAGGAGCGACAGATGGACTCCAACAAGGCTCAAATCGACGATGATGAAACCAGCGTCAAGGTTGACAATCAGGCCGACAAGGCCGACAGCACGGCCGATAACAACGAGGTCGATAGCGAGGCCGACAGCAACGCCGGAAGCAACGCCGGTAGCAAAAAGGGGCAAGCGGTTTGAAGAGGGCGAGCGGCTGTATTATTATTATTACTACTAGATGTCTGTCTTCTTTGGTGTTAGGATCTCTTTTCTTTGGTTTTGCGGACGCCGTATGCAAGAGGCATCAAAAAGGCCTAGGATGGCTTGGATCCGTGCGGAGTAGGGGCTTTGTGCAATATCATTCGAACAGCGATTTTATAACCTGACTGCTTTTTGGAACCGAGTGCCTATTGTCTTATGTGCCACTGTTGGCTGACGTGTTCCATTACAGTAAATATAGTAGTTATATTGTAAACGTTCTGAGCCGTTATAGTAGTATTAAGTACTAGAGGCTGGGATAGGCTGACGTGGATAGAAATACTACCTTATAATACTACTTGCGCGGGTGTTGGCTGTCACAATACCTCAGGAGTCAAGTATGTACCGCAGAACCATGCATAATATGGCTGCTGGTGTTTAATTATTATCCTTCCCGTTCTACATTATTGTAGGACCAAGCCATCTAAATGTGTCCTTCTACTGTAGTAATACTATCAAATATAATACTTCTCAGTAAAAACGCAAAGGCACATACATATATAATACATGTGCTCGTATACCTATATACAGACCCCTGTCACCTAGGTAAAGCTCTAGCCAATCACATCATCCATTGGACGACACCGTTGACTTGGGAGCGACCTGAACTCTGGCCAGCTTCGCTCTTTGCCCGTAGCTTTTTCTATGTCCTCACCATTGCCGCAATCCTAGAGACCATCTTTTTTCTTTTATCCATGTTGCTCTCGCCTGCTGAATGTTGATTTGCGTTTTACCATCCGGTAAGATTGCCCTCTTCTTCTTTTTGTTTTCGCAGCGCCTTTCCCCTCTATTATTACCCCCCCTCAAGCCTCCCCTTGTCCAAATCTGATTACATATGTGTTACTGACCCCGAGTTACTACTTGCAGCACAGCACGGACAATGAATCGCGATGCCCTCGCTTCCGGCACTATGGATTCTTCCCAGCCTCTAGCATCTTCCAGTTCGTCAACGGTCCTCGATACCCCCCGAATGCAATATCGCAGCCGCCCGGTCTCGGTCGCCGTCGACCCCGTCTCGCTGATCATCTCGGAATGCATCTCGATCACGTCGGCCATCCAGAAGCATGCGCGCTCCCAGCACTCGTCTGTTTCGGCGATTCTTGGAGGAAACCCGAACCCCCTGCAGCTAGGCCCTCCCAGCCCCTCACTCACCGGACGAAGCAAAAGTCCCCTCGGCCTCGGCCTCGATGGCGACTCTGACGCTGCATTTGGCAACCGATGGGGCCTTCGTGGCCAGAGGGGCAGGAGCATGCAGGATAACCCCATGATTGCAGGCTTCGGAAAGCTGCGACACGAAATTGCCGGGAGCAAAGGTACGTGGCCGTCCGCGCATAGACGCGCTTATAGACTTGGGACGCTGATAGAAGAAACCCCCCCCTACAGATGTTCGCACCTTCGATGCCCCCTCGCTCCTCGCCCCTTTTCTGCACGTTATGCAAGCAAAGGGCACCGCGGCTCCCATCACGATCCTCGCTCTTGGTGCCCTGCGAAAGTTCCTCGCATACGGTTTTGTCTCCCCCGAGTCTCCTCGATTCGCCCTCGCTATGCAGTCCCTTTCGGCTGCCGTCACGCACTGTCAGTTCGATATAAGTGATTCGGGTCAGGTTGAGGTCGTTCTCCTCATGATACTCAATCTCATGGAGGATATGATGTCCGGGCCGGGAGGGGATATACTCAGCGACGAGAGTGTGTGTGATATGATGGGTCGTGGCTTAGCCATCTGCTCACAGCCACGCTTCTCGCCTGTCCTGCGCCGTACTGCCGAGGCTGCCATGGTGAGGATGTGTCAGATTATCTTTGAAGATGTCAAGCATATCGAGGTCGAGGCTGGGCCCGAGTCGACGGCTCTTGATCAGCAAGTCCAGGGCGCCATGGGCCATGTTAGGATGGAAACAAACAATTCCGAGGTCCTCAAGACGCCAGAGGCAGAGACGAAGGATTCCGAGAGCACTAAGGGCTCTGATAACGGGGGTGAGGAGGGGGAGAAGGAGGAGAAGTCAGAGGAGGCAGAAGGCGAGCCTACCAAAGTAGCGCGACAGAAAAAAGAGACGACTGAAGTCACTGAGGACACGGAGTCTCTGGATCTGAAGCCTTACTCTCTTCCCTCTGTCCGCGAGCTCTTCAGGGTTCTTGTCAACTTCTTGGACCCTCACGATCGTCAACACACAGATACTATGCGCGTTATGGCTATGCGCATCATCCATGTTGCTCTCGAGGTGGCAGGTCCCTTCATCGCCCGCCATCCCGCCCTGGCCAGCATTGCCGAGGACCGGCTGTGCTGCTATCTTTTCCAGCTTGTCAGGTCGGACAACATGGCCATTCTCCAAGAATCGCTCATTGTAGCAGGCACACTGCTGACAACCTGTCGCCCGGTGCTCAAGCTGCAGCAGGAGCTCTTCCTATCCTACCTTGTCGCATGCCTTCACCCGACTGTCGAGATCCCCCGCGAGCCTGGCATCGACCCTTCCCTGTACTCGGGAATACCCCAGACACCGAAGCTCGTCAAGCCCCCGTCTACACCTACACAGCAGCCGGCCAGCGGTCGCTCGACTCCAGTTCCCGTCAAGGATAGGCAGAAGCTCGGATTGGAGGGGGGATCACGCAAACCAGATGCTCGCCAGGCCATGGTTGAGGGTATAGGAGTCCTCTCGAGGATGCCGACGTTCATGGTGGAGCTTTTTGTCAACTACGACTGCGATGTCGACAGGGCGGATCTCTGCGAAGATACTGTAGGACTGCTGACCCGCAACGCCCTTCCCGACTCAGCTACCTGGAGCACAACTAGTGTGCCCCCTCTGTGTCTCGACGCACTGCTCCGATACATCCAGTTCATCGCTGAGAGGCTAGACAACGAGCCTGTTTCCGAGGGATACCCTGACCCAGCTCATCTGAGGGAGGAGAGGCGGAAGAAGAGAGTCATCATCCAAGGTACCACCAAGTTCAATGAGAAGCCAATGGCCGGACTTGGTTTCTTGGAGGCCCAAGGCATCATCAAGGATGCTCGGGACCCTGTAGAGGTTGCTACTTTCCTCAATGGGACCTCGCGGGTCTCCAAGGCTGTGCTTGGTGACTTCCTATCGAAACGAGGGAACGAGGCCATTCTCAGCGCCTTCTTGGACCTATTCGACTTCTCGGGCAAGCGCGTGGATGAGGCGCTGAGACTGCTGCTGGAGGCTTTCCGGCTCCCCGGTGAGGCTCCCCTCATTGCCACAATTGTCGAGGTATTTTCCGAGAAGTACATTGATGGTGCGAACCCTCCCGAGGTTTCGGACAAAGATGCCGCGTTCATCTTGACCTACGCCATCATTCTGCTCAACACCGATCAGCACAACCCCAACCTCAAGGACCACAAGCGCATGACTCTGGATGACTTCTCGAGGAACCTGAGGGGACAGAACGCCCGCGAGAATTTTGCCCCCGAGTACCTGCAGGAGATTTACGAGACCATAAAGTCTGACGAAATTATTCTCCCCGATGAGCACGATAACAAACATGCCTTTGATTATGCTTGGCGTGAGCTTCTTCAGAAGACTGAGTCGGCTGGCGAGCTTGTTGTTTGTGACACAAACATCTATGATGCCGACATGTTTGCTGCCACCTGGCGGCCTATCGTCTCTACCCTCTCCTACGTCTTCATGTCTGCCACGGATGACGCCGTCTTTGCGAGAATCGTGACGGGTTTCGATGAGTGCGCTCGCATCGCTTCCAAATATGGGAACAAGGAGGCCCTCGACCAGATCATCTACTGCCTCAGCCATATGACAACACTGGGAACCGACGTGCGCCTCAACACTGCTCTCAACACCGAGGTGCAAGTTGGGGAGGGAAGCGTCATGGTCAGCGAACTGGCTGTTAAGCTTGGAAGGGATTTCCGTGCTCAGCTGGCGACCCTGGTGCTTTTCCGTGTTGTCACTAATAATGAAGCTCTTGTCACCAAGGGTTGGAACGATGTATGCGACCCCCTTTCTAGCCAAAGCATCTCTGCGATGATCAATCACTAACTTGAAAGCAGATTGTTCGCATTTGGGTAAACCTCTTTGTCAACTCCCTTACTCCTCCTTTCTCGCCTCCCGAACTTCCGGACCTCGGCATCCCTCCTATCCCCTTGCAGTCTCCTTCGCAGGTGATCGACAGGGCCACCCGGTCCACAGAAACCGGCTTCTTCTCGGCGTTTACATCCTACATATCTAGCTATGCCGCCGACGATCCTCCCGAGCCGTCGGATGAGGAGCTGGAGAGCACCCTCTGCACCGTGGACTGCGTCAAGTCATGCAAGATTGACAAAGTGTTCAGCAACATTGCGTATGTATAAACAGCATTCCACCCGGAAAAAGACCACATATGCTTACATCCTTCCAGAAAATTACCAACCTCTTCGCTTAGTGGCTTAGTAGAGGCTCTGCTCGAGCAGTTGCCCGAGAACAAACAAGAACCCGTCATCTCCGTGAAGCAAGAGGATATGCCCAGCCCCCACCCCAGTGGGCGTGACCGACCGTCGGAGTCTCTCGAGTATGACCCTGTAGTGGCGTTCCTGCTCGAGTTTGCGACGAAGCTGGCCACCCGGGATAAGGATGCCGTCGAGGCAGTCGGGAAGCGAGTCTTCGACACAATGCAGGCAATACTGCGGGACTCTGCCCAATGGCACCCTATCACGGTGTCACGCGTCAGCTTCTACGCTCTGAAGACATTAAAAGCAAGCTATGTGAGTTACGCATACATGTCAGGGAACTGAACAGTGCATAAGACTAACCAAGTGGATCACTACAGGATCATGACTTTGCCAATGTCCCTTACCTACTTCACAGCATTTCCACCCTCTCGCAAAGCGTTCTCAGCAAGGCCGCAGAACTCACTCTAGCCGGCATTGCAACCTGTATCGACCAGCCCGGGTCTTTGAGGAACGAGCTGATGACATCTCCCGACTTCTGGAAGCTGCTCCAGAAACTTGCTAGGGACCCAGAGTCTGCTGCCAAGGTGTTTGGTATCCTCGAGAGAGGTACGTCCGGCAGCCCCCCTGCCATTATGGCTGATAACTATGAGGCAGCAATTGCTCTGCTAGACGATTTTGCTTCAGCTGCCAGCCCGCTCAAGTCTCAGGAGCCACAAGCTGCCCCTAAGAGAGCGGACCAGCCGAAGAAGCAGGCCAATAAGTAAGAACACTTCTTCCCCCTTACCGGCCATGTTGTATAGACCAAAAGACTAACATTACCTGGAAGGGATTATGATGCCATCGTCAGGGGTTGCAAGGCCATCGAAATACTGCAGAACATGACCGGCCGTATCCCACAGCTCATTGAGCAGTCTCACCTCGAGGCCAGCGAAGGTTGGCTTTGCCCGGAACTCCCTCATACATGTCCCCGACGACTTACTGATTTTGTCTTTTTCACAGCTTGGTCGGCTTACTGGCTGCCCGTCTTTCAGGCTTTGACCGCGCAATGCACGAACCCCTGTCGCGAGGTCCGCCAGCTGGCATTCTCCTCGTTGCAACGGTCGCTGCTGCTCCCTGAACTCACCAGCAACGACCCCCAGGAGTGGACTGCCATATTCGGAAGCGTGCTGTTCCCCCTGATTCAACGACTCCTCAAGCCGGAAGTATTCTCTACCGATCGTGATGGCATGGGCGAAATGCGCGTCCAGGCTGCATCGCTACTGTGCAAAGTGTTTCTACAGTACCTCGTGCTTCTGTCCGAGTGGGAGGGCATGCTCGATCTCTGGATAAAAATCGTCGAGATAATGGATCGTCTAAAGAACAGCGGTCAAGGTGACAGCTTGGTAGGTTACACCCAACAAGTACCCTATGGAACTCATCACCAATAGACATAGAGAGACTGACTGTTGTTTGTAGGAGGAGGCGGTATGGGAGAATCTGAAAAACGTCGTGTTGTTCATGGCGAGCAGTGGCTATCTGGTGTCCCCCAAGCAGGATCCGTCCAAGGAACAGCTGTGGACGGAGACTTGGAAGCGTATCGACCGCTTCCTCCCCGATCTGCGTAGCGACTTGGCCCTTGAGGGAGAAGAGGAGGTCGAGGAGACTGGAAAGAAGCAAGAAGGCAAGAAGGAGGAGAAGGGGGAGGAGAAGAAAGCTGACGATGTAGACACAAAGGAGGAGGCTAAGGAGGCCTCTTGAGGATATGTTGACCAAGAAGAGTATGTAGAATTAGATTTTTTTTCATTTTATACCATATTAAAAAGAAAGGACAGTTTGCTTGTCCATTAAATGCTTGTTTATAATATTCCTAGGTTGTTGCAAGAGATGCATTGCTAGTAGTAATAGTAGTATCTCAGAATAGCTCGGTATATTGGTTTCACCCCGAGGAACGTTCTTTGTTTTCCTTCTCTTCTTCCCTTTCTTTCTTAATATATTCCTTTTTGGTATATATCTTTATTGTATATACCATTATTTGCTCAGCCCAAGCCAAAGTGAGGATCGACTGGTTGACGTGAGCTAGTGACGAATGAGTGTTATAAGAAATGCCAAGGCCTTGTCAGTGCTACAGCTCCCCACGTCATACCTCTCTCAAGCCAAACAATCGTCAATAGCACCACCATCCCACACCAAAAGAGATTCCGACCACGCTTTATGATAATCATATATCACGTACACCATTCCCCTTCTCACCCACTACGAGCGTCCTTCTGGATGCGGGGGATGCGGCATTTTGCAACCTTCTAGATCAAAACTTTGAGTCCGTCGCTCTGAACGCGCTGCTTACGATTCGCCCGACCGACCTACCGACCTACCGACCTACCGACCAAGTCGCCATGACCAACGCTTCACACCAACGTCAACATGTCTGAGTCGACAGTGCCTGGCGCCACCTCGAGCCATGCAACAAACGAGGAACAGTTAAGTTTGGATGATGAGGCAGAGACAGATCCCAAACTCGACCAAGCTGCGCCCTTCCCCTCGCTTCAGAACAACGGAACGACCAGCCCGCCAATGTCCGAAGCCGCCCACACAGGTGGCCGTGCAGGCGAGGAGGACTACGATGACGAGCCAGCCGTGGCCAAGCCGTTTATCCGCACGTCGAGCCCGGATTCTGCGGTGCCCCGAGGCCCTACGGCGAGCGATATGCACGACAAGACGCCGGACCGCCTATCGTATAGGATGCACAAGTTCAACATGTACGAGACGGCGACACGGTACTACATTGTCGGCGTCGACGTCAGCGAGAAGTGGTACCGGATCCTCAAGATTGAGCGCACCAGCGAGGGCGCCGAACTCAACATGACGGACGACAAGATTGTCTACAGCCTCAGGCAGATGAACCAGCTGCTAGACGCCATCGACGCCGGCAACAAGGGCACCGGCGGCATCAAGCTGCGCTGCACGACATGGGGCCTGTTAGGCTTCATCCGCTTCACCAGGCCCTACTACATGCTCCTCATCACCAAGAAGAGCACCGTCGCCATGGTCGGCGGTCACTACATATACCAGATCGAGGGCACGGAGCTGGTGCCCCTGACGCCCGCCCGGTCCAAGCCCGATCCGCGCAATACCGAGGAGTACAGGTTCCTGAGTATCCTCAACAACCTCGATCTGACCAGGTCCTTCTACTACAGCTACTCGTACGATGTCACGCGCACATTGCAGAAAAACATTATCCGCGAGCGCAACTGTCTCGCCAAGGGAACCCTGGCTCCCCCAGAGGATGACCTCAATTCAATGTTTGTCTGGAATCACTATTTGCTTCAGCCTGCGGTGGAGGCACTGAGGGATCCGTTTGATTGGTGCCGCCCAATAATTCATGGATACATCGATCAAGCGGGTATGTCTTCTCTATTACGTTCGCTCTATCCTCTTTGAAACATGTGTATGCCCTACTGACGATTTCTCGATACCCAATAGCCCTCTCGATATATGGACGCACTGCCCACATCACCGTCATAGCCAGACGGTCCAGATACTTTGCTGGAGCTCGATTCCTTAAACGAGGTGCCAATGATTTAGTACGACTAAACACCTTCTCTCCTGGGCTCTGCTATCTGTGAAGTCAACATGCTAATATGCTGCTTGCTCAGGGCTACGTTGCCAACGATGTTGAGACGGAGCAGATTGTTGCCGAGTCGCTCACGACATCGTTTCATTCTCCAGGCCCACGCCTCTACTGCAGCCCACAATATACTTCGTATGTCCAGCACCGCGGAAGTATTCCCCTGTACTGGACTCAAGACAGCACCGGTGTGACACCAAAGCCTCCCATCGAGCTCAATCTGGTCGACCCGTTCTACTCTGCCGCTGCCTTGCATTTTGACGACTTGTTTGAGCGTTATGGGGCTCCGGTCTACGTTGTGAATCTTATTAAGTCTAAAGAGCGCCAACCGCGAGAGTCTAAACTCCTCAAGGAATATACCGATTCTGTCAACTATCTCAACCAGTTCTTGCCAGAAGATAAGAAGATCCGATACCGGGCCTGGGATATGAGTAGGGCCTCCAAGGTTCCCGGGGGCGATGTCATTGGGAACCTTGAGCTGATTGCTGACTCCGTTCTGGATACCACGGGGTTTTTCCAGAATGGCGACGGCCGGACCAGCCCTATGTCGGCACAGAATGGAGTGGCTCGGACAAACTGCATCGACTGCTTGGACCGCACCAATGCAGCGCAGTTTGTCATCGGGAAGAAGGCGTTGGCGCATCAACTCCATGCTCTTGGGATCCTGGAGAGCCCGACGCTGGAATACGACACAGATGCAGTCAACCTCTTCACTCACATGTGGCATGACCATGGCGACACCATTGCCGTACAGTACGGTGGATCCCAGCTGGTCAACACCATGGAGACGTACCGAAAGATTAATCAATGGACAAGCCATTCAAGAGACATGATTGAAAGCTTCAAGAGATACTACAACAATTCCTTCCTCGATAGCCAGCGCCAGGAGGCATACAACCTGTTCCTCGGAAACTACATCTTTGCGCAAGGGCAGCCTATGCTCTGGGATCTAACTACCGACTACTACCTTCACCACGCCGACCCGCGAGACTGGGCTGTCCGCAGAAGGAAGGACTATATCAACTGGTTCACCCCGGCCAATCTTGAGGAGCGCAAAATCCCACCATTTACCCCCTTGCAGCAGAGGAACCGGACACGCCCTGTAGATTTCTTCGACGACTACTGGCTGGAGTACTACCGCCCCTCGACCCTATCGTCGTTTCCCAAAATGTTTGCGTATAAGATGAATTCGACCATCAAGTATATACCCTTCAACAAGTTGACGCAGGAAGGCCGCTACGACCTGAGCCCCTTTCGCGTGCGAACCGACAATGACACTGGGCCTGAGAGGAGGCGCCCAAGGAAGGCAATTCAGGCAGCCTCGCCTGGAGTCTACCGCACACATCAGCACCGGACAAGTCTCGAAACCGACACGGTATCCTTGGCGTCTGCAGCCACCTCGGCCAGCGCCATCGGGCTACACCGCTGGCTCCACAACCCTTCTGCTCAGGACAAGGGAACCGTCCAGCAGATGATGCGAGATGCACTGCCAGTCGGCTTAGGTCAAGAAAAGGTCAAGGCGACGCCCCTGGAAAAGACAAAGGCTGCGCAGAGGACCCTCACAGAGACAGTTAACAACTCTCTTGATCCATTTGTCGGGGACCAGGAAGCGTCAGACTACGCACGATACATACGACACCCCCAAGAGATACCGCTTGTTGTCTCCAGCGACACGCCCGTCGATATTGACTCATCAGAGTACCAAGACTATGTACACGGCGATTGGCAGGCAGAAGGTCTCATGGTGACGGGTGAAGAGGAAGAGTTTGACGTCTATGCTGAGCTAGTCAAGGTTGGAGAGAACCCGCTGACCGTGGCTGAAGAGGACGCTCCAAAGAAAAGATACAAGGCATACAGGAAGTGGCTCCGAGGAAAATCCTTCTTCAAGCAGCAACCGCTGGATTGATTGGTCTCTATGTTTCCTTTATAATGAATTCTTCCCTACGTCCTTATATATCAATTACGTAGCACCAGCCTGAGTCGTGGAAAAGAGTTCCCTCAACTTGGGCTCCGCCTTGAGGATCTCTTCCACTCGTGGTACCGTCTTATCACCCTGGGCATGTTGTATGGACCGTAACATGGAGGCCAATTTTTTGAGCTCCCCCAGGAGCCCCGGGAGCACTAGGCTATCCACCTCGTCATCCTGTATGTTGAGCCAGCAAGTTGCGATGATGCGCGTCACCTCGTCTGCATATCCTCCTTGGCATATCCTAGGCCAGCAGTTTGCCAATATGGCTTGCAGGGCCTTTGTGGCCTCGAGAAGCGCAGGTGGGTGAGAGACAACAAAAGGGTCGGTCATGACGGTTGATATGGTGGGGAGGAGTGTCTATTCATGTTTTGTTAGTGACAAGCGTGTCCATTTTTTTTTCTGTTATTTTCCTCCCACACGTACCTGCAAATGTTTAACAGTGTAGACACCAAGACAGTTAACAACTGTCGCTAAGGTGCGAAGGAGCGTCTCCACGACGTGAATATAACTCGATGCATGGTCATATGCCGTAAGTATGCCTTCTCTGATGATGCTATCCAGGAGCAACCTCCGCGTGGGACTGCTGGTATCGGGATCCTTCTCGGCCAAGATAATGAGAGCACGGTACGCCGGTTGCATAATCTGGATAGACTCTGCCTCCGGGGTCAGACTCGGGAGGAAGAGGACGGACGGGAAGATGGCATCCTGGAACACTTTCCCAATGCCAGTAGACTTGAGGACTTTGGCAGGGCACTTGTCCAGGAAAGTGGACATGATTTCCAGCCCAGTTGTCCTAGTGGGCGTGTCGTCGGCCTCGGCGATAGTGAGGAGAATTGGAGTGAAAAGCGGCCAGTTCTCGCGCAGTAATGCTTCCTATACCATCTACAAGTCAACTCTAGGCCAGGGTAGGTATAACAATAAAGAGAAATGACTAACGTCAGAGGCCTCAACGGCCCATCGAAAGGCTGATACCACCCGCGGACCTTGTGCTTTCCACGCTGGAGGCTCTAGTCCACGAGGATAAGTTTTGTCGTCGGTACCTGGAAACTGGGCTGGCCGCCCTGACGAGGTAAGTTTTGTTGTGGATTTTGAAAACACCGGTCGTATCCAGTTCTTGAGGACGTCTTCCACTACAAACTCCCTGAACCCGTCTGATGCCACGCTACTGTTGAGGATTCCAGAAGTGATGGCCTGTGACCCTACGGTGGTCCATGAGTCATGAGAGTCAGTGAAGGCTACCAGGTATGCGACAAGGCTAGTTGGTAGACCGTCTTTCGACCTTGATGCCAGCACATAGAGGCAGGCCAACGCTGCTTCAACAGTCAAGGCATTGTTCTCCTTATAGCCTGGAAACGTGGAAGAAAAGGTCAACCAAAGTGGGTTTTTTTTTTTTTGGAAAAAAGCTGCACGCACCTGTTCCATCAAGATCCCTCGCCACTAGTTCACCTATTTTCTTGCAAACTTCTGTTTGGCCCCATGCTGACTCTGAAATATCCGATAGCTGCGCAAAGGCAACAAGCAACTTGTCTCTCTAGAAATGTATCGCGTACGGTAAGCAACGCCAAAGCTTGTATCTCTTTGAGTGCAAGTTAGAATATGACCAACCTGATTCTTTCTGCTTCCCTCGTATGTACTAGCAATGTCTTGAAGAGTTTCCGCTCCTTGCAAGCCTGTCAAGTCTGGTTAGCTCAGCCAGTCAACCTTCCATCCAGTTCGGTGAGACGGAGGTCCGCACCAGCTTTCGCATCTCGCAATCTTGAAGCATTAGCCTCGCTTAGCGTCACATAGGACATCATTGTGATATGTTATAATCTGAATGGCTCGTGGAATCCTCGTGGCCATGAGTTGTAACAGATGTCGATCTGCAGTCGGAGTGTAAAATCATAGAAGGTGGGATGGATGCTGCACAGTATGTATATAAGTATACTGTGTCATGGACTGTAAAGCTCCCATCTCGTTATACATCCAGCTGGGCTATAAAAATGCTCTATCTCGTTCTTTTCAATTTCATCTCTATTCGATTGTCCTAGCTACAGCATTCATGTCTCTCAAATAGATATTCCCAACTCCTCCTTTCTTCTGCGAACCTCCTGAATCGCTCCCTCTGGGTTTTTCTCCTCTGGATTCCGTAGCTGCCATTCCATGCAAATATCCAGAGCCTTTCCGGTCCATTTTCCAGGCTTTATTCCGAGAGCTTTGGCTAGAGTCATACCATCCAACAAACGCTTCGTGGATGGTGCATCAAACAGGTCAAGCTCAAGCAGGTGGTCGAGAAAGTTTTGCCATTGCTGGAGAAAATCCCGTTGCTTCTTCAAAATGTCATTATCCGCTTCTTTGGCGTCCTTCGCGGTCTTTTCGTGTTTCCACTCCTCAAGCATTTTCATAGCCTCGACCAGCAATGCATTCAGCACCTGGAGCTTCCACGAGCCACCTTGGGCATCCCATCGCCGGATCGCCATTCCCAGCCGGTCCCTTTCATTTGTGTGGGCAGCCTGCTCGTTCACGGCATTTTTTAAGCTCGTAATTTCCTCGCGATGTCTATAGGATGCGGAAATGACATCTGTGAGTTTATTTGGGGACTTGAAGCCTTCGCGGGCTATGCCTGCAACGGGAGGCAGCTGGTTTGCCTTCTTCTTTGTACCCGGCGGGTCCGGGATGACCATCCAGGGAGCGAGTGCGGCGTGGTTCCAGGCAACGTACTCGGCGTCGTCCGTTCGCACGAGGATATCAAAGATGGATTTCGGGGACCGGCTCTTCTTGAGATCCTCCAGGCACTCGTAGACCACAGGCCACCGTGGGAGGTACTTGAGCTCAGGTGAGTCTTTCGCTGGGTCAGTGAACACTGCACGGTAGAGGCCCAGCCTGTCGATGAAATGCAACGCCCGTCGTGGGTCATTTCCTGCGGACGTTTATCAGCAATCAAAATCTACTGTGGTGTACAAGTCGAGTGATGAGGGGAGGTTGCTACCTTTGAGCATCTTCTCTAGCTCGATACCGACACGCTCGCGGCTAATCTTGATTCTGAGAGCGTTGAGGACCTCTTCATTGCCCATGTATCGTTCTACTCCTGGATCTATCGAAAATCCCAGGCGACTGGCAAATCTCACAAGTCGAAGAACGCGGAGAGGGTCGTCAGTAAAGGTCCTTAAGGGCTCCAGGGGCGTCTTGATGAGCTTCGCCTCCATGTCTTCGACACCACCGGTAAAGTCTTCGATTCTGTCGGTGTTGAGGTTGTAAAAGACGGCATTGATAGTCGCATCGCGCCTAAACGCATCCTCCTGAGCAGTGCCGAATTCCATAATGGGGTTTCGGCTATCTTCGACGTAAACCTCTTTGCGCAAGTTCACAAAGTCGAGGTCAAGACCAAACATTTTGACCATAGCTGTTTCGAGGTTTTTGGACTTCTCGGGGTTGCGCGCCACGTTATGAAGGTTTCCAATGTCTTTTTTCTCAATTTTGTGAGCCTCACGAGCTTCTGGGGTGTCGCAGTAGTTGCACATGTGCTCAGCAAAGGTGACGCCAGTCATGTTATTGATGGCCACATCGATATCATGACTCTCCAGGCCGAGAAGCTTGTCGCGCACCCATCCACCAGCCCAACGGAGAACAACGGGTTCCCTCAGACTCCCCAAGTCATCTATAGATTTGGCAACATCCAGTAGTAGTCGCCGTAGTTGCTGTTCCTTTGGCTGGAGCTCGATCTTAGGGAGCATTTTGGAGGATTTGGATGGCGATGTGTGAGTTGAGTGGGGCTGAAGGAACTCGTCTAGCTTTCTTTTCATGCTGATGCCAGGTCTAACAAAACCACGCATTTGTGCGCACAGTAGTGATAAAGGGAAGACAGGCGGCCTCAGCAATATTCTCTTTAATCTCATGCGGTCTGTCGCCGTGACAGCTTGGGAAAGGAGTCACTTTAAATGTCCTTTGCTTGTCTTGTGACTAAAAGCTCTTCAAGCGGAGCAAGGTCACAAAATGTACTGCTACTACAGCATCAGCAACAAATAGCGTTACACAAAAGCGAAGGGCACTCACTACCTGTATACAAGATCATAATATAGGCGGGGTCTCTATCTTACCAGAGGGGACACAGTACTACGACGCAGCACTTCTAACGGTCGCGTCCTGAAGTTCGAGGTCATTACAGGGTAAGTAATTCTCGTGAGTTAGTAAAACCGTAAGTGGAGCTGTTGACTGTGAAAATTTCAGCCACATCACGTGCTTCCTTGTTGTGTCAGACGGAGCAGCGGAATAATGTCGGTAAAATGCTCGTATGAGGTTCCGAGTCGGAAAGAGATTTATCCGGACAATTATTCACTGATGTAATAATGGAAAGGGACCGACATACAGCTGTTTTCTGCCCTCAATAATGTGGTGTTATTGTTATATCTGTCTAAGGGAAATAGTGGTTGTACAGGTGTACCGTTTATCAGACATCTCTAATCGGACCGGAATAACCTATTCCGGTAGCTTATTCAACTGTTTGTTCCGACATGTTGATGACCTGACGACCTTGATCAATCGACATCTTGGAACGTACATTATATGCACATACATTTGATCGAAAAACACGACACCCTTTTTACCATTGTCTGCGCTAACAATTAAATTACAAAAGCTGTCCTAAGGGCCCGATGGTGGCCTAACTCCCGCCATGTTACATTGCCGAAAGATGCGCACTTCGTCTTACACGATGGAGTGCATCACTCCATCGTTGTTGAAGAGCACCAAGTCGCCCTCATCCCAAGCATGCGGGTAGGCAAACTGAGGGCTGATAGCTGATCTCTGGAGCCTGTATATGGTCTCCCTCATAACCTTCAGGTTCCCGATGCAAGTCCCATCTGCAAGGTGAATTTTGCGAACCGGGACGGGGTACGTTGTCTTCGCAAGCTTGCCAGTCCCCGGGTTCTTCCAAACCATCGGGTGCTTTTGATCTTACTCTCATCAATGTCGGACAAAACATTCTCTGGTAGTTCCAGGCCATCCGGGAGCAACCCGAGGCCATTTGACCTCGCCTTGGCTTTGCTCAACCAGATGTAAGGATGAGGGGCGTATTCGACCGTGCTGGTCAACACAAGATTTCTGTCAGCCTCAGACAGCATTTCAAACATGCAGTACCCAATAATGAATGCCGTTTGTTCCAAGAGGAAAATCCATAGTCTCCCCGGTGCCGTCGTACCGGCCTATCTGAGTTTTCCCTTGGGCACTTTACAAGCAAACAGAGATGTGACCAGAGGCGAGTCGAGGTCTTACATGGCCGGGTCAATGTTCCATCGATAGAAATGCATGTGGGTGAGGTCGTCGTCCTCCGGGATGGTGTGCTTGTGGAATGTCTTGTGGTGCGGGTGGATGAGGGTGAGATCCATCAGGCTCTCAAATTTATCGACATGTCTGTGTCCAATAACCTTCACCTGCGGATGGCTTGGTATAGTCTTAAGGTCTATGTGGAGTATACTCCTCTTGTTGATGCTACCCCCATGGCTATAAACCGTAACCTTCAGGCCAAACCATTGAGCCAGCCGGAATTAGACCCGGGCGTGAGGCCACGCTGGTTCTTCATATTCACTAAGTTTGTGTTCATAAAGTGCGGTTCGAAACGTTGAGAAGCTCTCATCTAGTTTGGAGTTAGATATTCCTGCATATAGTGTGAAATGAAGCTCTTGTTACCATTGACATTCTCCAGATCGATGCCTGAGTGCTCGACCCCAGAAAGCGATTTGGCTCGGATCTGGGTAGAGCTCATGTTCAATTATTTGCAACTAACATTTTCCTTGTTTGATAGGGTCATGAGTAGGATATCGGAAGTAGAATACGGAAACCTACGTGCGTTTTACAGCCTTTCTTTTCTAAATTGTTATATCTTATACATGCAACGATGCTATCGTCATCTTCGTCCCCGGTGCGGGTAAGATGAATAGACTGGCCCGCACTCATTTTTCGATAGCGGCGGTCGAGTCACAATGTCCCACCCGCACTCCACCTACTATGAACCATAAGCAGGCTAGAAATTGGTAATCCGTATGGGGAGTTCTAATACGGTATCCCCGAACTGGTTATAATTCAATCTTATCACGGAGGTTTCTCAGTGCAGGTGAGCTGTAAAGATCTCATCCGTACTTGTACATTCTTGGTCCATGCTTAGGTACGAATATATAACTTGATACTGGTCCTTACTTCCGAAATATTGGAAGATCAACATAAAAAACGCTCTCTTCAATTACCAAACACAATACTTCATCCCGCTATCCTCCTTTACATACAATGGGTTCCGCGAGTCTTACCTTTTGTCCAGTCTCCCACGAAATTTGTCAGTCGTCGTCAATCGGGGCCGAGGTAAACTTCCCAGATGAGACGGACACCCTGAATCTTGACGCTCTCTCTGAAAATGACAAGGGTTCTCTACGAAAAGTACTGTTTAACAACCAGGTAATTGTGATCCGGAACCGAATGGATATAGACCCAGCCACATTCCTGCATCTCACCGAGGTTTTCGACACGACATTCACATATATTCTTTCTGCTGGGGGGAAGTCCGTCAGCAACTGCAACAACATCATTTCTGCCTACAGGGCAGGGAGGATCCCTCGTGCTCCGCAGGTGAGCATTATTGGCAGCGGAAGGTTCGATGATTACGAAGGCATCGACAAGCTGGAGGTTACACACTTGGTTAGTCTTCTATTCTCTCCCCAGCTCCAAAGGAAGTGGACGTCTAACCTAATAAGTATCAGAACCACACATCCTCTCACGAAGAAATCCTCCCCCTTCAATAGATCCAGAATGGATACATTCGCCCATACAGATGGCACATGGATACACCTTTCTCTGAACGCCTGCCTGGTGAGGTGACCATTCTCCACGGAGTGCAGGTCCCCCAGATGCCAGACCAGAAACTCAAGTTTCCGGATGGTACTGAAAAGAAAATCGCTGCCAATGCGATGGCTTGTAAGCAGGCTCACAGAGTATGTTCCTCTTGAATAAAATAAACTGACATCAGGTCCCTAGTTTCCTCTGGCGCTCGGGCTTTCGAGTTACTGAGCAATGAGGAGAAGGAGTTTGCCTTGAACACCACTGTGACATATGCTCCTCATGCATATGAGTACATCCGGCAGTGCAAGGCAACTGATAACGGCCTTTTCATTTCATGTATAGGAAGGGATACCAATCGCCGACCTGTCAGAGTGGTCCTGGGATAAGTTTACCGAACACCCAGTGAGTGTTAGTTGAAAACATGGTCACCCCATTTCGAAAAGGGTCTCCCCGAGCTAACAGGCGTTAGATGGTTTGGTTGAACCCCCTCAATTTCGACCGGTCGTTTCTCCAGGTTCATGGGTGCTGCGTCTTCAAGTTGATCACCAAGGATGGGAAGTGTTTCCGTGGTTGACAACGTCAGAAAGGTTCGGCAAATCGTGTACGGATTCCAGAAGCGCATATGGGCAGCTGATAACATTTACGGCCACCGCCAGAGGGAAGGCAACCTGGTCATCTTCTACAACCGAGTTGTTATACACAGCATTACCGGCCAATTATCTGCGCACAAATGGAATGAGGATAAGGAGCAGCTGCTATGGCAGTGCACCACTACGAGCGGGACTGCCGCAAAGACATTCAGGCTTTCTTCCTGTACCAACAAGGACCGAGTTTGTGCTAGCCAACTAGTTTGTTTAATAAAGCCATGCAATTTCGGTTCATTTCCAACTTGATCAGTTCTCGTATATTTTTTTTCTTTTTCAGCCTAACACCTCGAACATCCTCTCGAGCAGTCATTGAAGTCTTCGAGACGTTCTCAGACGCATCTCAGTCTTCTTCCGGGCATGGAACCTCTCGGGTGCTTGATTGAGGAACGAGTCCCAATTTCCCCAGATCTGAGGTAAACCTAGATACAATGTCTTCAATACTGACAGGAGCTAGGGTCGACATTTCCACCGTCCTTAATATCGAACCAATGCAACCAGCCTCTGAAAAAAATGGAAGTCGAGAAGAACAATTCCTTGATGTGCCAAAGTGTCGTTAACTCAATAATATGGTTGACAACGTGCGCCTCGCAGAAGACTACCATATGTCTAATCGCATAGTGGTCATCCGTGTTGTAAATGCATACAAGTAAATCAAAGTATAACGGTAGTCATGATACAGAAAGCTATATGCGTCCATAATGACAGCTCGCCAAACTCGCATACGTTCGTGTTCGCGAAGAATCGTAATGTCAGCTGCCGTGCATGTCCGTCTGGTTGGAAGATGAACGGGAGATTCGAAAGATTGCAGAATGAAGGGTCGGTGTATCATGATAATCTGATTGTACATACCCGTTGTTAGCACAGCTTATACGTAACACGGAAAGAAGGAAGAGACAGAAGGTGCAAAGAGGGATCAGAAAGGGGTTAGGAAGTTGGTAGCATACAGGATATCTACCATAGTCTGGAATAGACTCTGGGGAGCACAGCGATAACTCGATGGAATATTCTGAGTGGTATTCCCAACTAGAAGGCACAGCATGGACGTCGAAAGAACGGCACAATACAGCGCCTTCATTGCAGATGAGCATATTCTCCTGTCTCCCAGAAGTCCTCACATTGCCGTAGAAAGCTCAAATAGTGGAGGGAATTATGATGCCACGCAATATTCTTGATATGAAAGGAGACTAGGGCCTTGGCTGCATGTTGGTCTGTGAGATTGGCAGCTATTCTCGAAAGCCTTTCTGCGTCAATTATCCCGACAAGCGATGCTGGCCCTGAGTATCGCCGGCGATACTGGAAGTTGCAACGAACGTGGGGAAAGCAGCTTTAAGTCTGTGCACGTATATTACATGCAGCGGGTCAGAATCAGGCTAGGTTGTTCACGTAGTTAGATCGTTTCTTTCTGTTCAAGTCGAAACTGGAAAAAGCTTCATGGTAATTCGACGAGTTAAATGAACCGTTTTCCGTCAAGACATGTCTTTTTATTACAGTCACATTGTCTCTATCCCAACAAAACGGGGGCATAACAACAGCACTAGAACGACAACACTTCGGAAACCCGCCCTTCTCTATTAATAACGACTTATACCCCACAACTTCTACCCCAGGCCATGTGCTCGAGTGCTGTGACTGTGAGGCTGCCTTGGCGGGTAAACGAATCTTCCGGAGATGTGGGTATAGGTCCGCGGATGGAGCAAGACATGGCTGAAGAATGGCTGGTTATCTAAATCGATGATGCAGTGCCAGTCTCAACGCCTGGGAAAGAGTCGACACGTCCGGATAGTAGGAAGCTGATCCTATTACTGAAGCTTTGAATGACCTATCGATGCTTCCTGAAAATTGGCATATTTGTTTCAATGAGTCAAGATATGCGATTTCATCCTCGTTGGCGCATCTGTGCTTCCACAGACGCACCGTCTCGCGCTCTCAGGACAGGCCGAGACACGTGCATCTCTTACACGGTTGGGTTTTCCCTTTGTGCACTCTGGAGACAGATATCAATAAATGGTCGATGGAATCCAGCAACGAGCTGATTAGTCTGTATATACTCACCGCGACAGGCCATTGACAGGCGTTGCAAGAGATGAGGCAGCATTGTGGCTGATGACAGGCGTCAAGGGGGCTCGCACAGCTCAAGAAACAAAGCCGCACAGTCCAACTACAGCCAAATTTCGACTGGGATTCAACGGGGGATGCCGCTACCAGCCCCAGGCATGACCGGGCAGCTCCGCGATGAGATGCAGTGCGAGGTGTGTGGGTTTTTCTACGTAAGCAGGAAACTACTGAGGGTTATTGGTGCGTTTTAACACCTTCCCGACTGATACGCGCAATAAACGCAGGCATCCACACGGGCAGTGTTTATGTTGACGTCACCTGGTGTTTGACTTGACTTTCTTAATTTCAGTTCTAACAATATATTGACAATGAAGAGGAATATGTATATGCAATGTTGTAAAGCATTGAAAAGACAAGATGGCTAACATCTTAGACACCCCACGAGAACTGGGGGGTCCAGTTAACGTAAGTGGAGTTGATATCTTTGAGACTGGCAAGTCCAAGGTTCGCGGCGTCGTTCTTGATGGAAGTGTGAAGCAGTGAGATAACCTTGCTGACGCCATCGACACCGTAGATGTTGGAGTACATGATGGGGCGACCGATACCAATGGCCTTGACACCGAGGGCGAAAAGGCGAAGGGCGTCGCTACCGTAGCGGATACCACCGTCGGCGAAAACCTCAATCTCCTCAAAGATCTTGGGGTCCTGCTGGAAGATCTCGAGGGCAGTCTCGAGCGAGGAGGGGGAGCCGTCAAGGTTGCGCGCACCGTGGTTGGAGAGGATAATGGCGTCGACGCCGTGGTCAACGGCAGCGCGAGCGTCCTCGACAGTCTGGATACCTTTGAGAACAATAGGCAGATCGGTCCACGACCTAAACTGGTCGTATTTCTCCCAAGTGTTGGTGATGAACTCGGTGTTCTGGGAGCCGACGTCAAAACGGGCAGCACGCTGGCGGTCAGGGGAGCCGGGAGAGTCGACGGCCCAGACAAGGGCCTTGGCACCGATCTTGACAGCCTGCTCAACGAGCTCCTTGTTCTGAGTGACGTTGTTCTGGAAGTAGATTTGGGTGAAGAAAGTCTGATTGTCGAGGGCGACGTTGGCAATATCCTCCCAGGGCAGGGACGCGTAGCCTGAGACCTGTTTCTGTGTGTAAGTATCCGCAACATGCATTTTCTCGAGAGCCTCGCCCAGAGGGGAATTTACAATGTAGGGGATGCCTCCAATACCGGCGGCCTTCATCAGGTTCAGCTCGGCGTCGGGGTGAGCGAAGTCGGCGCGGGCGGCAGGAGAGATGAAGAAGGGGCTAGAAAAGTTATAGCCGAGGATAGTAGTCTGAAGGGAGTCGCCAACGTTGCTAATGTCAACCATGGTACGGGGCCTCAGGCGGTAGCGGCTGAAAACCTTTGGTCGTGTTAGTCGCCCGTGTTTACTATTTGAGGGTCTTGCCGCATATTCATCGACTTACCTCGAGGTTGTTCCTGTACGACGACTCACCGCCAACACCGTTGCGGTAGTAGGTGTACTGTATTGTAACAGTCAATAAGACGCTCCTCGTGTTTAAAATTCAGGGGCCGGAGAAGGTAAGACAAACGTTAGTGGCGGGGAGGTAGTTGCGGGCAGCCCCTGGGAGCACGAGTCAGTTACACGTACAGAACAAACGAGGCAAAATGGCATTTTTGCTTCACAGCAAAGAGCAGGATAGGGTGGATGGCTTACAATCGAAGTCGGGCAGACCAACCATGTCCTCTAGGGGAGGGAGCTGGCCAACGGGGTAGTCGTCACCGAGAACATCTGCGAGACCAGTGTCGGCCTCGTTGAGGAAAGGACGGGCGGCGTTGGCGCCGGCGACCGCCATGGCGGTAACAAAGAGCTTAGAGAACATATTGTTCTTCCTCGTAAGTCGGTCTCGTGAGAAGGTAAAGTTTGCTGAAAGAGCGACAGTAGGTGGGGAGCTGCGAGAGACGAAAGATCGACAAGGCACGGTTGGTAGTGATAATTCCAATGAAGAGAGCCGGTCACAGACTACTTATACATCTTGTCATTCTACTCCATCTTACATGACTACTAATGATCCAAGGCTGTACGATGGAAAGCTCCGACTACACCGACCGTTCCGCTTTTCCACGTTCAGCATCCATGTCGGGCAGGGGGTGGGGGCCAGAGTACTATGCCCCTAGTCCATGAGATGAGCACCCCTGTCGTGTCCCTCTATGTATGTATCGCCACGATTCCACATATTGGTAAATGACTGTTCTGTAAAGAAGTAGGAATACATAAACTGTGCTCCCAAGTCCCGCAAGTAGGCTAGCGGAAATCTGGGCAAGGCGTGGCGAGTCGCAAACTCGCAGTCAATAGGACTAGATAATGGGCACCCCGCTAGTGGGGTGTTGAACGACTCGCATAAACAAGGCTAAAACCAAATACGAAAGCCAACGTCTAGGTACTTGTCTAATTACTATTACATGTCAGAGTCTTCCCTCTAGTCATCGCTTTCCGCTATAGACTGGACTGCATATGGGATGGCTCCGTTAGAAGCCCTTGCCGATGTTACGACGTATCGGTTTACATGTACCACAGCTTCCTTCCTGATTCTCAAGGGAGGACATGCATTGCGGCAGACTAAGACATACATATATATGTTGCAACGTAAAATCCAATGCCGAGAGCCGGGCAGGATGTGGAAATCAATCAGCCGGCGCCCATCGACTCGGTCCCGGAAGTTCCCCCATACCAATAACATGGTCCTGAGTCTATTATTCGTACGGATTTGGCAAGTGGATTCCGTGACATGTCTTGGCGCCTTTGAAACGCAACGATACCAGGGCATCAATGGAGAAGGTGGATAACAACTCGAAGACCGGACAGGACAGAACAAGAATAAGATAGAAGGGGGGGAGGGGGGGGTTAACGTTAGGAGATGGCTCACGGCTTCATAATGTTATAATGTTATAGGGTCTAGCCTGGCCGGTGTGCATGGAACGAGGATTGATAAGATGCTGACTACTTGTACGTACTGTGCCTCCAGTCAGAATCCGGTCGGTGTAGCCGATCATATGAGAATATTGCTCACATTAAAACACAACGTTTCCGTCGTTGCCGTGTTGTTATTCGGCCTGCTATACTATAGAAACGAGTGATTTTCTCCCCTCTGCCGTGATCAGGGGGGCGGGCGGCCGACTAACCAAGTAATCTGTGGAGGCTCCAACGGGATTATTGGTAAAAAAAGGCAAGGGTTAGTTCCTTTGTAATGGAGAAAAAGGTACCAGTAGCTATCATGCGTGCAGGACTTGCACAATATGCATATAGCGTGGTATGGTACTATAATAAGATGTAAATTTAAGTGCGGCGTAGTGTCTTTCGAACACATGTAGAAGATGCATTGACCATCAAACTGACACTAATACTATTGAAGACAGGCATGGTGGGGAGGGAAAAAATCTTCAGGGTTATGGTATACATACATGTATATATTACATATTACAGAGTAGTACTCGTAGAGTATAGTAGTAGGATCTTACAACGTGGCGCTTGCGTGTAGTTTGCATCATATTTATTGTGAATTCAAGAATAATATCTGTTTTGTTACAGACTTCAGATTTAACAGGGGAAGTTCGGGTGAAAGGGACATTCATCAGTGTTTCGCCAAGGTCCAAGCAAGAGATAGAAAAACAGATTCTGCAGCGTTCCTATTTTTAAGCTAAAATAAAAAGTATGGCAATACGGAACATCCCACTTTCAATAGACCACCTTCGACGACATTCCCACGGACCATCCCACTAGATGCAAAACCCACACGGGTCCTATCCCACTTTATTAATTTCCATCCCATCTCTTGCTTAAGTCATCTGTTGTACATTGCCTACTCTAGAACGCACCCCATTATTAAGTCTGTGGGGCATTATTCGTCATCGCATCCACTCTCACGGGCCACATACATGTACAGCTTGTAGACACGCCGTCAGGTTGGCCGCGTGGTTTTGAGGGCGTATCGGAAGCGCAACGGCCGACTTCTGGCGGAGCGCTAAAGTGGTGAAGTTACATCGTAGACTGGGTCTGGGACCTGCAGTCTGCAGAACGTGGTTAAACCCGATGCCACAGCGTAATAGACCTTTATCAATCAGTACTCTATACGGCGTGCTATTTTCTGTACATCGCAATACATAAAACGGGTAAACTGCTATTAGGCAGTTGCTAGATGCGCATTATTGTTGTTGTTGGACTTTTATAGACTTGGCTTTAATACGCAGATTCTAGAATACATGCGTATACACTTGTTGTGACGTGTTTTCATATATCCATGCGCACATAAAGCCAGTCCGTAAAAGATGTCCAGATATTTTCCAGACTCAATGCGTTCCGTTCGTCCGTGTTGCATGCACAGTTGCATCATGAAAGTCGCGCAGCCAATTTACATGTACGTACCTAATAATGTATGGATTGCATGTATTCGTAGGCACATGATTGTAGACTGCGCCGATACTGCCTGCGTGGGTCTTGCTCCGTGCCGTCCTCCGAGTTGTTTTGTATTTAGAGGAGACATGCGTAGATCCGTGAAATCGGGCCATGTTTCGGCCCGAGACCTTGGGCAACACGGCGAGGTGTCGCGTGACCCGGTATTGCACATTCGAATTTTCCCTGCCGATGCCGGCCAACTGCGTCGAGCTGGGAAGGAGTGCAAGTAGTAATGTTACGTACGGGTACCGTATACTCGTCTATGGCAGTACGCAGTTTTGTTTCGTTGTTTCGTCTATACAGCATCATACGACACCTGCTGTTTCACTCGTTGGGAAAGCTCTCATGAAACGGCCATCAAAGAGCTGTGTTTCAAGCAGCTCTATTGAGGATAGGGTGTCCGTGCGTTGTTTTGAGGGCCTCGTCACTCCCACAATTCTGTAAGCTCAAAAAGAGTCTCACAAAAAGATGGAAAACTCCAATTCTGGTTTATCAGTAACCGATATATGTTAGCAATCCCTCGAGACGGTTGCTCTCACTCCTGAGCTATTACTTGGTAGGAGAGAGCAGTATCCGCTACTAAACACAGAGTCTGCAAGATGACAGCATGAGAGAAAATTCAGATGTATCCGCTGCATGTATGTATTTTCATATAGCCGTACCCATCTATATCATGTTTGCTATAATAACACTTGACCTTGCAGACTAGAGAGTTGAGTTGCCCCACATCAGTTAGAAATGCACATGTCGATCAGGGTTACATATTAATATATCCGTACTCCGTACTTGTGCTAAATTTTGAAAGTCCGCTCATTTCGGTCTTGATGGATATATTGAATTCAATATGAACACACAAAGATCATCCCGACTTCGGCCAAGTACAACAGTGAAGCTTCGGGGAGGAGAAGCTGAAAACGTAGGTCTTGCTTGTTGTAGTAGTATATATTGCAGTACGTACTGATCTTCGGCATATCGCTATTGAGCGCCGTCGACTGCGGGTTGGCACTATCCCAGAAGGAGGTTCGAACACGATACCTGCTGATGAACAAGTAGGAATTTTAGAAGATTCATTGATGCAACTGTCGAGTGTGAGAATTCCTGTACCAAATGCCCAATCATTATAAGATGGCAGCGAGGCATCGCCCGATAATTCGCTCACCAAATCGGGGTCATCTTGTGGCAGGAAGATGACGCCAACAACCAGAATATGCACACTACAGAAGATATTAATAGCCTGAGGCCATATGGCCATGTGTATTAGCCAGACTTTTTTGTTTTCTCTATCTTGTATTCGTATGTTGGTTAGACCATCATCTTCTTCATTTGTCTCTTGTATGTCCCTTTTTAGCGTCCAATAGAAGACAATGACGATAATAATCCAGTAAATTAAGGCTACTTAATCGAAAGATGAGCACTGAAAAAGCCCGCTGTTGCTAGAGTCCACGCATCCGGTGGGGGTCACGTGCATTCAAAGTGTGTGCAAGTCTGAGAGTGTTGCGATATTGAAGTTGCTGATTTTCGTGAGCAAGAAAACCTCAGATGACATGCCGGGTAGCACCTTGCCTTGCGATGGTCAACCCCTCTTTCGTAAAAGCCCCTCCGCCTGATTAAAATTTAATGTTAGGTTACAATGTCGCGGGCATCAGGGGTGAGCAAATGTGCACCAAACACCCGAGATATGGATAACATGACTTTATCGCAAAACTCTTGTGGTTCTTAAAATGTCAATCCAAGACGGTTCGGCCGAGAATGATAGCAACGTACTACTAGAGCATTGTCCTGATTATGTAATACACAGTATTACTCCGTACGTCGCGCAGAGCCTACTCCGCACCGATATTGTTACGTCATTTTACAACTTCGTCCGGAAAGCTGTCGAAATATCCCTCTGATAATTACACTAGGAGGAACGACGACATTTTCAAAACTAGGCTTCAGTCTTCAAAACTACAGCATACGGCTGTAAAATATCACCAGTTTTTTCTAAAGAGAACAGCAACAACACCGAGTACCATGTCTGCCGGAAACCCTTCGGCAGCCTTGCTCGTCGAGACGGCCAAGAAGCTCGCAGCCATTCAGGCCGTCGACCAGCACCTCTTGCCGTCTCATCGGTACGTTGGAATCGGCTCTGGAAGCACCGTCGTCTACGTTGTAGAGGCCATTGTCGCCAAGGGTCGTGATTTCTACGGTCCCATGACTTTTGTGCCTACTGGCAGTCAGTCCAAGGGCCTCATCCGTGCGGCGGGGTTGACTCTGGCGAACCTCGATGAGCGGCCCGTTGTGGATGGCAAGCTGGTCGATCTCGACGTTTCCTTCGACGGCGCAGACGAAGTTGACGACGATCTCAACCTCATCAAGGGTGGCGGCGCCTGTCTCTTCCAGGAGAAGCTAGTTGCCATCGCCGCCAAGCAGTTTGTTGCCGTAGCCGGTAAGTCCGGAAATCTGGAGCTCCCAAGCATCGCCGTCGACTAACAGACAGTTGTTCCCAAGACTACCGTAAGCAGTCGCCGCGCCTATGCACCAAGTGGAAGTCGATCCCCATCGAGGTCCTTCCCCTCGCTGCCCCGGATGTTCTTGTCCGACTCCAGGCCCTTGGGTCTCTCAACCCTGTCATCCGCGCTGGTCTTCCTAGCAAAGCGGGCGAGTGCGTAACTGACAACGGCATGTGGATAATCGACGCCCCTTTCCCGCCACTGCTGCTACCCAAGGATCTAAATGCTGAAGTTGATGGTTCCGGAAAGGACGGCAAGTGGGAAATCAGCAAGCTCGCCAAGGAGCTACTAGGTACCCCGGGAATTGTCGAGATCGGCTTGTTTCACGGTTTCAATGGCGACGAAGCTGTAACACTGCAAAAAGTTGGCCAAGCACAGAAGCCGGTGGCAGCTTACTTTGGAACTGCTGAGGGAACTGTTGATGTACAGAGGGCGAAGTAGATATTACTACGATAGCATTATCTCTTATTCCCGATTCGAGGTACAAGCCATACCAAGTCACAATTTTTGTGCCCAAGCCCGAGTGACAAAAAGGGTTCATTGTGCGAGTGATATTTAGTGACTAGAAATCAAGATGAATCCCGACTGCTACCAATACAAACGGTCTATATTAGCTTTACGGAAGTGTCTAGTAATGTAAATTCTGAGGCAATCAAGTTCCATTTTGTCTTGCCATTTCGAGTATCGTGGATGAGTTTAACCTACTCTTCTTCAAATCCATCCTAGCCCACGGTGCATTCCAGAATCGTCGCTTATTGTCGGTCAGGCATGTATGTAGGAGGGGAGTTCCAAGCCGTTGGTTCATTCTCTCAGATTATGTTTCAGTGCTGGAGGTGACTAGGACCCTGGAGTGGCGATGACGTCAATTGCTTGTGACAATGGCTCAACAGATGCCGAGGGAAAAGACACGCATCACGAATAAGATACCCTTTCCTTAGTTCACGTAGCAGCAAACTTAGATAACGCCGGTGCTGCCTCTCTGGATTACTCACCGGCGGGTATGATTGAAGTTGGATAGAGGCAGTCTATGCCAGTTGCACGCAGGATTAGCCGACCGTAAAGCAGATTGCTATCCTTCCCCTCCCTTGACAACCCTCGACGTTAAGACTTATATCTAGGTCATTTGAAGCTAGCCTCTTTCCAATTGATCATGGGTTTCATTCCGGGAGCGGGCGCAGCTGTGTCACCCATTCGCTAGTCAAAAGACTGCCCACATTTCCATGTGTTGCCCCAGGGTCTGAATCGAGCACCTAGCTAGGGGAGCAGGACTAGTTCTACAACCTATATCACGAAAAGCTCGCGTGATCTCTATACAACGTCTCTCTACCAGAAAAGTGTTTGTGGTGTAGGAGGCGCAGCTGCGTCAAAATTAGCTAGTCAAGAGGCCGCCCACCAAGAGATCATGGCTAATGCTTTGGCACAATAACTTAGATATCTGAGAGGAAACTCCGAATGAAAGATATTCATGAGTATCAAAAAGTACAATGGGGTTCTATTGAAGACCCTCACATTCCTAAACTAAACATGTTAAAATAAGACATATAATTATAGGAACCGGTAGCGGAAGGTCGATAACTTGATACCCGTCGTAATACCAATGATTCAACCAGGTGGGAGGGCCCGTCCAGTGAACTGAAACTCGATGCATCTATATGTATCATCAATTCTACGACGTAGCGCTACCATAATCAGTCACTGGGACTACCCGATTCATCATAATGTTTCTCACCAACCCCTCATTGGAAATGTGGCAGTGCCCAACTCTCTTCCCCTAGCGACTAATACCAATGCCGACGTCTTGATACTCAAACTCTAGCTACCTCATCACCCCTCCTTCATCTAGTACTACTAACCACTGGACCTGAAGATAAAAGGAAGCCAATTATCCTCTCTCTCCTGATATCTGTTCATCTACAATCTGCCTCCTCATTGTTCAGGTACCAATTCTTCTCAGCTTCAGTCTTACTTAGAAGTATGTTCACTTCCCTCTGTCAAAACTGAGCAACATCTAGCATCACACGACACTAACAGAATGCTCTACTCGTCGAGGTTCCACAGGTCTCGACTTCCCAACGTCCAAATTATTTCAAATCAAAACCAACTATGGCTGGCCATCCAGAACCCATTATCATGAATGAATCGCCCGTTGCTTCGGGGGACATGAAGCAAGACAGAAGGATGAGTGACGAGTGGGGTGAGTCCATCATTACTGCTACTACCATACACACCCATATGTTTTGTATACTCCCCTCGATTGAACTGGGCTGACCGTTGGCTCTTAACCCAGACGCCTCCAAGGTACCCCCAAGCCGTTTTCAGAAGCGCCGAGGCTCTATCTATGCGACCCCCAGTTCACGTGATGGGCATGTCGACAAGAACTATCAGGAAAAGTTCCATGCTAAGATTGCTGAAATGAACTCTAAGAAGTCGAAGCCGAAGTCGAAGTAGTCAATTGAAATACATAATATGTGTTGAAAACAAAGGAGATATAAAAAGGGGGAAATCCCTGCGACGCCACAGAACGACCATCCAACTGATTTCTTTTCCCTTCTTGCGGCCCCTGCTAAATATTGCCAGCTGCGTCTCTATATCTCCCTACATCTGTACTAGTCCTCCATACCGTCAATGTCGATTGCATCCGGATTCGAAGGCATAGCTTCTGAAACCGCGCCAGCTCCTTCTTTAGACGCTGTGCTCGCAGCAACGAAGCCTGCCGGTGCACGTATCTGTTTTTCCAAAGCGGCCATAGCATCCGCCCCTTCCGTTGGTCTTTGGCTTCGAGCCAGGGCTTGCGAAGCAATGAAGTTGACGTCTGTGTTGTACTGCGCTTGGACGCTTCGCTTGATCCGAAGCATTTCTTTGTAGGTGTCCTCGTTTCCATGCTGCACCTCGAACTGTTCCCATTTGCTCCAGAAGTCAGGGCTAGTTCGGGGATCGCAGAACTGAGATGCGTGGCCATAGATTGCACGAGCCCGGTCAATCTCGCCCAGTCTCTTCTCCATCTCAGCAAACTTGAGACACATCTCCTTTGCCTCAGTGTCAGGCAGGACAGAGATTGCCCTCTCATATATGGGGCGGGTGGACGGGAGACCAAAGTTTGAGGCAGATTTAGTGATGTAAAAGTTGAACATATCTGCCCTGTCTTCGTCCGCCACGGCTCGTGTGGCCCTCTCGTAAATGCGCATCGCGTGTCGTGCAAGACCGCGCTCCTCTTCCAAGTTGCCGTACATCAAGTATATAGTCTTGGCAAATTTGGGCGGGCAGTCCTCCACGGCCTGCTCAAACAGATCGCGTAGTCGTTCAATACCAATTTTCCGGTCGACTGCCTTGGTGAGGTAAAGGTTCCATAGCTCGAATGCCACGGGGTAGCTGAACAAGTCCAGCCCTCTCTCATAGATTTTGAAGGATTCTTCGTAATATTTGTTTTCCTCCAAGAGATTAGCATAGTTGACCACCGTCTGCGGCGTCGCAATCCGAAGCTCAAAGATCCTCTCATAGACTTTCCGGGTTTCATCCAAGGTAGAAACACTTTCTACGAGATCCACATAGAAGCTCCACAGTTTTGAGCTCTTGTGAACCCTCTGTTGAGGCGACAATGTTTCGTCAAAGTAGTCGACATTCGATCTCTTGGGAGCCTGGACAGCCTTGGCCATGACACGAACAGCCTCATCGAAGTTCTCGTTTCGAAGTTCCATTTCGGCCCATTCGATCCACATTTCTGCCAGCTCAGAAACAGACTTAAATGGGACCTTGACAGCTTTCTCCATAATGACGCGAGCGTTTCTCAAGTCTCCTCCACTTTCGTAGAACTTTGCGTAACCGGCCCAAAGCTGATGGAATGCACCCACTGCATGCTTTGGATGAATCGCGGCAATAGCGTCCGTGTACGTTTGTACCACCTCCTTGACGTTGTTCTTCCAGAGCATAACGCGCTTCTCCCACTCTGGAACACTGTTCGGGTTCTGTCGAAGGAGGACATCGTTGAGAAGGAAAGGCCGACGGTCCATCAGATGCTCGAACCGCATCATGCGCACATCGAGCTCAAAATCGGCGTCCTCATCTTCGACACCTTTCTCGGCTCGTGCAGACGCATTTTCCATGAGAGCGCCAATGATCGATTCCTCAAATTCCGTGTAGCAGTCAAAGACAAGTGTGAAATCTCGTACAGTCATGACCGTGGTCATGCCCTCTTCTAGGACATCACGGGCCCTCTCGAAATTGCCTCTTCGTATCCAGTAGGTCGCCAGGCCTGCCCAGAGTTTACCTCTCTGGTCTGCGAATCGGGCAATGCCACTCCGGATGATGCGCTCGGCATCGATCCCGGCGTCGTGTCCTGTCTCAACTTCTGAAGCATGCTCCACGAGCAAATCCACCATTTCGCTCCAGAGCTCGTAATGACCTTTGCCATGCTTGCTGGAGAATTGTATGTTGTTCAGAATGTCGATGTACTTCTGCGTGGCCTCAGTGAACAGCTTTGTTTGAACAAGTAGTTCAACAAAATCCTCCGCATCCTCAGGGTGCACCTCCATATATCGCCTCCAGATCTTAACGGCCGTCTGGCCACCTGCTGAATCAGCAAATGGTCGGTATAGAGCCCATATTCGGTTGTGCTGTGTTATCGGAAGTGCTCTTAGGGCTCGGTCGAAAGTGCGGCGTGCTAAGGTCACGACGGGTTGCTGAGAAAGAAATTTCAGATACATCTCCCAAATCCTCGGCATCTTATTCAGCAGTATCAGCGCTCTTTCGAAGAGAGCGTTCACCTTTCGGTATTCAGCTGCAAATATCGCCGGGTTGAGCGGGGACACGTGTTTGGCTCGAAAAGAGAGGTACTATGACTGTCAGTTTGATACTCCCGTGAGGAAAGTAACAAAGACTTACGGTCTTCCATAGTTTGTACGATCGCGGGAGTTGTAAACATGCGCGCTCCATGACAAAAGCCTGCTCTAGAATTGAACCATGGCGAGCCTTGAATTCGATGTACGCAAGCCATGGCTTGATACTTGTGGGGTCCCGGAGAACGTCCTGTTCGTAAACGGAGTCTTCTTCAGTCTGTTGATATGGATCAGAATCTGGTTTCATGAAAGTCGGCATCAGGGCACATACCACAAGACCAACATCCGGCCGCCGGCCCACCACCACATCGCTGGATGCTAGATCCTCCATTTTGAAAGCCGTTCGATTAGCGCAGTTCCGAAAACTATCGGAAACCTCGTGTCGTCCAGGTGCAGACGAGGCGGCGCAGATACTTGGCTATGCCACGCTGCTCATGGTCCACAGGGCCGTTAAATTTCCTTGTGCAGAGCTCACCTGTCTTCCTGAACAAGCTGACGCTTGAGAGGAATCCAGGGAACTTTCGTCGTTCGATGACGGATGATCGGGGATGATCTGACGTACAGCAGCTGGCGGAAAAGCTGTCCCGGGTCGAGCTGTTTCCACGCGCAGGGCAGACGTAGATGTAGGAAGACGACGTGACAAAAATCCCGATACAGCGATAGGACGGCAATTAGCCACAGCGACTCGATATAATGATAAACTCCAAAGCCTGTACGGCGAAACTCCGGATCCGATGTTTAGTGTACCTGGATCCACTCACTGGCGACTCCGTCATTGCACTGACACACGGGGGCAGAGCTACGGATACGCACCTCGAACACCCTTTATAAATCTAAACAGCCGACGGTCACTTTTTTACATACCTTGGGCTATTAGGAAATAACCATACATCTGCCTGCCCCGACCACTGTTCGCCAACTTTTTCGCCCATCATGTCTGGCGCTGCGGTATGCACGTTCAATTACGATCCCGTACGTGCGGGCTTCAGCTAATTCTGGTTGCATAGGATCGAGAGGCCGTCTTTCCCACCCGGCAATCGCTGGGAATCATGAAGGCGAAACTTAAGGGTGCAGAGATTGGGCACAGCTTGCTCAAGAGAAAGAGTGAAGCCCTTACAAAGTAGGTCAAGATCGGAAGGATCTAGATGTCCGGGAAGCTAACAACACGTTTGCGACTAGGCGCTTCCGAGGTTCGACTCGCCTTGACACATTGATTATACGACTACCACGAAACTGACTCTTATTCCTACAGAGATTACGAGGCGGATCGACGAGGCGAAACGGAAGATGGGCCGGGTGATGCAGATCGCATCGTTTTCGCTGGCTGAGGTGACCTATGCCGTTGGCGGCGATATTGGCTACCAAGTGCAGGAGTCGGCAAAGGCTGCCCGTTTCCGCCTCCGGGCGAAGCAGGACAACGTCTCTGGCGTGCTTCTGCCGGCATTTGAAAGTTACTTGACAGAGGGAAACAATGATTTTGGGTTGACGGGTCTGGGTAAGGGTGGACAGCAGGTCCAACGGTGCCGAGAGACGTATGCTCGTGCAGTTGAAGCGCTCGTCGAACTAGCAAGTCTTCAGACAGCCTTCGTCATCTTGGATGACGTTATCAAGGTTGTCAACAGGCGTGGTATGTATTTCTTTGGTGAAAGCATTTGGACTCGAGCTGACTGTTACAGTGAATGCCATTGAGCACGTTATCATTCCCCGAACGGAGAATACCATCAAGTACATCAACTCGGAACTCGATGAGCTCGACCGTGAGGAGTTTTACAGGTTGAAGAAGGCAAGATGGCAAACGCTCTCATATGTTGGATAGGAGCTAACCGAAACATAGGTTTCGAACAAAAAGCAGCGCGACACTGCAGCTGCCGATGCGGAATTTAAGGCAAAGAGGGAGGCCTTGGCACAGAAAGAAGGCGGCGCCCAGAAGCAGGAAGAAGAACCTGCCGATGCCCTTGCTGCCGATGAGGACGAGGATGTGATTTTCTAGATTTTGGCTATACTCGTGTCTTTTCTGTCGTGTTTCCTACGTTGTACTCAGTTGGGGCAAATGAATGTTTGTTTTATTACTACAACTACGACGGTTCCATGAGTTCCATATCAGTTTCAGATTCCAATGTCTTAGTAGTCTTAGAGGATGAAAGCTACTGCTGTTAGTGTTTATTGGCGCTGGTAGGTAACCTTGATCGTCTTGTCTCCCAAAGACATCCCGCCAGTGCTCTCCTTGGCAGAAATAGCTCCTTGTTCAGAATCATACTCAACAAAGGCAATTCCACGTCGTCCTGGTACCAGTCTGACTTCGCGGAAGCCATCAAAACGACCAAATACAGACGTAAGCGCCTCCGCATCGTATTCGTCTGGGAAGTTCTGCAGAAACAGAATCTTGTTCGGAGGCAAGTACTCGTCTGGCACAACGGAAGATGCCGCTATGCTGGTTGATTTGAGACCAGATGAGCGAACTGCCTTGTTTCCCCTGTCGCCAGCGGCCCCGGCTCCCCGTTTGAGTTGTTTCTGCTCCTCGCTGGCTTCGAATGCCTTCTTCTTTTCTATAATGTATGTCAGTATTTCACAGCCATGGAGGTAAATTACGACACAGAAAGATATCTCCTCACCTTTCTCTGCTTGACGATGCTGTTTATGGGCCTCAAGATCCTGTTCGCTTCCATTCATCTCTACCGTCTTGTCGCTCCTTGTCCGTGCCATCGCGACACGCATGGGCTTATCGAACAGTGAGAATCCGTGGGTTTCCTCAACGGCGTTCTGGGCGCTCTGTGCGTTGTCGAATACAACAAAGGCCTGTCCTTTCGACTTCAGGTTCTTCTTGGCCACGATTTCAACAACATTTCCAAACTCGGAGAATATAGCCCGCAAGGACTCGACGAGGGTTTCGATCTTGACGCGTTCCTCTAGATTTTGGACGTAGACACTATTCCCAGTCAGCCAGCTGCCTCACGTAGCGTGTCGGAGTGCAATGACACGCACGTGGTGATTGGCGATGATTCCATGTTGAGAGTCTTTCTTTGGCGATGTTTGTTTCTCTCTGAACGAGTACGTGCAACTGTATTTCGTATTTTGCGATGCAATGTTGTCGAGTTATGGCGTTTGGAAACTCCAGTAGCGGACTGGACAGGCTTCGCGCTTTCATCTAATTATGTAATTAATGCCATCTACGGATATGTCTGTATCGGGGACTCTTACTCTAACGCGGTAATGACGATTATGTAATAATGCTGCCCTGTTAACTGTTAACGATTACATCTATGCCGCTGCGCACCCTATAATGAAATCCGGCGCTTCATCTTTTTTACTATCATGCTGGATATTAGAACGCGAAGGTTATTATCGACTTTTGGATTTTGTAAAAATTACCTATTAAACTTTAGCTATTGCCTTATTTTAGTCTTCTTTCACCTTTCCTGCTGCATGAGACCAACATCTAACTCATATACATTGGTAGGGTAGAGAGGTATGTACAAGAATATATTTCATGGAATATGTGTCCAGTATTAAAAATGAACATACAGATAGATGATCAATATCGTTAACTGATAATGTTGTCAGTATATTAGAAAACCGAATAGAGTTTCTTTTCTTCAAAATTTCTGAGTAGACACAAAGTCCGCGAATACTTTAAGAGGGTCCATTCACTTCTACATTTATAACATTTTTTTTTTTTGAAGAGCATGCGTAGGGTACATTTCAAACCCCCAAATGCGATTATGTTTGCCCATCGCCAGGAGCTCCAATTCGGCACTTATGTCCAGGCCTCTAGCAATACCATCGGCTCTGCCCGGCATGAGATTGGCTCCCTAGGTTTGCTAATAGCTCGGCATCTGGTATACATACACTATACATTAGCAGCATATTCGGCCGTGTCGATTTCATCCATGTCCAACGCCGTTATTATTCCCGTAAGCTGTGGGTGGAGAAAGAATACAATGGAAACAGAACAACGACTGGAATCTGCAGAAGCACGTAACTCTTTGCCATACATGTACCGGTCTGAGCATTCTAAAGCAGAGAAATGAATGTGCGAAGGTCGAGTCAGCCGGCGAGAAGAGTATTGCACAGAACGGAAACATGCATGTCGTGGTTTTCACTCATGCGATTCGTCTAATACAGGCAAATTGGCTATGTTACATGTAACATACTAAAGATTGTGATGAGGGGCATGCAAAGATAGGAAGACAAGAGGTAAGATTCATTTTACTTACAAATACACATAGAGAGAGTAATATTATACCAGGACCTCTGGGTCACTGCCCCGTAGATCTTCGCGACGCTTTCCCTTCAACCTCCTGTGATGAAATGCGAGTAGCGCTGAGACCATCTTACAAGTACATGATTTACACTTAAATATTCGAATACAGAAATTGCTCCGTACTCGTAGATACGAATGTGCAATAACAGCAGTTTTGAGCTCGGTGGTGTTGCCATTACTCGTTGTATAATCGAAACTAGTACCCGCTGCTCACTACTTTTGCTCATCGTCAACTCCTCTCAGGGCACGTGGGCAATCAGGAACCCGCCGGACGGCACATGCGGAACCTCTAGACTAAAATCCCGTAGATCTTCACGATACATGTAGCCTGCCACTCTTCTACGACGTCGTGTTATCCTACTAGTGCGCAGTTTGTGCAGACATTACCATCTAGAAATTACGTCGTGGATCAATATATGCGTACATGGAGCAGTACATGTGATATAAAGGTCGGTACTTGATTCTCACAGTCCAGATTTCACCGACATCGCATCTTGAGTGGAAGTCCAGACGAGATAGCCCCATCCATTCCCCTATGATGCTACTATTGCTGTCTTTAGTCCGTAAATAAGAGACCAAAGGGATTCCAATGGGGCCGTACGAGTACATGTATAATGCCATCCAAAATAATAGATATATCCTTGCCTCCCCCCTCCCCGGGAGACTTCGAGTCTTCAGTTGTTCTTCATAGATGTCTAACCCAGTCTTGGAAGGGTTGGGACTGATTTTGCGTCATCATGAACACTCATTCTCAAATTCGAAGACTATCCGGCTTCTGGACGAAGTTTTATACCTCCCCAGAGCTGGAGGTTAAACAAAGCATCCAGTCTATTGACCCTATGATTGATAAGGCATTACTCCTGAGATCTATCCCAGCCCCCCTTGAGCCCTCACATCTACCCCTGAAACTCCTTCATGGTTTCCTTACTGAGGTGCCCGGAAGCTGACCCGTTTTCGAGCTTCTTCTATGCCACACGAAGCTTCTCCAATACCTTCCGGATGATTCCAAATCCAGGTCAGAAGGGGAGGTAGCAGTTTTCGTCAAGTCTACCAGCGAGCTCGCCAAGAAGTCTTACACTGCCTTCTCAGACTTTCTCATTGACGATGCCCAACCTGCCCTGCGCACGACCCAACCCGATAAGTACATCTCTCACCGCGGTTTGAGGGAGTACGTCAAGAACTTCCGCCTCCCGGTTGAAAACAACTCGACACCTAAAGTTGCCATCGCCCTTCCTAACGGCCCCTTTCTGGAAGCGACCTGTATCGCCACTACAACCTACTATACTTCGGCCCCAATCAACCCAGCGGTAGGCCCAGAGCAGTTCCAGGCTGACATCAGACAGTCAAAGTCCAGCTTTATCCTCACTACGCCAGACTACTGCGATAAGCTTGAGCTGGGAGCTTGGACGACTTTTTCCAAGGTCAATGTCATCTTCGTCAACTGGGATGGACGCGACAACATCAGCCTTTAGACTCATGATGGACAAGCATTACCAGACATCAAGGGCTACAGACAACCAAACACCGCCGATGATATTGCACTAGTCCTGTTTACCAGCGGAACTTCCGGGTCAAAGAATACCGTGCCACTCACAATACATTCGATCATTTTTGGAATTGCCTTCGTGGCCGTATCATGGGGCCTCACTAAAACGACGTGTGCTTGAATATGATGCCGTTATTTCATGTGTAAGTTTCACCCCCCTACGACAGTCAACTCAGGCTCAGAGTCGTGTGGGTCCAACACATATTAATATTTGTTGACACTGCGTATATATAGTGGAGGACTTATTAGGAACATCTTTGCACCGATATTCTCGAGCGGCATGACGGTGCGCTGCTCAGCCTTCGACCCCACCACATTCTGGGACGTCGTGGAGAGCCTCAATCCTACCTGGTACTATGCCTCGCTTTCTATGCACTCTGTCATCCTGAGCGAGGGCTAGCTCGACCCGAAGCTTTAAAAAAGAGCAGGGTGCGGCTGGTCTGCAATGCCACTGGTGGCCTGCTGCCGTCACTCGCGTGCCACCTGCGGAACACTTTCAACTGTGTTGTTCTTCCCAGTTATGGTATGATCGAGTAAGTAATTACAAGATGCATTTGGTCAACAAATTATAGTAGTGGTCAGCTGATAGGTCACTTAGGTTATGCCAATCTCAACTCCGCATCTTGACTACCGACTCGACCATGAAGGCACTTCCGGTATAAACACCGGTCCTGAGCTTACAGTTCTGGACTGGTCTGACAACCGTGTTGAGCCCAGAGTTGTGGAGAGATGGCTCTACAACCCTTCCCCATCGCCATCCTCTACCCGATGCGCCGTGCGCTCCAGTGGACGGCCTTCCTCACTTTCTTCACCTTGGCCCAGAGTTAGCATACAGCTGAGCTGTGGATTGGAAGGTTACAACCTCACCCTGTCCGTCTTTTTTGGGCGTGAAATCGCCCGCTGTGTCGTATCGTTCGTTGCAATCATATCCAAATGGGCCATCGTGAGGGACTCTACCCTATGTGGGGTTAGTACCACACCCGATGGTGGCTGATGCAAAAGATCGAGAGCGTCTGTGGAAAGGGAATCTTTGACTTGAATGAGACCACCGAGAAGCTGTACCTTCGCCTCATGGAAGCCAAGATCGGAAAAGGAGTCAAGCTGAATCGTGTCTCTTTAGGCGAATGTGACCTTTTGGATATCCGGGACGGAGCAGCACTCGATAAGTGCGTCTGCCGACCATTCGCTGCTGAAGGCAATATATCCATGTACCTGGGGCGCATCGTCATCGGCGAGAATGCCCTCGTCAGTGTTGCCTCCATCGTCGCTGCCGGAACGGAAGTGCTACCCAACACCTGCATCGGTCCCAACACCTCCAATTGGGAACTTGGGGATGCTGACGAGAACAACCGTGACCTGGCGTCTTCCGCAGCAGCCAAGCCTCATTGGCTACTCACGCTCCTGTTTACTTGCCCGCTTGGTGTTGCCACGTGGTTCCTCTCTCGTTCCCTGGATGCTCGGTCTCTTGGGTATGGTTATTGACAAGCCCGTGGAGCGGGATATCTCTCTTCGTTGTATCGTGGCGTGGTTCAGCAACGATACGCGAATTGTGTACCACTACTTCTCTCTCATTCTGGGGACTTTTTGTGCGCCATATATTTTCTTCGGTTTTATGATTGTCATCAAGTTTATCCTGGATCTCATCTTTGAGGATCTTCCCCGAGGATCAAGCAAGTCCATGGGAACCGTTAATACCTGGCTAGCAGGTCTCATCGAGACACTGCTCCCGGCCCCTCGTCTTCACTCCATGACCGAACTGTTCGGTCAGCACTACGAAGCAACATCTACAGCTGTTCGAATGCTTGTTGGTAAGGTTGGCAGGCGAGTCTACTGGCTAGGCACTGGTCCCGCCATTAGATACTATCACCTTTTGGATATCGGAAACGACGTGGTGTTCGGCTCGAGGTCGCACCTGATCACCTCTGATGGATATTGGTCCGAACAGGTCAAGATTGGAGATGGTGCAATGACTGCGGACCGTGTTTGCCTGCTTCCTGGCGTAAGCATAGGTGAAGGTGCCATCATGGGATCCGGTACAGCAACACACCGAGGAAAATCTTACGACGCATACGGGACATACATTGGCTCCAAGGGCGGCGACGCTGTCTGCTTATCAACCGGTGGCACCGTGGAACGTGAGAAGAACCGCTTGGACCCGAAGACGCCGGAGAAGCAGAGAGTGTCTTTGGACATGTCTTCCACTTCTGAGAGCAACTCAACCTCGCCGTTCGGACATGTCTTCTACATGAAGCAGGCACCCTACCATGTCATGGGCCCCTGGGCCATCTTCGGTTACTCGGCGTTTATGTCGGTCCTCACGAGCTTTTACTAGAACGTGCCAAACATTTCGGTAGTCCAGATTGTGAACGTTATTTTCAACCGATGTATGCCCGAAAGAATCGGCCTATGGCGGGACGTCTTGACGGTTTACTTGATGATGTGTTCTCATTGCCATCTTGACAACAATTGAAACCATCCTTGCACCAGCGATTGTCATCACTGCGAAGTGGGCGCTCCTGGACCGACGGAGAGTTGTAAATTATATCTGGGATAAGTCGCCGTACTGCCAACGCTGACAGCTCTTTCTCAGCATCGAGAAGCTTCGTCGAAACTGCTACGGTGGCCAGGGCATCCTAGGTCTCTTGATCGGAAACCATTGGGTTGTATTGTACTTCAAAGCACTTGGAGCCGATATTGGAGACAACTGTGCGCTCTTTTCTAATGGCAGGCCCAGCCGACTCCTCAGCGGTGCCAGGATGAATAATGACAGCTGCTTGCTTGAGCACACACTCATCATGGGAGGCGATACCGTCGAGGAGAAGTGGACGATGCAGGGGTGGCCCGCCGAGAGGTGTACTGGCTCGCGAGTCAAAAATTAGATTAGTCACATGTTGACTCGATGAGGCGGATTTGCATGACTCTCTTTAAAACGGGTGTATTTCCTTCTTTTTAGTATTTTCTTACTGGCCTTTTTTTCTTATGCCTAAACGGAAAGATTATATATTTGATTCTAATTAGGATAAATAAGTATTAATGTAGAGTTTACAACGACATATAATAAATAGCATTGATTTTTCCCAGGTTATGGTTAACTTGGCCCGAGGCATGGCTTTAAAGCGGCAATAGTAATATTAATACGGAGTATCGGCAGCCCTACAGAAGCTCATGTTGCGTACTTTTTTTCCCTGTTGGTTGCTGCCGTTTAGGTACCGGGAACCCCAAACAACGCATGCACCAACAACATAAACATCATCGGCGATCAACAATACATCATTCCCCGGTTCTGTCTCACTAGGTCCGGACTACTCCATATCCCTTCTTATAAATATACGCATCTCTATTGGGCCCGTGGAAAGTCAGACGCAGGCCATCCTGCCGATCTGACAGTGCTGTGCCGAAGCGGCGGCAATGTGTCACCGCCTCCACAATGTGTTGGAGTGCAGCCCAGAGCAAAATATCTAACCGCAGCTATATGGTCCTATGTACAATTCGCTCTCGCAGAGGCTCATTGTACAACCTTTCGTCTCCGAGTCCCCTTCAACAAAATTTCCCCATCATGCCACGAACAGGCCTGCCTCAAGCGTGCCGATCGATCCTGAGGCCAGTATCCATGGGTTGCAGGCACCTCTCTTCACCATCAGGTGTACGACCCAAGCAGCGAGCTTTGGATATCGTGAGACATCCCCTGATCAAATATACACAGGCAAATTCAATACATATGTGTACATCTTAAACCGTATGCTTTAACTGAATTTGTTGCTTACTGTTTTTACCAGGACACATTCTTGTCTGTGCTTGAGGTCTCTGCTACCAAACGTGACGCAAAAGGCTATCTTCAGAAATATACCCCCAGAAAGTCAATGTCCAGGACAGTCGAGGCTCCCTCGATTCAAGAAAGCACAACTGCTTCCAAGAGCCCGGTGCATGTGGCCATCGTCAAATTACGGTGCCCTCAACATCTGGACCAAGACACCGTGATGGGCATCGCCAAGACCTTGGTCCAGCTCAGAGTGCTGGGGCTCCTCAGCGTCGTGATATTGGATTGTGGCCTTAATGAGTCGCGCCAGTTGTTTGAAGATCAGTCTTTAAGGCTGTGCGAGGCTCTAGACTTCTTCTCCAAACCTGGATGTAGACTCCTTCGAGACGTTGTCGTGGGTTATGAACCCTCTTCTTTGTCGCCGCTGTCTGTCGTTGACGACCAGATGCTCATCGACGACACGGACCGGCTGAAGAACTCCATACAACAGGGCATTATTCCAGTGATACCATCGCTCGTCTCTACCGAAGGGCTTTCTGTTCCTCAACCCGCCAACGCAGACCGGCTTGTCTTGAATTTGGCAAAGTATCTGGTCGGGCTGCAGTTCAAGGCTACTGGCAGTGAAAATGCCGTGGTCGAAGGTGACGGCGTTGAGAGGTCTGAAAAGTTTGCTTCGGTTGAGAGAATCATTCTTCTAGATCCTCTTGGGGGGACACCAGTACCTGGACACCCTGGGGCATCCCACCGGTTCGTTAATCTTCAACAGGAATACGATACGCTCATGGCACATCTTATGGGCCCAGAGGGTTCTCCGCTAGTGCAGAAGGAAGAGGGTGGGGTTTGGGCGACAATTCATGCGTCAAACCTCAACCTCGCCAAAGAGGTCTTGTCGATACTTCCCTCTTCGTCTTCTGTTCTCCTCACCACCCCATTTGCTGCAGTGAGCTCAAATTCAGCTTCAGCTTCGACTCAAAACTCTTGGACACCTCAATTTGGAATTGATGGCATGGTCAAAACCAGGCAAAAACGAAATCCCTTACTTCACAACCTGTTGACGGACAGGCCTGTGTATTCATCGTCTCTTCCGTTTCAGAGAATACAAGGCAGTGACTACGACGGGAGGGCAACAGGTCCTTCATCAGCTGCCACTCTCATTAAGCGTGGCATGCCCTTGACCATCTATCCTGATATCCGAACCAAAGCCTGGTCGCCGCCGCTTCCTGGAGGACCACGCCTGCGTCTCACGGATAGATGCATCGACCTTCCACGGCTGTGCCATCTTATCGAAGACTCCTTCAGCCGCAAGCTTGACATGGAGGATTATTTAGAAAGAGTCAATGAAAACCTGGCTGGAATTATTGTCGCTGGAGAATATGAGGGAGGTGCCATTCTGACCTGGGAATGCCCGGACGGTCTTGATCGGGAGACGGCATATAAGCAAGGTCGCCTTGTACCTTATCTCGACAAGTTTGCCGTCTTGAAAAGCCGGCAAGGGGCTGGTGGCGTTGCAGACATTGTCTTCACAGCCATGGTCAACGATTGTTTCCCCGAGGGGGTTTGTTGGAGAAGCCGCAAAGACAATCCCGTCAACAAGTGGTACTTCGAACGGTCCCTCGGAACAACCAAGTTGGAGGACAGTAAATGGACAATGTTTTGGACTACACCTGGGCTAGATACACGCGGCCAGACCCTGCGCGACTACGAGTCCGTTTGCCGCACGATCAAGCCTTCCTGGTCAGACAATAAATAAGCAAATAGTAGACCTAGAAGAAAATATGGATATCTGCCCCATCCACTTGATAACATGCTATGCACTATTGATCAAAATGTGACTGGCAGACAGTGAACCCCTGATACAGCCGCTGGCTCAGCCCTCAGCAATAGATGAGGAAATATCATATAATTGAACTGTATTTAGTCTTTTTTATAGACTGACGCATCGGGCTGAAAGTTCTTTCGGGGGACCTCTCTTCCATTGCCTCCGAGTTAGCAGGCAGCCTTACCCTTCTGCTCTGCTTACAGAGAGCTACGTGTTACCCAAGACCTTCTTGTCTAACGGAATTAGTATGGATGCCTGCCGCACCTTGGTCTCCCATGAATATTCGTCCAGTGATAATACCTACAGACCAAGTTCAGGTACCCTAGAGCTAATATCACAAAATATTCGGCCGATTTCCAAGGACAGTAAATTCTTACCATCGAGATATAGATAAAAAGACAATCTGACAGTCTACGTAGTAGCTCCTCTTTCTTCCTATTGCAGCGGTATTCTACAGGTCACTGTCAGGCCGCCTTTACCTGGATATCCGCCACTTGTCCTTAACTCTAGCCTGCTGCTTCTCCAGTAAGTCCAGGCTGTACAGACCTTCCATGAAAGAGGTCTGGGAGCAAAGCAGCCAACCCTAAACCCAGGGCACTTTCCTCGCTGTTAGAATAGCCACTCATTCCACGGCGTCTTGAGGACAGCTTCATAGGCAGCACAAAAGTGAAATAAGGGCGCCAGCTGATCCTCCTCGGGAGAACATCGCGAACGCCCCATCAAGAGGAGGATTAGGGCGCTCTCGGCATAAAACGGTCGCGGTAAAATATGCTTGGCCTGTCTATAGGTGACGTTTGGCTCCATGCTCCCGCCAACGGCCTAAAACACAACGCCGGACGCATGGCACATCATTCGTAATATATCGTACATTTGCTACCAAAGTAGAGCCAATGAATAGATAGAGTAAAGACCTACCTAGCTAAGCTATAACGAATACGACGTAACGATCTTGATTACCATTGCAGCAGGCGTCAAAACGGTGTGTTTATATTTGTTGGCACGATGAGGCTGGGAGTGCCCAAGGAAAAGAACTTTTTTTTTTCGCAGAATGAGTGTACACCTATGATGGTTTTTTCCCATATTAGATTCCTGGGTTGTTTGTTTATTTTAACGCCGGAGCGTCCCACATATGGGCAAAGGGCGCAAATTAAATTCCAAGGGAACTGACATACAGAAGGCACGATGTAGGATTGATACCAAATACTGAGTTATATACAATCAAACAATCAATATCTACTTTTGCAATAGAGGAGTGTATGGAATGTTTGCCGGACATTTCATTAATAATGGTCTTCAAAACATATAAAACTCGCAGACCAATGGGCTGGCTATATAACAACATTTTGGGTATTTCAATTCCTAAACAATGATTCAAACATACACGAAGGGCTTTTTAACTTTGAATATGGAATACACCAAGTACCCACATAAGACTAAAATCAAAAACTATTCAAAACCTTTGATATATTTATCATATACATATAAAATAGAACCATAATAGTTGCTTGGCAGATTTCATATGATTGCTAAGAGTTCGGGGAATGAATATTTGATATGCACTCATTTTTTTTCATTTAGAGTAAAGCGCATAACTCCTGCGTAAATATGTTTCAAATTGTACTGTTATCGTAGCTTCGAAGCCCCTTTTCAACCCTTTTATAATATATAGTATAATTTAGCTACTTGAAAAAAATGCGAGGGATTATTATTATATTAATATACTATACAAATTCATAATATAATTCTTGAAATCATATTGGATATGGTATTTGAACATCCCGTATATAAATCAAATATGGCGTTAGCAAAAGGTTTATGCCCCTTTGAAAACAATTTGTCAGGAAGACATTTGAATGGCAAGTTTTGTATGAATTATTACGGAAAGACGTTATTATCAGGCCTCCCTTTTCATGACAAACAGCATTTGATTATATAAATATTGCCACATGTGGTCTTCGTTCTGTCCATTCATTTCCATGCGCAGTGAGTTTTATTACCTGATTGTCGTAGTTCTTATAGTAACTAGTAGAACTATTCTGATATGGTGTCTCTATAACCTGCTAAGGCTGACCGATATAAATATACTAGTTCTTTTTGCGCCACTATACACACAAGTCTTCTAGCCTGTCACTTTTTTTACGCTTATGGGAGCATTTGTTACATGTAAAGGCTTAATGGATGGATGAATGAATATTTGTTTTGTTGAGGGCCATAGAGGTCGAGAAGAACTTTACTTTTCTTAGAGTAACCTCTCTGTAAATATGACAAAGACCAACTTGTACGATCGACAAAGGGTATGTACTATTTTATTTACAATGCATTCTAGCTTGGTTGAAAAAAAAAAAAAACCATTGCCAGGTCCCCACTATATACAAGACTATATTATATACAAGAGATCATGATGCGAGGCTAACAAAAACGTTGGCGATAGACGATTTGTCGTACTTGACGTATTTTCCCTTGCCCTTGTCAATTTCATGATAACGGTCCCAAAATCGTTCATAGAGTGGTAGCAGCTTTCGGCGTATATCCTCTCCGAACATGGAACGGACTTCCCTCTCCATGTTGTACGATTTGTGCTTTGAAACCATGTCATCAAAGGCGTTGTTAAATTGAGTGAACTTCTCCTTGATCTTGTCCTTGTCTTTACTGCTCAAGCCTTTGACCACAGAAGCAGAGTCCGCTGGTCCAGATGTTGGTCGCTGCGTTCGGTTTGTGTGAATTGTGTCAAAGAGGTAGATGGAAAGGTCTTTGCAAATGTCGGTATACAATGCAGTCGCCTTCTTTCGCCATTGGTCCAACATGTCAATGCGTGAAGCAAGTAAAGGTGACAATTCAGAGTCGACAATCATTCGGTCGATTATGGCAATGCTGTTTGCCAAGAAGACACCCACAGCGGATTTTCCCTTTAACATCAGGCGACCACGTTGCTCCAAGGAAGACAGAAGTATCTCCACAGTATCAAGGCAATAATGTGAGAATATATCTTTGCCATCAGCGCCAATGTCGAACGAGGCTAGGCTTGGGATTGCATCAGACGGCCGACTGCTTGCAGAGGCAGATTTCCAGCCGCCATCGCCCAAGGAAATCATAATGCTAGATATGGGCCGAAGAAACTCCACCATAACTTGCAAACGGCGCATTGTCTCGGCCACGATTGGCGATGGAGCTCCATCTAGAGGGAGAGACTGAATCCCGTTAACCTTGCGCTTTGTTTCCTCAATTAACTCTGCAAGAGACAGTTTCGCGGTTTCTCGCACAGGTTTCAGAGCAGCCGCCAAGGAGCCTTTGAGCTCTCCTGTTCGTGTCTCGAGTTGCCCCGACAGACCTGAGACGATCTCGGTTATCTCATATGCGAGATAACAGTCGGTTGGGAGATGAGCTTTGATATGAGAATTGAGCTCGCGCAGTGTTCTTGCGAACTCAGCGAGGGCTGGCTGACAAGTTGATTGGAATACTGAGCCCCAGTCGTCGCGTGTGAAAATGCTACAGATATTGTCATACTCGGACACGAGTATACCCTCCATAGCCTGCGCATAAGTACCGATTCCGTTTGTTCCTGCGCGATATATAGCACCGGGGTTTTTCTTCTTTGCCGTATTGACACTTGCAGCTGCCAGATTCACTAACGACGAGGCTAGGTAGGGACCACGTATATCTGCATACAGTCTGGCGACAGGCGATTCTGAACTGCCTTGTTGTCTGTTTGCGACAACATGGGAATAAACAAGCCCGAGCCGCGCGACTTTATCCTGGGAGAGGACGGGAAACGGCTTGTCCTTGGTGATATAGTGAAGTGGCTCAATAGAGCGTGGTGTCTCCCCTCTGAGAAGTTTGTCAAAATGACCCTCAAGTTGAGTATTGCCTGAACTTATCAGACGTCCCAAGTCAGCCATGGTGCGCTGGTTGGCGCGCAGATTCGATGTCTGCATGTCACTATATGATTTGTTGAGTCGTTTGATGGAGGCCAGGTAGTTTGGCAAACCAGCCTTGTCAGGCCCAGAGCGGATGATTGCCTCTTCGTCGTTTTTACTGTCACCTGGCTGGCGTAGACGGTCGATGGCAGCAAGAACCGCATCAACATCTACATGATGGTGAGGGTCAGCGTGCCTGCCTCATTTCATACGTCACACTGGGGTACACGAACTGTTGCCAAGGATTTGGAGGTTCCTAGTCTCTCCATTGAGGGGACCCGCGACATCACGAACACTTTGGCCAGTAGACTCCAAGCGGCCAAGGCTTGCTTGAATCTTCTTGGTCAACTGCGTTGTCTTTTCTAGGCGGGAGTTGAGGACATCAACTTCAGCTCTGGCCTCCTCGTCAACAGCCTGGCTGCCCTTGCCTACCGCCATGACGCCGAAATCGACTTAAACGAGAGCAAGATTCAAAATCTAAGCCGCAAGATGTAAGATCTAAGAAGTGCCGACGCAGGCAAAAGAAATCTTCTTCCTTGAGAAGACGCAGGATTGACGATGAATGCAAGCAAATAGTGAACTCGAGGTGTACTGGGGACCATCCATGGTGATACCTGAAGGGGGTGGGGTTTGTCCACAAATTATTATGTAAGTAACTACTTTACGCGTGTTGTGCACGAAACGCGTCGGCGCGTCGTTCTCCCTTCCTGACCTCTTAATAATACCCCTCGATTTCCTACGCTCAGTGCATCTTCTTTCCCTGCGCGAGCATCACCACACATTCCGCAGTAGGCAAGCCGCCCATTCAACGAGAACCAGCCATGGATCCTTTCATCCTTCAAGATGAAGGTGTGCGAGATCGCATTCGCCAGGCCGAAGAATTCTTAGATCCCAGTACGCTGCACTACCACGATTAGCTGATGAGATACATACTAACATCTTGATGACTAGACGATCCTCATGCTCGCAGCTACAGATCGGAAATCATATTGATGCTGCAGAAGAACCAACGACGTTTGACTGTCAACCTCGACCATGTGCGAAATCACAGCCCTGAACTTGCTCAAGGTGTCCTTTTTGAGCCTTTCGACTACACCATGGCCTTCGATCATGCGTTGAAAAAGATTGTCGAGACCATCCCTCAAGCACGCCCTGACCAGACAGCACGAGACACAATGTATTATTGTGCTTGGGCAGGAAGCTTTGGTCTCAACTCCTGCAATCCTCGCACGCTCTCTTCTCAGCATCTCAACTACATGGTGTCCATTGAGGGAATCGTCACAAGATGCTCCCTTATCCGCCCTAAGGTGGTGAAGAGCGTTCACTATAACGAGAAGAAGGACAAATTTCACTTTCGCGAATACCAGGATCAGACAATGACGAACGGCGTCACTACCTCCAGTGTCTACCCCCGAGAAGACGACGAGGGCAATCCCTTAACCACTGAATACGGTTTCTGCACCTACCGGGACCACCAGACTATCTCGATTCAAGAAATGCCCGAGCGAGCACCGGCTGGACAGTTGCCACGTGGTGTAGATGTTGTCCTCGACGATGACCTTGTCGACAAGGTGAAGCCCGGTGACCGAATCCAACTTGTGGGGATTTACCGCACCCTTGGAAACAGAAACACAAGTCACAACAGCGCCTTGTTCAAAACGGTCATCCTTGCGAACAATATCGTCCTTCTCTCATCAAAATCAGGCGGCGGTATTGCTACGGCCACGATCACGGACGTTGACATCCGAAACATCAACAAGATAGCCAAAAAGAAGAACCTCCTTGATCTATTGTCGCAGTCACTAGCCCCAAGCATTTACGGCCACGACTATGTCAAGAGGGCTATTCTTCTCATGCTCTTGGGTGGTATGGAAAAAAACCTTGATAATGGAACCCACCTGCGTGGCGACATCAATATTCTCATGGTCGGCGACCCATCTACTGCGAAGTCTCAACTTCTACGATTTGTGCTTAACACCGCTCCGCTAGCGATCGCAACAACCGGGCGTGGCTCCTCTGGTGTTGGATTGACTGCTGCCGTCACCTCGGATAAAGAAACAGGAGAACGACGTCTCGAGGCCGGTGCCATGGTGATGGCAGACCGCGGAATCGTTTGTATAGACGAATTTGACAAGATGTCCGACGTGGATAGGGTCGCTATTCACGAAGTTATGGAACAGCAAACTGTCACGATTGCCAAAGCTGGTATTCACACCTCTTTGAATGCCAGGTGCAGTGTTGTGGCTGCCGCCAATCCAATTTTCGGCCAATATGACCCCCATAAGGATCCCCACAAGAATATTGCACTACCGGACTCTCTCCTCTCCCGTTTCGATCTTCTCTTCGTTGTCACGGATGATATAGAGGATACGCGAGATCGTCAGATTTCAGAACACGTTCTGCGAATGCACCGATACCGGCAGGCTGGTACGGAGGAAGGTGCTCCTGTGCGGGAACAGACATCACAATCTCTGGGTGTTTCAGCCAATTCCCAAACCGACACCCCCGGCCCAACCGAAGTTTATGAGAAGTTCGACGCCATGCTCCACGCGGGTGTGACAGTCACATCTGGTCGTGGCTCGAATAAGAAACCAGAGATCTTAAGTATCCCCTTTATGAAGAAGTACATACAATACTCCAAGACGAGAATTCACCCTATCCTAACTCCCGAGGCCTCGGAGCGAATCACGGAGATTTATGTTGGTCTTCGAAATGATGAGATGGAGGGCAATCAGAGACGCACCAGCCCTCTAACTGTGCGTACGCTAGAGACACTTATCCGACTTGCCACGGCACACGCCAAATCGCGTCTGTCGAATAGAGTGGAAGAACGGGATGCTCTTGCAGCCGAAAGCATCTTACGATTTGCGCTCTTCAAGGAAGTTGTCGAGGATAAGTCCCGTAAGAAGCGGAGAAAGACGCAAGCCCCTGAATATGCTTCTTCGAGCGAGGAGAGCGATGATGATAACGATAGCGACGACAACAATGCATCTCGCGCCCACAGTCGAAGCGAAGTAAACGCATCGGTCCGTTCGACACGTGCCACAACTCGCTCGCAATTAGGGCCTTCGTCGTCCCTCAGAACGAATGGGGCTAATGAAGCCTTGGAACTCCCGGATGATGACAATGAGGATGCAATGACTCCCCGTCGCACCTCCAGGCGAGCAAACGCCGCGTCTGACTCGCAAACTACTTTTCCTTCATCGATCCCAGCTTCTCAGCTGCCTAGCCAGACTCAAGAAGCCATACAGGATGATGGCGGTATTACAAGCGGCACTGCTGGCCTTGCTATCGACGATAGCCCCATTGAACCTCAACGCTTGGCCACTTTTAGGACAGCGCTCGGTCAGCTAATGAACACAACCCTGTTCGAGGATGACTCGGCGCATGTTGATGCTGTTCTTGAAGCCGTCAATAGCAAGGTTGGCCGTAGCAACGGCGGCCACTTCGATAAGACTGAAGCTATGAAAGCTCTGAAGAAGCTTCAGGAAGCCAATCATATCATGTAAGCTGTCTTCTCCTAATCATTCCTTCAATTAATGTAACTAACGATTTATGCTTCAGGTTCGCGGATGGCGAGTATGTATACAAGATATAAGGATCAAGACACCTTGGATGATTGCAGTGATGAATCTACGTTTGGCGTCAGGAAATGGTCTTACTTTGTATATGATGTAGAAGGCATTAGGAGCTCAGGTATAATGAATCAAGTTTGTGCATTTCTAGATATTACTAGCCGTTCAATGTAGGCAACGCTATGTAACGGGCAGATATAATTCCGTGTTGTTTCTAAATAAACGTGAATGCTCCTCCTGCAACTCGTGTTAAACCCCTGCGTAATCATGATGATATTCGGGTTTTGAACTCCTCCAGTCGTTCGTTGACAACAACAGTATTCCATGTCTCAGGATCAGTACCGTTTTTCTCGAGGGTAGGCATGCCAACTTGTTCGATCGCAAAACTAGCAGCAACAGAACCCCAGATGGCAGCATCCTCGATGGATTGGCCTCTGGCGAGCGCTACTGCAAGACCTCCCAGAAAGGTGTTTCCGCCCCCAGTTGGGTCGACGACCTTTGAGGCGTCTTGGTGATAAGCTGGTATCCAACGTTCGATGCCAGGGTCCAACTCGATTTCCTCCCTGGACACAAACCCATCTTCATCCTGTAGCAGCCCAGCAAATAGCGCCTCCATATCGGTGTCAGGCTGAAGCCCGCCTCGCGGGAAGTGCTTCTTCCTTTGCTTCTTGTTTGGGCCCTGAGCACGTGAACGTTTTCTTCCACCGTTCTTGGCGATATAGCATCCCTTGTCACCGACTCTAACGACGAGTGAGAATGACTGCAATGGCATGCTGCCCAGGAGCTGTTCACATGCGCGTTCGACGGCTACAGTCGATATCTCTCCGGTCTCGGGATCGAGTCCGTCATCTCCCATGAAACCTGCCAGTTCTGTATGATTGGGGCTGCAGACGTCGACCAGTGGAAGTGTGTTGGTGCAATTCAAAAGTTCGTCCGGGGTACAAAGATCCGGGACCGGCTCCCAGATGAATATCGCTTTCGTGTACGTATCAGGTGCGACTTCCTTTCGACGAGCGGTGATATCAGCCACCAACTGCTGACAGCGTAGCGGTGAGCATATGAGGTGGATAGAGCGCGCTTGAAGAAGCTCAGGGGTAAGATCATCTGCTGTGAGACGCTTCTTCGGTGTGAGGTACTTGAAGGAACGTTTTTCGGATGTGCCCTCGTAGCCATTCCAACCTCTAGTTGTCGACCGGCTCATATCCTCTCGGATGACGGCAGACGTTTCCCAGCTTTGTATGAGATCAGCAACTGATGGTGGAAAATCTGACCCCTTGTCAACAATCCAGCCAATGCTAGATGACACGGGGCTGGGGGAAAAAAGGCGAGCACCGAGTGCGGAATAAGATCCTGCCCCTCCCAGTATGCCCTTCACAGACGGCTTAGGTGGTACATAGTCAATATCGTCTTGCATATGACGAGTTAGTAATCATTGATCAAGAAATGTGTTGACGAGTCTGACCTCCATAAAGCAGTTGGCTTACCGATTATGAACATGCCCATAGTGACAAAATCGATCTGCGGACGTTGCTTCTCGTCAGAGGTAGAATGGTTATCGTCTTCGGACTTTGCAATTGTTTTCGACCTAGGAGTTTGGGCCTGAGAGTCGGCCTGATTACGGCCATTAGTCCCTTCGATATCCCCATCTTGGACCTGCTTCTGGTTTGATGCTTCGCTGTCCTCGGCAGCAGGAGCGCACCGGAGCGCTACTTCATAATCAGTGGCCATTTCGGAAGGATGGCCGCCGCCGATATTGATGTCGTGGGAGCGTCTGTGGTATGAGATCGTAACATGCCACCCGTCTTGTTTGTAATCCACACCACGAGTGTGTGATCCGACGAGAAATGTGTCAGGTAGCAACACTGTTTTAACGGTGGTGAAATCAATGCAGCCCTGTCTGCTAGCGGTTGGCCACGTTGACAATGGTGCAGGAAATACTTGAGATAATCCAGAGGTCTGCGTGTATGTACATATGCGATCCACTAACAATCACCGTCGGTCGAATTTGAGTGCTCAGTGCGAGAATTGCAAAGCCAACAGCCAGAAGGCATAAATTAGACAAGATCAAATTCATAAATTGAATGAAAGGGAAAGAAAAGGAAAATAAGGCAACAAGAAACGATGATCATGAAAAAATGGTCAGAGATCGGCGCGCAATGGTGAGTAGGGCGGTAGTAGGGTAGATAGGTTTGGTGTGGAAAATTAAAGGTTTGTAGGCATCTTAATCACTCAGACATGCATGATCAATAGCGAGCGATACGGAAGAAACTGGTAGATAGATCACTCAGGCATGCATGATCAATAGCGACACGAAAGAAACTGGTAGATAGAGACGAAGTATTGTTTATGTTAATGTAATACGGTGAAGTTCAAATTGATAAAATAATGGCGCCACCTGAAGATACTCGTACTATATTTAAAAACGTGGGATATAATGAACAAGCACATTGAAGTGCCTGTTAAAGCTAATTTAACAAGCTGAGTCATATCCCCCGCTATTGGTTGTGTTGGGCTGAGGCAGAGGGCTTGAGGAGACTTTTCTTCGTAAGTACCTGCTCGCAGAGGTGTACATTTTGGAGAAGTACCTCTTTGTGTTCCAGCCACAAGGGGCCTTGTACCCATCGCCCTGAAGTGGCGCTGGAAATGAGTCGGATTCTGACTACCTGGCTCCCTAGGCAGCTACGTGGCTGGGCGTTTGGCTTGGGGGACTCCTGAACTGGGCCGGACTAGGGCCAATCCAATTGGACAAGTGGAAGCTGCTGCAGTGCAGGGGACTGAGCTCCTGGCCAGCTCCTGATGTTGAACCTCAACGCATGAACTCTCCATACACTTTCGGCTATATCACTAGCACTCCTTTGCGCTTCCAGGAACTCACGTCATCTGTTCCTACCACGTCGATATCCTATATCATCCAGTAGTGAGATCCTGCTCTTCGATTCAGTCCGAGCATCTGCCCACGCTTCGTCTCAGTTCGCCCGGCGACTCTATACCCCTCCCCGATATCTACTTGAGAGGCAAACCTATAGAGCGGACTTGAACTTGTCGATATCAGCCATGGCCGCGCCAAACAACATGCACAATCTCACGACGCTCATCAAGCGGTAAAGGCCTTAGAAACCGGACCCGATTGCCTTCCCATGAAACTATATACTGACTGGTTCTATTTCGCTAGACTTGAAGCTGCTACATCGCGACTCGAAGATATTGCGACGTCGACCGAGCTTCCTAAGGATGTACCGGCCTTGATTAACTCGACATCCGCGTCGGCCGCTGCCGCTGATGCTTCCGCACCGGTTCCTGCCTCGTCTGCCCCAAAATCCCTTCCGAAGGTTGCTTCTGAACCGCTCCCGGAGAGCGTTGAGGAGTTCGATGCGTACCTTAAGTCAACCGTTGAGAAGTATGTCAACATCAGCAAAGAGATCGGCGGGACAGTCGCCAAGCAGGTTCGCTCCCCAAGTTATAAACACTCCACTCCACGACCCCAGTTATCTAATTAATATCTTGTGTTATATAGGCCGCCGAAGTGCTCAAGGGCTTCCAGGAGCAGCGTAAGCTCATCCTTATCTCCACCAAGGCCAAGAAGCCGGACATGTCCGGCCTGCAGAGTCTTACCCAGCCCATCAACAGTGCTGTGATGGCTGTCATGGACATCAAGGACTCGAGCCGCGGAGATCCTCTGTCGAACCATCTTACCGCCGTTTCTGACGGTATCATGGTTATGGGATGGGTTACCCTCGATAACCGCCCGTTCAAGCACGTTGATGAATCCCTCGGTTCTGCTCAGTTCTTCGGAAATAAGGTCCTGAAGGAGTACAAGGAGAAGTAAGAACCCCTGGTGGTTCGGATACGGCGTACAGTATTGACTCATGAACTGCTCTACTTACACATCCTTTCGATTCCAGGGATCCCAAGCACGTTGAGTGGGTGCAGTCTTTTTATGCCGTCTTCAAAGACCTTTCGGAGCTTGTGAAGGAGAACTTTACCAACGGACTTCCATGGAACCCCAAGGGCGAGCCGGCCGCCAACGTTTCCAAGGCCCTGGCGGCACAGAGCGCACCTCCTTCCACCTCCGCCCTTGCCGGCGGAGCGCCCCCGCCTCCTCCGCCTCCACCCCCCGGGCCGCCTCCTATCCTGGACATCAAGACCGAAGTCTCGGCTCCCACACCTTCGACCTCATCCTCGGGTTTCGGTGCTGTCTTCTCTGACCTGAATAAAGGAGAGGACGTCACCAAGGGGCTCCGCAAGGTGGACAAGTCGCAAATGACCCATAAGAACCCGTCTCTCCGTGCAGGATCAACTGTCGCGGACAGTAGTTCGGCTGTGCGCGGCAAGAGCCCGGCCCCCGGAAAGAAGCCCAAGCCCGAGAGCATGCGGGTTAAGAAGCCCGCTAAGAAGGAGCTCGAGGGCAACAAGTGGACTGTAGTAAGTCTGACTATTTGATATTCCTTCCCCAGGCACTGAACTCACATCGGCAATTGCAGGAAAACTATGAGAAGGAATCCGGGCCCGTGGAAATTGAGGCGAGTCTTACTCATTCAATTCTCATCAGCCGATGCAACAGCGCAACTGTTATCATCAAGGGGAAGGCAAACCAGGTCACGGTCGAGAACTCCAACCGGCTGTCCCTTGTCGTTGACACCCTGGTTTCAACCGTGGACGTGGTCAAGGCACCCAATTTCGCTCTCCAGGTCCTGGGTACAATTCCCACCATCATGCTGGACCAGGTTGACGGGGGAACTATCTACCTGAGCAAGGAAAGCACTCGCACCCAGATTTTCACAAGCAAGTCTGCTGGTATCAACCTGAACATCATCTCGGGCCCAGATGAAGACTACAAGGAGGTGCCTCTGCCTTCTCAGATCAGCTCGTACTACGATGAGGAAAAGGGTGACCTGATCAACGAGATTGTTGCCCACGCTGGTTAACAATATAAGGGACCCGTCCATGGCCTAGCAGCGAGAACAATATCTCCTTTTTAAGTATGTTTTGTACTGAGACATATTCCTGCGGAGATGTCCAGGCCTCCGCTGGTTGGGAACTGGTTTTTCGTAGTTTTTCAAGTAGGAGTATGTTCTCCCACTGTTTTATGGAAGTGTATATCAAGAGTGGGATGGATTTTGTCACAGTAGTATTTTGTTGAAGAGACTATTTTGTTGTACACTTTTTCCACAAACTTACAGCTCGCAATCTATAACTTGAAGTGTATAATATGTGTTCGTTCGGAATCAGGATATGTGCATGGATTGTAAGAACTTCATATAGTGTAGGAAACGTTTAAGATCTGATCTATTGGTTATAAAACATGATGATGTTGAAATGGAACTTTCCAATTCACGCTCGTTCGTTGTGCCCATCCGAAATCCAACGAATGTTTTTACAGCTTTGACTTGGGGGCCTCAAGGGTAGGGACGAGTAAGTCGCGCATGTCAGCAGCTGCCTCGTTTAGGTAGTAGCTCATGCGGTCGCTTCCAAGGTTCTTGGAAACGATGTTGAAGTTGATGCTGAATTGTTGTTTAGTAATGGTGTCTATGACTAGCTCGGAAAAGACATATAGAGGAGCATGGTACTTACCTGTTCTCATTGATCATGTAGGCGATGCCGAAACCACCGTCAATGACCTGACTCCAGCCGTAGCCGTTGAAGTACTCCGAGCTAAGCTGCGAGCTGGAAATGTACCACGAACTCGAGTATCCGTAGGCAGGGTCCTTGTAGATTTCGGGAAGCTCCTGGCCGGGTTCGAGGAGCTTCTTTAGCCCAAAGAGATGCCTGTCGACTCCCTTTCCGTCGACAGCGGCCGTGATATATTCGAGGTGGCTGTTAACAGCCTTGCGGAAGAGGTCGACCTTTGTGGAGTCAGGGATCGAGGCGTCAACCATGGACTTACACCATCTCGTGGACTCGTCGGAGACGGTGCGGCAAGTCTCGGTTCGGCCGAGCTGGAAGCGGCGAGTGGCGGCAGATTCGTAGGTCGGGCGGTTCTTCCCGTACATCTTGAAGTAGGCCAGCTGGATGAGAAGCTGAACGTAGGCATCCGGGGAGCACTTGAACTTCTTGATGAGGCCTTTGCCATAGCCTTGGTAGGCCTGGACAGCGAGCTGGTGCTGACTAATAACGTCGTTGAAGTCCTTTGTGGCACGGTCGATCTCGGCTTGCACCTTGGGCGTGACCTCAAAGGATACGGGCTGAGGGTCAGGAATATTGGAGCGAACAGAGGGATCGGAAAAGTCGATCTTCTCGTTGAAGATAAGTTCGTTGATATAATCGTTTAGACGGTGGGTCGGGGTGCCGTCCATCATAGAGTGCTCTCCCATGAAGCCTGAAGTTCCGTTGTCATTGACAATGAACTGGAGGGGCTTGTCGAACCAGCGGTTGGCACCATCGCCGTGCCAGTACTGGTGCGCACGCTCCTCGAGAGTGACAGGGGTGGCGTCGTCGAGGCAGACAACAAATGAGGCAGACTCAACAGCCTCAAGGGCTGTCTTGTTTTTGGGGCTAGCATCGAGCAGGATCTGGCGAGCATCGGCCCAAATATCGCGGTTCTCCGAGGTTAGGATCCCAACAGACGGGACGCGCTGGGCAACGTCGTAAATGCGCTGGAATTGCTTCTCTAGCTCCGACGTATTGAGCTGCTTGCCATCGACCTCATGTGTGATTTTGAAAAGTTGGTTCTTGCGGATAGCAATTATGTGCTTGTTCTCCTCAGCAGAGTACTTCACAGGGTAGTCTTTAGGGTGAGCAGCGACACGACTGGCATTGAACATCCACTTGTAACTGTCCATGCAGATGGGAAGTTTCTTCATGTACTCAGGCTCGAGGGTGCCTGCATCAACCTGCTTCTTAAACTCAAGGACGGATGTGCTAATGGCCGCGGCACGCTTGGCGGGGTCACGACGCTTGCGGTCGTCACGGTGCGAGTAGAAGTAGCTGACATACGGGACAACAGGGTCACGGTAGGAAAGGTATGCTGCATCATTCCACCATTCGTAAAGCCAATTCTTAGTGTCGGGTTTCTCGCGAAGAGCAATGAGTTTCTCCTGTAGGGTTGACCCCACACCACCAGGTTTGATGAATTCCTCGACGGCCTTCTTGCTAGTCTCAAACTCGGAAGTCGAAAGGAGAGGACGAAGGCTTTTGAGGTAGCGCTTGCCTGTCTCCTCTAGGGTCGGGACAGGCAGCTTGGGCAGCGAGTCCTGAAACCTCAGCATGGGGCCTTTGGACTTATCCTCGGCGTAGCCATTGGCAAGGGAACTGTTGAAGCGCTTGGTTGGGGCCATGGCAATGCGCGGCTGCCGTCAATGTTAGCAGGGAAGGTCTCAAGACAAGAACCAACGCAAATGATGAGAGCGAAGGAAAAAGGGTGACCAAGATAGTACACCATGAACAGGAAGGACGTGAACATACTGTGGTCGTCGCCCTGGCTCTTTGTAAAGTGCTAGAAAATGCGCGACGAGCTTTAGCAGGAGCTGAATTAAACATGACCAACGAGCAGGAGCATGAATGAGAGGTTGTTTGTTGTCGGATGAGAGAGCGCGTTTTGAGGCTGACGATTACAGAGTGGGTTGCAATCAAGTAATAGCGCAGACAGAGGGATGGCGACGACCCCGACACACTCACTCACATGCTCGGCTCGGTTGCGGTTGTGGCAGACGTCACTGCGACAAGTAGAAGGTGGAAGAAATATTGGAGAAAGTCTCCAATCCCAATGGATACCGAGGGGCCGCGGCACTCCACAAAAATGCCCCCCTTGGAGAATCCCCAGACGCCCAATATTCCCCGCTGACCACTTACGTCTCCAGTGCGCCATTCGCCCGGTGGAGCCCTCCCTTAGGCCGAGGTAAATTGGGAAGGCATCACCACAAGATCATACATGCTCTACACCAAATGATACAATATTGCCAAAAGAACGTACTACGACGCAGCATGATGGCCACTATAGCGAGTGATGCCTTTGGTATTGATGTGCAACTCGACCACGTGTGTGGGAGAGTATGCATCGCTATTATGTATCGACCTCTTACATGAATACGGCGTATTACAGCTTACTCATACAGCGATGCTGTATTAACAACGGTGGCGGATAATATATATCGACTTGATAGTACTTCAATATTAACCGAAACTCCCTTGGTAATACAGCTAGATATCACAAACCACCCGTTAAGAATAAGATATAAGAGAAAACCTGAAACCCTCCGCATACCACTTTCCGCATTTAAAGTGGACTGTAGACATGTTGAAAGCCTTCAAAATTTAGCCTAGAGTTCCTTCCGACCTTTGACGTCTCCACATGTCGCTGCGAATTCATGCCACCTACTAGCATACGCTCGAAGCATTACTTTCTTCTCTTAGGCCTCGAAGCTCTTGACCTGGCCCTCGCTGCTAAGCGGCTGGACTGAACCAGCCTCAACCGCAGCTGGTTGGAAGCCCAGCTGCTCTCCATCAGTTAGGACCTCGTTGGCTAGGCGAGCTCCCTGCTCTCCACCAACAGCCGCCGCTTGCTTGAGGCCATCCTGAACAGCCCTCACCCGGCGCTTGAACGCCAGCCTGTCTAGGAACAGTTGCTGCTTGCCTCGCTCAAGATCCCGGCGCTCAGCTCGCAGAATCGCCTCCATCTCATTGAAGTACTTGAGCTTCATCTCGAGCTTCTGCAGCGTCACATTGGTGGCGGCAGAGACCAGACGCGTCATCTCACGCTCCTCGTGCGACGCGAAGGCAGCGGCACGACCGCCCATGGATGCCAGTGGGATTGATGCAAGGCTCGTAGTCTTGGTGGTTGTTGTGGTCGTCGTAGTCTCTTGGCGAACATCAATGTCCATGGTGCCCTCTTGGCCCTTGTCCTTGCCGTTCGCCTGACCCTTGTCTTGCCCACCCTCTAGTTGCTTGCGAAGGTTGCGCTTGAGCTCATCAGCTGACCTGTTGGCGGCCGCAGCCGTGCTGGCAGGGTCTGCTAGGCTGGCCAGAAAACCGACAACCGACATGACCGGGTTGTCAACCTGGCTGAACGGAAGCTGGCCCTGCTGGCTACCGAGCATCGAAAGCCCTGTCGGCGCATGAACAGCGGCCTCAGAGTCTAGATACTTCTCCTCGATATCGAGCTGAAGGAATTGCAAAACGCACTCTTCTCGAGTCCGCGTCCCAACATGCTCCGCTATTTCGTTCCAGTCATCATCGAACCGCTCGAGGCCCTCAAGCAGACGTAGGATTTCCGCATCACTCCACGGAGCCTCTCTGTCAACAACCGATGTGTATCGCGGGTTCTCCATCTTAGTGTACATTGAAGAAGTGTGGTTGGCAGGCAGACGGGCCTCATTGAAGCAGTTGGGGCAAACGTCATATTTGGTCTTGATGGCGGCCGCGTCGGTCTGTGTGCTGTGGTAGTAGATGCGCGTGCAGTCAGTGCTGCACATGTAGCAATAGACCTTGGTTGTCGGGGTTTTGGCGGCATCATCGGTTCCGGCCACACCGTTGGTTGTAGGCGTCTCGCCGTTGACTTTATTTTCTGTCTTGCCGACTGGAGTGCTCTTGGAACTGGCTTCGTAAATGTTTCGTCCAATTTCTAGATTGAGGTCGCCCTTGTTCGCGGCGGCGGCAGCCGCCTTGCTGTCCGTATCATGATTCTTCTTCCCTTCCAACACGACAGGATCGGCGGCCGGTTGCCATGGCTGAAGGCCACGAGGGGTATCGCAAATGATCTTGAAGTGTCCGGTGAAGGGCGGGCCCACATGAGACGGGCGTTGATCGGCATCAACCTGTTAATACTGTAATTAGAAACTGATCGTAGTGTTTGATTACGGATCAGGCACGCCATTTACCTGGTAGTTGATCAGACCCCACTGTTCGAGGAAGGCGTGAACCCTCATAATGGCACACACGTCACCGGCGAGGTTCCTGCGGCACGCTGTGACAGTGAGATACTCCGCGGGGTTCAAGCGGTACGTGTTGACCATAAAGTCGCGGTAGTCTTTATAGACAGATGGCGTCTTGCTTCTGTTGCGATTGTTGAAGAACTCGGCCATGGCTTTGCGCTCAATATCATGGATAGCATTCATATCGAACCAGGTGCTGTAGCTTGGGAGCACAATGGCATGCGTCTGTGCCATGAGATGCTCCCTGGCTGCAGACTCGACGGTCTCTTTGGTCTTTTCTTCCTGGCTATTCGAAGTAGGCGCGTCATCGGTGGCTGCGGGCTCATCTTTAGACTCTCCAGGAGCGTCGCCCATGTCTTCGTCTCCACCGGTGGCCGTCTCGGGCTCAGGTGCCTCAGCAGCGTTCGTCCGGACTTCCGATACAGAACCAGGAGCGGGGGTGGTGCTGTCTTGCTTAATGTTGGCATCGCCTGTCGTGTTCTCTGACATTTGAACGTCTGCAATTGATGGCATGGTTAGCACGGCGCGCGATTCGCAGGGTACGCGTCTCCTGAAATGACTCTACCTTCGTTGTCGCCCGCATTGACATCTGGCTGCAGAGGGGGTTGCGCCAAAATGGGGTTGTCACCGGGCGATCCCTCGTTGGCAGGCGAGCCGTAGGATGTTGCGTCTTCCATTGTGCTGGGTGGGTATTACAATGCGACACCCACCGCGCCGGGTAGATTGGTCGAGTTTGGTGAAAGGGGGGGATAGCAATGACGCGTTGCAGTCGCGTAGCGCTCTTGGGCGAAAATGCTGACCGGGGAGGAGAGCTCAGTGAGGGAAGATAACGCGCCTCTGACGGTTCGTTGTAGCCAATGTCAAGATACCGTCGATGGATTGTGGTACTGCGATGCGTTGGTGTCGCGTTTGGTGAAATTTTGGCGCCAGCGACAAGTATATACAGCCACTGCACAGGGATTGTCAGCAACAAAGAGTCGAAAGGCAGCTCAGGAAGGAAAGTCACGTGTGAAATACCACGTGATAGAGCAACCAGATGTGGCTCAAGAATAGCACGTGACTAAAACAAGTAGCCGATGACGGCGGAGCCTTGCAGCTGTCTCCGAGGTAGGTGGGCCATAGCTCCTGCCATGGGACCCGTCCAACCTCGGGCCGTATCCAACCGTCACACCTTGAACACTGTTGGAGGGGGCTTGCTATGCTTTTTCCGAGTCGTTCCCCACGAACGTCAACTGCATATACGAATCGATATCAACTACGAATTAATCACGAATTTCGCCTCTGAGATCATCGAAATGTTCCCGGCTGTTAGACGAGCCGTCGCCTGGCATGGGAGCAGGGCGATTGGTGCAGCGCCGGCCTTAAGCTCCCGTGCGTTTGCTAAGAGCCGACTGCTTTCGACGCTGGCGGTGCTTGAGCAGCGGGACGGCAAGCTGAATGCCGGGTCTCTGAGTGCATTCACAGCCGCCAAAAAGCTTGGTGGTACTATCCACGGATTTATTGCTGGCGGAAGCGTTTCGGCTGCTGCCCAGGAGGCTGCCAAGGTGGAGGGCGTGGAGAAGATCATCTTTGTGGAAAATGCGGCTTATGAAAAGGTTCGTCGAAGCACATTTTTGGGGAAAGATGAGACTACCACCAACCCACACTGAATTGCTAAAATTACCAAGGGTCTTCCCGAGAACTACGCGCCTCTTCTTGTCGAGAACATCAAGAAGGGTGGCTACACGCACATTATCAGCGGCCACACGGCTTTTGGAAAGAGCCTGATGCCTCGCATTGCTGCTCTCCTGGATACACAACAGATTTCGGACATCACGGCGATTGAGAGCGAGTCTACTTTTGTGCGCCCAATTTACGCTGGAAATGCCATCGCTACGGTTGAGTCGTCCGACTCTGTCAAGGTTGTGACCATCCGTGGAACAGCTTTTGCTGCCGAAACCCCTGGATCTGGATCTGCTGTCATCGATGAAGGCGTCGACCCCAAGGCCGAAGCCCTCTCGGAGTGGGTATCCGAGGAGCTGGCTAAGTCTGACCGCCCTGATCTGGCCACTGCTAAACGAGTTGTGTCTGGAGGCCGCGGTCTTAAGTCGAAAGAGGATTTTGATAACATCATGCTTCCGCTGGCTGACAGCCTGGGTGCCGCTGTCGGGGCTTCCAGGGCGGCCGTCGATAGCGGCTATGCCGACAACAGTCTTCAGGTGGGACAGACTGGCAAGGTTGTCGCCCCTGAGCTCTACATGGCTGTCGGAATCTCTGGGGCAATTCAGCACTTGGCTGGTATGAAGGACAGCAAGGTCATTGCTGCTATCAATAAAGACGCCGATGCCCCCATTTTCCAGGTGGCTGACGTTGGTCTAGTGGGGGACCTTTTCGAGAAGGTGCCAGAATTTACAGAGAAGGTCAGGAGCTCGTAAGTTTGTAGTATATATATAATACAGCGGAATGAAGTCTATGCAAACAATGGACTATATCAATTTTTTCCTAACCTAGGACAGCCAGCATGTCGGTGGTACTCGTGAACTTCTCTCTTTCCTTGCCCTTGGCCTGGCCTCGGTTCTTCTCTGCGTTGTCAATCTTTTGCCATTGCTCCCATGAGACGGCAAGGTTCGCGTTGCCGCTGACTTCCTGCTTGACACCATTCCAGCCAGCAAGGATAGACGTCTGGGAATTTGGCCTTATGAATGGCGCTCCTGAGAGCCAGTCCTGAGCAATGGCATCGCCAGTGGTGAAAGCGTCCTGCATCGTGGAGGCGATGACACCAGTGGGACCCCGTTTGAGCCAGCCAGCGCAATACAATCCTGGCACTTGTCGTGGTCCCGCGTCCTTGGCGCTTTCGTCCGACAAGACCTGGGTCACCCTGCCATAGCCATCGTTCGTCACCGTGCCACGCCTCTCGTCAAATTGGACACCGGCCTCGGCAAAGCCTGGTAGAGCAACCGATTTGTAGCCAACAGAGCGAAACACGATGTCTGACGGGAGAACTGTCGTCTCGCCCGTAGCTTCCGCGCGGGCGCTAGGGTCGAAAGGATCCGACAATCTTGTTACGTCAAATGCGGTACTTGCCACATGAGTAGGGGCGTTCTTATGCCCGAGGAAATGACTTGGAGACAGGCAATTATCCAGTGACCATGATTTTGAGGCCGACTCTGCGCTTACATCTGGGGTACCCTTGACCACAATCTCCATGAGTCTTTTGGAAGCTCGAGGGAGAGTCTTGAGGTCTTCTGGGAGGAGGCTTCTTTGGATGGGATGGAAGCCTACGTTGCGAAGCTTCATGAGCTCGCGCACTTCTTTGATGGTGAATGCGGCCTGTAGTGAAGATCTCCGTAAGTGAGGGATTCAATGAAAGGTGGGAACAAGCGAGGACCATTATATACCTGCATCGGCCCTCTGCGTCCAACAACATGTACGCGCTTGATGCGGCTTGTAGCCAGGTGGTCCAGTGCATGCTCGGTGATGTCCGTTTTTCGGAGAACGTCGATATCCTCGAGAAGCATCCGGGCCACATCCAAAGCGACATTGCCCTGGCCGATGATGACTGCCTCGTCACCCCGAGTTAGATTCGGCTCGAGGTTGGCGTAGTCAGGAAGTCCGTTATACCAGCCAACAAACTCGCGGGCTGAGTATATGCCGCTAAGCGTTGACTCGCCGGGAATGCCGAGCTTTTTGTCTTCCGAGGCACCGTACGTAAAGAGCACAGAGTGGTAGTGGCGCATGAGCGTCTGTAGTTCGACTGTGCATTGATCGGCAAAGTGGCCAGGTTGACCGACCGAGACGTTGCCTATAAACGTAAAGTTGGGTGACGAGGCCACCTCTTCGAATTTTTCCTGACAGTTCTATCGCCCACAATCAGTATTGAGATGGGATAACCGACATGCATATCAGGAGGGGGGACTCTTCAACCTTAACCTCTGGGTGGTCGGGTGCCACACCGTGACGAACAAGACCAAAGGGCACGGGGAGGGCCTCGTACATGTCGACCTTGGCCTGCGGAACCTTGCTCATGAGTCTGTAAGCCGTATAAAAGCCGGCCGGGCCAGACCCCACAACGGCCATTCGGAACGGCGTGTCCTGGGAGCGTGTTGATGACGCGTGACGACGGGTGATGCTGCCCTTGAGGCTGTTCTCCCTCAGGCTGCCGCGCCATTGGCGAAGTGCTGCTTTTGTCATCATTTTGGCTACGGGATATTTGAAATGCTCTTAATCATTGCCGGTGGCAAGCTTGTTTAATCCCGTAATATTGATTTATGTGAATCAACGCCTCGGGCACTTTTGTTTCGAAAGCCGAGCCCACCAAACCCTGACGGCTCCGATCTACTGCATTTCGTACATGGATGCCCACGCGTTGCTGTGGTGACGACCAACCATAGCTCAATGTCAATCATGACGAAGGGTTCCTGCTGGAGTACCGCAGCGCTGCAACCCCAATGATCATTGTGATGGGTCATTGTTATGCTTGAATTCCAAGTTGGAGAATAGGCACCTCAGATCGCATCGCACGATTGAAATTTCTGTACGAAGAAGACGATACAGTGCTGTGTCTCGGTCGCATCAGTAGCTACCCGAACTAGGATCATCATCTCTGTTTACTTCCCCGAACGCTCTGGCATTCCTAAGTTCCTCTAAAGGGACTGGAATCGGAATATCGACCTGAATCACCACGCGGGAAGAATTTTCAGGGTCTGCTACGCGAAGCCAACAGTCAGGACATCGTCATGGTTGCCCACCAGCCATGGATGTACAGCGCTGAGCCGCAGGAGGACTCGCGATTCCCAGGCAAATCGTTTGATCCCAAGGCGGTCACCAGAGCCAGCTGGCAGGCGAAGCCCAAGAAGCCCAGGCAAAACGGGACTCTTCTGTCCTTCAACAAGCATCCCGAGTGAGTAAACAGACCTTGATATTTCTTCAGCTACCCCAGAGCCATGGATCGCCGAACGCCATCGAGAGACTCTTTGCATCTAACATGCATTCCAGCGCTCACGCGGTACTCACCTATAACCCGAGTGCGGCCAACCCAATGGGCCCTCGCACAAAGAACTGGATCAAGCGACTACGTTGGATACAGCTAGCGCTCCGCGTCCTCGAACTCAACGGTGCCATAGGGATCCTTGGGTTGATGGTGCTCTTGACTGAGCAGAACCTGGTCAAAGGTTGGATCATGAAGATCGGGGTATGTGCGCTCGGAAAGAAGTCGTCCAGAACCTTGTGGGGTGTCAACTTACATGTGCTTTTATGACAGCTTGGAATCGTCATTTTCAACTCCATCTATGCGATCTACCACCTATCCCGCAATGCGGCGGGCCGAACGCCTGCGTCGTCGGCGGCCTATCACATGTACTCGGCTGTTACTGATCTCGTCACCCTGGGGCTCTATGCGTTTAGCGCCTTCACCACACACCACGACTCGCCAAAGTGGAAGAACCGGATTCCTCTCCACGAGGAGCTCACCGACTACTTCGTCCCGGCCGCCTATTACACAATGGTTGGAGCCGGAGCTCTTCATGTCCCATCGCTTGGTCTGGCTCTGTGGCTTTCATGGGCATTCAAGAAAATCAGTAGGCTGCCTCCGGACATGAACCCTCTCGAGGACCACCTGACGGCCCGACCGAAGCATAAGTGGAACAAACTGTCCACCTCCACAACTGCGAGCTCGAGTGACACCGCTAGCAAGATCTCGGGCAGTCACCCCGGCCCCGAGATGTCATCTGCACGAACCTCCGTCCCGTTCATGCACACGCGCGAAGGCTCCCATATTTCCCTGGGTGCCAACGCCCAATGGAACCTCCCGAGTCGTCAGTACCAGATCGTCCCTGGAAACTCATCGCCTCGAAACTCGGCCATGTCTGCGCAGTCGGCCCGCAGCTCCCGCCCCCCGCCCCCGACTCGCGGCTCGTATGCCAGTCTCCCCTTGAACAATGGCAGCTCGGCGGTGTATGGGCGCGACAGCATTGACATTGGTCATATGGGCCAGGAAACGAGGGGACCGCGGATGTCGACAGACTCCCCTGCTTCTCGGGAGAACCAGCGTGGTAGCAAGCAGAGCAATGGAGACGGATCGTATGCAGCATTGACGTCGCAATACGCCCTAGATGACTCTTCCGACTCTGAATGCGACGATGAGAACTACCTGGCTGGCGGAACCTACCCGAACCCGCTTGCTTCTCACCCACCCCGAGCCTCAAGGCCCATATCCCAGCCATCAATCCAAGGAATGAATACCGCACAGAAGTCGAATGAGCTTGGTGAGGTAAGTGCAAGTGGCAGGCCTGTATCAGAGACAAGGGACATTGCCGATGCCAAGGCGCCTAAGGTTGGTGCGTGGCAGCAGCAGCAGCAACGTCAAAGGGATAGCTCCATCCAGCCAGATACTGGCTTTTACTCAAAGCCCTATGGGAACCTCAGACCCTCTGTTCCCCCAGTCATGATTGGAAGCAATGATCGCAAGGTCTCATCCGGAAACGACTATGGCGCCATCCATCCTTCGTCGGCGCCGTACGAGCGACGCAATGTTAGCGGAAAGATTGCGGAGGAAGGACTAGCAGGAAACAAGGCCTCTCAGTATGGAGGCCACACGGGCCGTAATTACTAAGTTGTATGAAATGATGTTTATGTTTTGTGTGAATATCTGGATTGGTTCCTGTCTCAGGAATATCTCTTAGTACTTCTGGTTTTTTTCCTTTTGACTTTTTTTCTTTTGCTGCAACGGTGGAGGTTATGTAGAGGAGGGCGTTGGGACGATGCTTTTTTGGATAGGGTCGCTCTTGGGATTATGAACAGGTAATAGGATACTTCGTATAATAACAGAATTGTATTGTATGGCTCATCAATGGCTTGGACTTAAAAAACGTTACCAAGCCCGTGTAATCGCGCGGTTGCTTTAGTAGGATGCCCATGAGGCTAATGGCACAGAATCGGAATCATCAGCCCAGCCCTTCTCATCCCACGTCTGAATTCGACATAGATGCCGCATTGTAGGGCGGCCATGCGGACAGTTCCAAGGCTTGTCCAGTTCACCCATATGCCCCACCAGGTTGAACATCTGGTTTCTGGTCAAGGGCTTGCCAATCATGACACTGCTCCGACAAGCTCTCATGGCAAACATCTTTCTGACCTTGGACGGTCGAGGTATGTGCTTAGATTCGGATGACTCGTCCCCAAGGAGCGAGATGAGTTCCTCGAGGTCTGCAATGTTGAAAGTTGTTTCGCGACTCAAGGGCAGGGCTGTAAGCAGGCAGCGCGACCCGACGGGCCACTCGCCATATGTATCCACCTCAACCTTGAACCCATTTGCTTCAATGGCCTCAATGCTCTGCATCAGAATTTCTTCCTCTAGGGCCGTCAGCTCTAGCCGCTTCGGGCGCACGAGGCGTTGGGACTGGACCACAGTGCCGTCCTGGAGCCTCTCAAAGTTGTACTTTTCATCTGAAGCGTGCTGATCGATAATGAAGAGCTCATCGTATTTCGCTCCACCACCAGTACCATCGTTGCCAATTTGACCTGGTCTAACAGCTATGATGAATCCCAGATTGAACTGGCCGACCACTCGCATATCGGAAAAGTCTGATTTGGAGATGATGAGCGACAGCTTAGATTCTGCGTCTGCAGCCGTGATGTCCTCCACTTTAACTTCATCAGCTGTCTCAAGGATCCGAGGGCGTTGGCTTTTTAGCCAGGAGTTCATTCTACAATGAACTGCATCTTCATCCAGATTGAGCGTTTGGACCATCTGTAGAGTGGAATTCTTCTGCCGTGACCCCCAATCCAGTACCTTTGGTCGTGCGTTTGCAATCTCGGGCTTGATAGCCTCGGACTGGTTCATGCCAGTTGCAACTTGACTGCTTTCGCCGACCGGATGAACATGAGCTCCATCTTCTGTTTGTTCCCCGTGATCACTGCCGGCGTCCAACTCAGCATCAGAAGGCGGCTCCTCGTACTCCGAATTAGATTCTGCTTCAGATTGCGCAGCTGTATCCTTCAAAGATGACTGTGGGGTTTCATCGCCATCGCTGGTATCCAGCTTGCCGATTTGAATTCTGGCTTTCGTCTTCGGCGTTTGTGCAGGGAAATTGATACCCGCTTCCCATGCGGCGAACCTTTGGGATAGAGTAGAGCCAAACGATGGTTTTCCTGTGTTCGATGGTCGACCCTTGGATGCATCCACATCTTCACCACCCTCCTCGTGTTCATCTTCATCTTCCTCTTCCTCAGAGATTTCACTGCCGTTTTCGCTGTCGTTCCCACTGTCATACTCAATGTCATCTCTGCCAATAGAAACAGACTTTCCAAATGGGTTGGCGCGGGGAGATGGCCGACCAATAACAATTCTGGCAGGCTCTGTTGCTCGCTTGGGTGGTGAGCGACGCATGAGAGCTTCCCCTGCTCGACCTTTCCCTTTTCTCGGTTGCACAGATGGCGTTGCAGACAGCGTCGCTGCTCCTCCCTCTGGCAACTTCCTGACTGACCTGCTGTTCCCTTCCTCTTCCTCTTCAGAACCACTTTCTTGTTCTTCCATGTAAGCACCTTTGGCCGACTCGCTTTCACCTCCCGAGTGAGAGCCAGGACTTGATCCTTGGTCCTGGCGTGCGTCTGGGTTTGAAGTGGTAGACTTCTCAACCGCTCCGTTTCTATCCAGCCATCGGCTCAAGAGGTTGCTGGCTTGGTTCGCACCAACCATCGCACTGGGCGAGGACTGCGCTCGGGATGCCAATGTCGGGATTCTGTGCTTCGCTGTTGAAGAGCTGTCAGGTTGGGATGTCCTATCCGGAGATGGATCTGGAGACATTTCGTGCTCGTTCACTTTATCAACCGTCTTGGACATGACCGGGGTTCCTGCTGTAGGCGGCCATGGCTGGCTTCCAAACGCAGAAGCTTGCTTGGGACGTGTGGGCTGGGTAGAAGAAAGGGAATAGTCATGGGAGTCGAAGAGTTGAACCAAAGAACTGCGAAGGCTATCCAACAGCTGGTTCTGGTCATGTAGAAGGATGGTGCGTTTGTCGGGGCTGACATTGACGTCGTACATGTGGGTGTCGAGCTGGATATTGGCAAAGATGAAGGGTGATTGGGTGGAATTATACGACTTGTAGACTTCATTGAAGGTCTTAGCAAACTGAGGGAGTCCACAAGGTCGCCCATTGATGAAGAACATTTGGCGGTCTGGCGTCTGACGCCCATCGCCATGGGCAGGCCGCGAGACGTGACCGACGATTCGGACGTCCTTTGAGATTTTTGTAGTGTCGACGGTAGATTGAAGTGCCGAGCTCAGGGTCGAGGGTTGCATTTCCATCTGCATATCCAGAGGGATGAGGGCTGACATGGTTTTGGAACCAAATATATTGATGATATTGTCACGCGTTGTCGGGTTTCCCTTGGTCGAGAAGAGGATGATGCGCTTTCCCTTTGTGGGCTGCTGCGAGACGGAGAACTTGGTATCCGTCTTGATACAGGCGTACTGGTTGAGCAGGGAGATAACCTTGTGCCATTCCCTTTTTATATTTCTCTCGAGTTCTCGCCGCCGTACAGGAAGGTTGTGAAAGAGCTTCTCCACGGACACGGTGGTACCCTTTTGCGTGGCCACCATGCTAGTGCCTTTCAGCTTACCAGAGGTCTCAAAGGTCAGTCTGGTGCCTTTCGGTGCATCTCCTGCCAGGCAGGTGGTGACGGTCATGGTAGACAAGGCACACAATGATGCAAGGGCTTCGCCACGAAAACCAAACGTCTCAAGAGATCCAATGTCGGCATACGAGGACAGCTTGGAAGTGTGATGCTTCAAGGCGACATATGCATAGCTAGCCGGGGGGATTCCATCCCCATTGTCCTGTACCTCAATCAAGTCTAGGCCTTGGTTTTTAAAGCGCACGTCTTGAATGGAGTGACATGTGGTTCGATATCAGTAAAGAGGCCTCTCAAGTGGATAGACAAGGTGAAGAGGGGACCACACCGATACTGCGGGCTCCGGCGTCTACACTGTTTTCTACCAGCTCCTTGACAACGGAGCATAAGTCGATGATGACTTGGCCAGATTGTATTTGATGGACCTTTGATAAATTGCGTCAGCCGAGGCTGCCATCTGTCGTACAGGCGGTGGTGACGTACCGTGCGGCCATCAATTTGTTTGATGGTAGCCATGAGTTTTGGGCATGGACATGATATGATTATGCTGTCATACAGAAGTTCACGAACCGCTTCTCCAGAGCCGCCGGAATATAGGCAAGAAAAGTATAAGAATATGCCGGCAACTTGATATCGGTACGGCGTCGTGTGCAGAGAACGGTATGATTGCCTCTACTCGACGTCCTCACAAACGTTGGTGTGAAAGACTTAGGAGACGCGTCCGGATCCTGTATTTCGCGTAGAAGGCCCCACGTCACATGTATGCCTTGCGCTATGCTGTCTATGTCTTACATGCCCATCTAAGGCCTCTTGCTTGCTCACATCCTCACTATCCAAGAACAGGGTATAAGTCGCCACTAGAAAAACTAGACTCGGCTCACTCATGCACATCTAAGTCGAATACGAAATAATACAAGGCCAAAAATACGGAAGTAATGGAAGGAGGATGGATCCAGTTCTTGAGGTTCTATCAAGCTCGATGGTCATCATTCAGTAAAATACAGCGCAACACACCGCAGTAATAAGGACATTGTAGCTGGTACTTCGGTAACAACTACAGGTGGCGTGCATTCACTCGTTATTGCCAAAATCCATCGGGGGAATTGAACGACAGTGGGGCAAGGGGTATGAAAGGTCACATAAATAGTCACCTTCTACGAGTCCATCAACGAGGGGGGGACAACAGACAATATACATACATGTACACTGGTCACTGGTAGCTTCGCTGTTACTGCTACAGTTTTTTATTTTATTTTATAATTTTTTATACTTTGTCTCGCTGCCACTCAGTAGGCCCTTTTCCTCATCTCAATACCCCCCTACCCCATACAGACTCGTTGTCTGACATTTATTCAGCAACCAGAAAATACATACTTTTTGCCCACCAACCTTCAAAAATTGAATGCACCACAATGCAACTGATATAAAAAAGAATAGGATTTAATCGGGGCAGCGATGGGATTCGGGGTAGAGGTTAGGATAGGGGTAATATAGATTTTTACACAAAGGCAGAGAGATATGGTGTCATAGTACGAAACGGACGTAACTTAATAAGTCTCAATTACAACAGCGTCGAGACCCAACCGACCTTTCGAGTGAATTGGCTATGACCGAGTGTTATCACCCATTTTGACATTAGAAACCCACGATTGCTTAATTTACCTTGATTTAATATTGCCTGGTTAATCTGTCCTTGTGGCCTCGCTTGCGTCGACCGTAACAACCGTTCTTACCAAACCCGACAAAAACATATCTGATTTTGACCAATAAACCGGGAAGATGTATGACAACTACATGTAGAATCTGTCTTTTCCTTCTTCCTTTCCCTTTTCGTTGAATAAACCCATCGAGGCTACCAAATCGAGCCGGTGAGGTCAGCACATCACAGCTATAGCTCTATACTGCTCTGTCCGTTTATTTACTTGGGACCATACTAAGCGTGTGTACCATGCGCTTGAAACAGGCAGCATCCCTCTAGTCGTGCTGCCTTAATCAAATTGGTGCAGTGACGGATGAACCTGGCTGGTAGCATCACAGTCTACAAGTATAGACAACCAGTATCACTAACAGTATTAGCTACATGTATTCAACGTGTACGTATGCGCAACGCAAAACAACAGGTTTTGAGACGAGTACGTCGTACTCCTGATTCCTAGCGAGTTTAGCCCTAAAACTTCAGGATCTCAAAGAGTGTCGCGTGTACATGCAGTGCAATGTAAAACGCTTTGTTCGACTATGCTAATAGTACTAATCTGTAGTAGGCATAGAGTAAATGGAGGTCGCTTTGTACAACGCTAAATAGTATCAAGATATCATTCCAAATTGCTGTGTTGTGCGGGATCGTTTGTGGTCGTCTTGAAGGATACATATACACGCAACAATAATTCCAGGGCCTAACTTCAGATTGATGAGGGGATGGTGAAACAAAACCAGCTGCCTAGCTTCAGTCCTCAATAGCTCAAAAGCCGAGAAAGCTCATCGACCCGCCCCCTTTCGGGGGCACCCATGCGTGTGCAGGACCCATACTCTCTTTTTCAGGTCGAGTGGGAAACAATATCAGGAAATAGCACATGGTGGAAGCAACAGGCCATGTCCATGTGAACGACAACAAAACCGGATTGCTACGGGTATATCACTGTACCTCTCATACGATGAAAGATTGGGGAGCTACAAGTATTAATAACCACCGACAATTAATAGTGCTAGCATTAATACTTGGTGGCTTGCATGACGGGTGCTGCGGGTGGCAGGTACGTGGGCAGGAATACGAACTGGCTTGTTGAAGTTGCGCTAGGGCGCCAATAAGCTCAACGTGACAGTTTCCGTCAGCCGTACACGCTGTAAGTAATATTGCATGCATGGGTAAGGTGAATGTGCGGTTATACGGGTTGACAATATCATTGACAATTGTCTTGAGAGTATAAGTACGGAATGAAAACTGTGGATGGTGATGGCGATACACGATGTACGAGTATGCCGCGCGCCGTAAGATACCCGCAGCCTAAACTACGGAGCATGGGTACAATATTATTAATACATAGTAATATAGCTCATGCTCGTTCGAGTGCGACTTAATAATACTCCGTTACTGTTACGGAGTACAGATTACGAAGGTGGGAGAACCCGCCCTGTACCCCCCTGCCTCTCTCTCTCTATATTGAATAAAAGCAGTCGTACCGCGTCCTGCGTACGTCTTCCACAGTGGCCAAAATGCGTCGTACTGGATTGACTAGACCAGGGATGACGCTTCTGGACCGCCAGGTCTGGGCTTCAACAAGCCACTATCTATTGGGAGTACGGCCTGCAGGCGGCACATGCGTTGCCGCGTACCTCCTTGCAGCATCATTGATTTAGTGCAGACGGGCAGTACGTACCGATGGACAAAAATAAAAAAGACAAAGTCGTCGTGACTCGAACTTGCCCCCTTTGGCACTGTGAGGCTCTGTTTCTCCACGGGGCGGCAAGTCAATTGAAAATGGGCCGACAAAGGAAATGAAAAGAAGGAGAGAAACATATATGTAGAGTCTGCTTCATAGATGATGCTCATGTTGTTTTACTGACGAAACTCTCAGTAGCCGAATATGTAACAATCAATACGAGTACGAGTACTCCGTATACAGGCGTCTATCACACCTTAAAGATAACGGAAGAGAGGAACAGCCTGCAGGCCATTGATTGCATCGCTGCAGACATGCGAGACAGACCTTGTTCTGATCTGCCGCTGTACATTCCGTATCGGGGTTACTGCTCCATACTAAGGACGGAATTGGGACAAAGAGTATCGCTCCGTACTCTCCGTACCTAAGCGTACGCGTCACTTTTTGCTCTTTACCGTGGGAGACCGCATACGTGTACAGGTCCGTAGTAGGTATTAGAACACACTATGATGGACGACGCCAGCCAAGCCACCTGGCCCGCGTTGTGGGGGAAGGCCGGAGTATTTGGAACATACACTGAGCGGGAGGACGTTGAATAGGAAAGCGAACAACCATTTCCAGTCTTAGTAAGTTGCAGTATGGAGGTATGGAGGGAGGTGTACGAGTGCGAATACAATTGACAGGTTACACATATATGAATGAGCACAGGGAAATGTGTAAGTATTACTGCCACTCATAGCAAACGCATACAATAGCAGTACGAATACTCGCCAGAATAAAAACAAAATACAGCTCGTGGGCTTCCGTTGTGCATATGTAAGATAAGATCGCGACTCGTAATAATCCTGTTGATAGTGTGGCCGCCAGCTCAACCACCTACTCGTATGGTCCATATAACTAATGATAATTACTATTATTCTAGTAGTAAGTAGCTAGCCGAGTCGCAACTAACTCCTAGACACCCAAGCACTGTACAAGTAGTATGCCTCCATAAATCCATAATACGACGTACTCAAGCACAATCTAATAGTACGTGCGCCGTTTGGACGATAAAGTACTCGTACATGTACTCGTACCTCGTAGACTGTACGGAGTACATATACTCATATTACGGAGTACCTGTAGTAGAGTATCCTCCCGGCCCCCAGGGACCCGCTCCCGCCTACGGATTACCGCCCACCCCCCAAAGGTTTTGAAGTGCCAAACACCAAAGTGCAACTTCGCACCAATTTCCTCACCCCGGTCAACGCCGCTTGCGCAATTCTTTAAGCCCATCTTGTCTCTCCCGCCACCCTCCTTCCCCTCTCCGATGATAGTAGTAATACTACGGGTTGGACGAGGCACGACATGCGTCGCACCCCTTTGCGCCACCGCAACCAATAAGACGACTGCTATTCGCTTCCCGAAGACTGCGCCAACCGGCTGAGAGTGCGCCCTGTCCGAGCCCTTCAACAAAGGCGAGAGCCTCCGCCTCAATACTTGGTCCTATCACCTCGAACACATCGGCCTCACCGTGGCTCGCTTGCGAGAGCAGACGATCTGTCCCTGAACTTGCTTT